TCTGTCCCAGCCACAGGCGCAGGCGTAGAGCGTCTCTTTAACTCTACGCGCGATATCTGCCACTATCGTCGTGGCTCACTACAATCGAGTACTATCCAGGATCTAATGCTTCTTATGTGTGGCATTCGGTTTGATCTAGAAGAGGAGCAGCTTGCTTTCGTTCGAGAGTACGTAAGTGAGTCTAAGAGAGAGCTCCAACAAGAAGAGATAGATAAGCGTACGCAAGAGGATATTATAGAGATTAGTAACAATAAGGAGGGCCCTTCGCAATATAATTCGAAGAGGCGAAGGAGTATTGAGCCTGTAGAAGAGCTTACGGACGAGCCTGAGGAGGAGCCTACGCATAAAGGAGAGCCTGATTTGCCTGAGCAAAACACACAGCGCGTTTCAGGAAGAGTTCGAAAGCGTTCAAGGTTGTTAGATGGATATAAGATATAGTTTATTTCTGTAGTAATATTAAAACACCCCCTTTCAACTGAAGTATACTTAATCTTGTTACGGTAGCATTACAGCCAATAGTTCGCGTAAATTGCATAAGCTATGAAAGCCATATGCACACTGATTTTTGCCCTAAAATGGGTCAAATAGGCCAAATGGGCCGGCCCACGAATGGGCAGGAAATCGATTTTTCGGCCCATGGGCCTAAATGGGTTGACCCATTTGGGCCGGCCCATGGGTTCTGCCCAGGTCTAGGTAGGATACCGTTTCTCTCCAGGGGCTAGAAAGAGTCTTCCAGCTCATCCTAGGTGTCTGCATATCCGGACCACCCTAACTTCCTCGCTTGCTCATACTTCTAACGCAGCTCCAGTCGTGACCGAGGGTCATAACCAGGAAGTTCCACGTCGCCGTTTCCCATACATGTTGGTCTAGGCTATACTTATCGCGAAGTACAACCTAGACTTTATAGACATCTTCGCGTTGTGCCTATTTCTCTGGATCCACTTGTAGAAACAGCGTCGGGGGGTTCTCTGTAGTAGGATCCGAGGAGAGCCCTAACACTAAAGCGGCTACTTTGAGAGGAGGTTTATTTTTCAGATAAATAGTGGTGATGTTACGCGTTGCCGACTGGTCACTGTGAGTTAGAATGTCCACGGGCTATACTTGCCTGATTCCAACTGCGGATTCCAAGGGTAGCTCGCAACCGTCCCGATGCTATGCAAAGCCTTACGTCGGATTCGGGTCCTGTTGAGTATCCTGCGGAACGTGCCAGAGGTGCGCGCTAAGTAAGTCAATCACTAAGTGTTGCCACTGAGTGAATCCCCTACTTGTAGGTTGGGTTGTCTTGAAGGTGAACTATGAAGTGCAAAGTACTAAAGGTAGTAACTAAGTAACAATGTGAGATTGATCGCGAAGAACTAAATACATGATGCTGAGTGAGTGTCCCTATATATCCAGTCCCTCTCGATAGTATGTGTGATAGGATAGTAGATAGTATAGTGGTAGATAACTCTTGGTATATTCTACCTGTATACCTATCTACCCTTCTACTACCTGGGTCACGTACGGGGTAGTCGTTCCCTACGTTGCGCTAACCGTCCCGTTAGGTAAGTGGGTATTGGTTGTAACGGTTAGCCGTAGGCTGTTTCTGGCTCTTGTCCTGAGTATCTGCCTTAGGGCCCCTCTAGGCACGCCTAAGTATACTGAAACGCACGTGATAACGCTAGTGCCTAGCGTCCGGGGAATGATTAGTTCTCGGTTGCCCCTCAAATAGCTGTGGCCCCCGCGCCTCTTTGAGGTTCGTAACAGTGGACTTATAGTCCTTGAATCCTTTTGTATAAGGCGTCCCACTATAAGGAAACATAGGATCTGGAATACGGTATCTTAAGCGGTCAGCAAGGCGTAGCTATAGGTTCTGGAAAGACTCGGTGTCGCTGTTCATTACGTGAAATATCTGATTACTAGTACCTAGGGCTTCTGCCACCTAGAGACAAAACCTTGTATACAGATTGGCAGAAGTCTAGCAGTTGAAGGCGAAATAATTCGCCTTACTTCCCGGATACAGTAGCTCGGAGCTAGGCAGTGCCTTACTGACGGCACAATAAAGACCGAGGAAGGTAGCTTCATTTATAAAGTTCCCTCGGGCGTACCCCAGAACGTCCTCCGGAAGGGTAGCAACCTATTCCCAGCCGCCCTTCTTTGTAGCAGCCGCTAAGATCCGCTACTGCTTGTAGTAGAAGATAGGTGGCTATAAAGCCCCGGCTGCACTGTTCTCTAGCAGCGGGTCGCTTTCTAGAAGCGGCTGCTTAGCTACGCTAATATAGACTCTATATTGCTTAAAGTTATACGTTAGGATAAAGCGCTTGAGCTTCTTCTTAGCCCTTGGGAGTGTGAGAGCCTAAAGAAAGTTCGAGAGAATCGTTGCGTTCACCCGTAATAACTCGTAGGGATTATTAGGCGCTAAGTATGCGCAGAAATAGACATACTCAGCGGAAACGCGCTCAAGCGCCCTTGCCATAGTGTCTACCGAGCCTTAGAGATCCAAAGCGACATAATGAATTTTCGGGTCTTGGTATCTGTAAAGATATACTCTACAAGTCAGGGTAGAGGCCTGTCAATCAGGTAGGAGAAAACGGAGCCAAGTCAATTGTGTGAGATAGTCAAAGACTGTTTGTTGAGGATCTTAAAACCTCTTCAACATAGGTCAATTTATATACAGTCTTATCGCTCAAAACAGGAAGGAGATATATCCTTGGTAGAAGGATAGGAGCGGGGTAACCACAAGGCTTATATAACCTCTGTCAAGGGTATTCCCTGCAGGGGTTCGTACACGTACTGATAACGAAGCCCTAGCGAACCTCCACAGAAAGCCTGCCAGCTTATTAGGTTCGGGAAGCCTGAGCCACCAACAGTTGGGAATAACCTCATGCCAGGGTATATCATAACAGTATCCTGGATTACTCCATGAGAAGGAATATATCTTTTCATACGAAGAGTCTTTGCGTAGGTGATGAACAATAGCGCTCCCGGTGATGCCTGCGACGAGTTAGCTTTACAACGAAGAATGAAGAGGAAAGTGGAAGGTATACCAGTGGCGCCAGTAACAACTGCAGAAGGCATGACTAGTACAAAGATTTGATGTGTGATAAAGAGTATTTGACACACTACATTATGAGCCTGGAGACTAAAGACAACTTTGGAGGACGGTTCTTTATGTTTGATGACAGAGCATACGGAGTAAAGGTCAGTCCCATTGACTGACTCACCCGGATACCAACTCTCCTCAAACATACCTGTCACCCATTCAAGTACATTAGGCTATTTCGAGTCATTGGGTCACTTGAGACTCTCTCTCGGTACAATCATTAATATACCTGACCTCAATTGACCGTCTTTGAGAACTTTTTATTGCCACACTCATTCTACCACTCGCCACATCCCGATCTGGGCAATTGTATGTTGATTAAGCACTATCTTATCGCGACACGTGATCCCCCGGGGCGAAAACGGTGGAAAATGGCAAGCCGATATGCATTGGATGACATCATCTGCGAATCACCTCTGGCTACCTCAAGGTCGCATAAAAACAAACTTCATATCACGGTGTAGAAGCTAAGCAGGGCATTACAGTTCTGTGTTCCAGGCTTGATTGTCGAATTAGGCTCATCGCCAAGCCAAGCAAGAAATAAATCTGACCATTTGTCGCCGAGGAAGGTCCGTACCTGGCCTGCGTAACAATGCATAAAGCGGTAAGGTAAATTTCCAAAGCATGCATGTTTAAAGACAAGGAAACGGACAAGATGTGATGATATCGTATCTGCTAGTATACACTCTGACGAATGAGGATCTAGCCGAGCCAACCCAAACAGGACGACGCAAGTCCTAATCGGATAGATTAATTGATTAAGAAACCACAAGATTGAGCATGCGCACACGTTGAGTTGTCTTCGCTAACAATGATGAAACCCAGGGTTGGAATGGTCGTGTTCCCCAAACGTCGAAACCAACACTTAAACTTTATGCAACAGTGGACACGGCGGACCAATCAGTTGGTGGCGTAAATAACAGGTCCAACTCCCTCGACCAAACTATGATTTATTGGGCCATCCCGTCATGGAGTTAAGCAGCCACAGCTTCTCTTGATTGTGCTCTCATCGTCGTTCATCTCCATGCCTGCCCGTCTCCTGGTCCTTACTTTGCGAACAATCAAATGGAGCTCCAGACTCTTTATCCTGCCCTTTCAGTCCACTGTTTGGTATGAGGCTGAGACACCGCCAAGAGGAGAGCTTACAGTAGCTGCTACTCTCACCCTCTCCAGACATGACCAAATTAGAGACGTCAACTGGGCCGTCGTACCAGAAATTGGCTTTTCACTGCAGCTGTCCGATATCGAGATGAACCATGGTTTCAAAATGAATTGCGATCTCGCTGAAATTACTCCTACAATTACGCCTAATCATCGATGCACGTACTCCGCCGACCGAGCAAATCTATTTACCGGATGTCTTGATCTATCCTCTGGAGACGTCTTTGCACTTTCACGGCGCCGCTAGGACTTTTACGGAGGCTTGATGATTTATTGGCAAACATCACTGCAAAGTCTTGAAATAGTTGTTGACTTTTTGAGGATGGAAGATTAGCCCAAACATTGGTTACCGAATGTTGTTGGGAAACACAGTTGGTATAGAAGGCCGATACGCATAGTTGCATTGGTTACCAACTAGAGGGAGCGCCATATTGGCCTTTGGAATGTGATCCACAAAGGCTGCTCGATATTGACAATACAGAGGTGGCTCCAAAGAAACAAAAGGTGTAATTTCAATAATAAGTAATAAGTAATACAAAATACAAAATACAAAATACAAAAATTCGAGGTTATTTTCCACAACGTGTTGGCACTTATAATCTGGGCTACGTCAACCAACGCAATAAACGGCAAGCTATGACACCATTCATTGCAGGTCCCGCAACCTATTATAAAACGACAACCCTGATAAAATATAATACAATTAGTTGATTCCTTTCCCTTCAACGTATCTTATCCACTCCTCAGTTCCACCAACATGCAAGTTCTTGTACTGGGCGGCCACGGCAAAGTCGCCCGCTACCTGACGCCGCTGCTCCTCAATCGCGCCTGGAATGTTACCAGCGTGGTCCGCAAGGCCGAGCACGAGGATGATATTATGAGTTTGGGAGAAGGCCGTAAGGGCAAAGTGAACGTGCTGGTCTCGAGTCTGGACCAGGTAAAGAGTGCGTCTGACGCGCAGAAGATCCTGGATACCGTGTCGCCGGACTATGTCGTTTGGTCAGCGGGTACGTTGATTTATATATTCTTCCTCTACTTCTCACCTCCATACAATCTCACTTGCACGGACAATACTAATCCAATTCCAGGAGCTGGCGGTAAAGGTGGTCCAGAATCCACAATCGCCGTCGACCAAGAGGCTGCAAAACACTTCCTCAGCGCATCATTCGCCTCAGCGTACGTGAGTAAGTTCCTCATGGTTTCTTATCTCGGTAGCCGACGTAACAAGCCGAGCTGGATGGTGATGCGCCTGCGACGCGGAAAGTGCAACTGGGCAGAACGGCCGGTAGGGGCGGCGTGACCCGTGAGGATGTGGCTATTGTTGCGGATCAGTTGCTTGCCTCGGCTGATGCGAAAGGGTGGATTGACCTTATTAATGGCGATATGCCTGTTGAGGTGGCAGTTGAGAAGGTCGGCAACGGGAAGTATGATGCTGTTGAGGGGGAGGATGTTGAGGGCATGGTTAGGAGATTCTTCCCTTAGTTAAAATGGGCTACTGTTTAAATGATCGGGTACAGTAGATATCGAACAAAAGCATTGAATTCAATAAGATTCAGTCTGATATCGTAATAGACGTGTCCGTATATTAGATTTTTAAAATTTTGATCTTGGCCTTGGGAGTCTCGTTCTTGAACTCCGGCTTTAGTATGCGTTATAGGGTCTTCCCAAGAGACTTTGAGGAATATAACTGATCTACGAAACGCACGAAATCACGTGGATGCTTGTGCAGAGTAAACTTGGTCTCTAGCCACTTCACAGTTTTGGCAGCTTTATCTTCGACGCCCACGCTAGCGATATACTCTTAGTGCAGCGCACTACACATGCCATCGGCATTTCTAAGCCGCAGGCATCACTCGGAACGCTAGTAATAGCACCATCGTCAATGGCCTCATCGTCGACTAGGATTTTCTTTCTCTTCGCGGGAAGCACTTAAAAACCCTTGGGACTTGTTGAGCTCCTTGACCCGATCCGCGATCTGAAAATTTTCCTTCGCATTCTGTTCGCCGACGTTTCCGGTGCGGAACCAAACGTCACGAGACAGACACTCCGCTGCTACTAGGTTCTAATGGTAGCCCACGAAGATATTAGATCGACCTAAGTACAGCTCGCCGACTACTGTGGCGAAGACATCACGTGGCTCAGAACTATCTTCAGGCACAGTCATAGCGTTGGATCTGCCGACTGAACCGATAAACTCGCGCCAGTCCTCACAAAACTACGTGTGCGTAGTAGACTAGTCTCGCTGAGCCTGTAGTCCTGCTTGGTGCTGAACTTGATGCGAGCGTACGCGGCCTCTATTAGCTCCTGCGTGAGTGGAGCCGCGCCGGAAGTCATCATCCGCAGATTCGATAGGTCAAACTTGGCCATTTCTGGGTGCTTGCCCCGCGGGAGGACCACACGACGCAAGATGTAGCTAAGCATCTCGGACGTATGGCAACTTCCGCAAATATTACACGGCAGTGAGGTATCCGGTGAATTCATGTGTGGACATGCTATTCACTGTTCAACATCATCCATTAATCTTCTCTCTTGTCAGAGCCCTGCTCCCTGAGACCAACGCATCCGATAACTCAAGTTTCAATGTATACTATGAATGGTCTTCCACTTGCGTTGACATAGGCGCTGTAGTGCCGTAGGGTTCGGTGAAGACTGTAGTACTGCATGTACTTTCGTATAAAATGCGCAGAACCTTTCTCTGAATATTTCTGACTTCCTCCAATTATCTAGATCGAAACCGAATAATGCTTTTGCTATAAATTGTAACTGCGAACGGCAACCCAATGGCCGTTTGGGCTTTCACATTGACTATATCATAATAGTGATCTTAGGTGAAAATTTTCATAGCTCTTCGGAGCAGCAATTGACGATTGTATGTACTGAGCAATGAAAAAGTCCTTCTTTGCCGAAACAAAGCTATGATAATTCTGTTCCCTAGTTTTCGTTGCTTTACGACCTTTCAGTGGTTGTCTACGCGTTTGATATGGAAGTTGGTGACCTGAGGATGATGTCAGAGACCCAAGACGCTTCGCTTCCCGGTGGGACAGTATATGTCTCTCTCCTGCATGCGCTCAGAATGCCACACACAGTTGACACCTCGAACCGCGGGTGAGGCTCCAAAAGCTTCTGGTACTGGTACAATTTTCGTAAGATTCGGCGGTACTAGTTATGCAGCGGAAGGCTACAGGAGTCCAGGAATTGCCGCACAATATCTAAATTCAGAAGATTCATATCCCAACTATAGCAGATACTGGTCTAACCCTGATGCATCAGTAGTGCGTATCATAGTCACAACCAAATCGTCAAAACCGACCTATCCCTTGCCAAAACCCAACAAGTAGAAAATCTGTGCACCAGAGGTTGTGATGCTGAAAAGTTATGACTATGGCGTATTGGCCGCGAATGAAAGGCCACTGCCGTTTAGGTTCTGACTTTTGACCACGTCATGGGCTATGTAGTCAAATATGGCTCATATGAAGCAGCACTCGCTTAGCTATTCCATCATAGGCGTTCAGGGCAGCCATCAATGATCGTACTTACCAAGCAGTGGAAATTTTTAATTGCGAAACAATGCTGTTGCTATTCTGGTTCCACAGTTTGACATTTGTATGATCCAGTTGGAATGTTTGCGTTAGATATAGGGCCAAGTGAGCTCTAATCGACCCATCTAGTGCTCTCACTTGGTATCTGAATGGCGAACGACCTGACGTCAAAATAAGGTTCACAGCCTTAATCAGCCCTTCATTTCGCAAATTTGGCTGAGATACGAACATGGTTATGTACACTACACATGGAGACCTAAGGATGATGTCAGAAACCGAAAACGCGTCGCTGTCCGGTAAGACAAATATATATTCCCTCTTCCTGCGATATGAACCAAAGGGCGTTTAGTCAAGGCCCAATTGTTCAAAACAAAAACAAGTTATTACGTTCAGAAAACCAATTTGAGCAAAATTTCTCGGTGGACATACATAATGTCTACCTCGATCACCACAGACATTAGCAACTATGCGGCCCAGGGACATGGTGACCTAAGCCATAGTATGAAAGCCTTGACGTGGCAAGGGAAGAACTCGGTTAAAGTTGGTCAGTCATTCTTCCCATTACCGCCTTCATTTATTTTGTGTATCTCAACGCAGTTGAATTTGATTTGCTTATACCATTTATGATAGTGGAGACCGCTTGCCCGACGATCATCGATGAAGGTGATGTCATACTTAAAGTGACAGGGAGCACTATTTGCGGGAGTGACTTACACCTGTTCCACGGTATGTGGTATCTTCCTAACAGTTATTGAAATGTCGCAGGATTTGCTCATACGGTATGTTGTCAACTATTAGAGGCCATCCCTGATCTCCAGAAAGGTGATATACTCGGCCACGAGTTCTGCGGTATTGTATCAAGTGTAGGACCGGCAGTTAAGAAGGTTAAAGTGGGCGACCGCACTGTGGCATCCTTCCAAATTGCCTGTGGGGAGTGTTATTATTGCAAGAAGAAGTTGTCCTCAATGTGTGAGCGGACGAATTCGAATGAGCAAGCCTGTAAGCTGTATGGACGTCGAACAGCTGGTATGTTTCCTCCAAACGGCTACGCTGATATCAGTGAGGCTACTATACTAAAGCCAGTCTCAGGTATGTTTGGATACTCCCACTTCACCGGGGGCTTTGCCGGTGGGCAAGCGGAATATGTTCGCGTCCCTTACGGTGATGTGAACCTCCTTCCATTACCTGACGATGTTCCCGATGAGAAAGGTCTCTACCTTTCCGATGTGCTGGGAACATCTTGGAACGCCGTTGTTGACACTGGGGTTGAAGAGGGAGACACCGTGGCAATCTGGGGTGCTGGCCCAGTTGGACAGATGGCCGCTGAATTCAGCTTCTTCAATGGTGCTAACAGAGTTATACTAATCGACGGTGGCCTCGGAAAATGGCGACTGGACTTCGTCAAGAAGATTCTACCCCGGCTCGAGACAATTGAGTATACGAATCTTCCCGAAGGGGGATCTGTTACCTCAACTCTGAAGAAGATGTGTGAAGGCCGTGGACCCGATGTGGCGATTGAGTGTGCTGCTGGTGAGTATACGAAAGGATGGGTTCATTATTTTGAAAGATTGCTGGGCATGGAAACGGATACGTCTGAGATCGTTAATGAGATGATTACCTCTGTCCGTGGGTTTGGACGTTGTGGAATCACAGGTGTATATACCGGTTTTGTATGTGGGTATCTTTTCTTTAGTAAAACATCTCCACTGACGTGTCAATGTAGTGCAATCACTTCAACATCGGTTCCTTGATGGAGACCGGGATTCATCTCGCTGGCAATGGACAAGCGCCTGTGCAGAAATACTGGAAGGACCTCTTGAGTTATATACAGCAGGACCGGATTCATCCCCTACACATGGTAACCCACCGGTTCAAGCTTGAGGACATGGAGACAGTCTATGATTTATTCAATAAGCGTGACCCGGGCATGCAGAAGATTTTCGTTGAGACAAAGTTTTCCGCTCCACCAGCACCAGGATCTCCGGCTTTGACAATCCTTTGAGCTTCACTGCAGGGTAAAAGTTCTCTGACAAGTTCGAATGTTTGACTGTGACTTCACTTCAATTCTCATTATAATTTGGCGCGCGAAAAACGATATTGTGAAAAAAATACGTTTTAGTTATACTCCGTTTGGAAAGAAAACATTTCGAAAATGCTCTCTGGAATCAAGGGAGTGTGCCTCATGGCTTTGCATTTATGTTTCTCATAAACATAAATTGAGACAAAAAGTTCTCTGGACAGGCTTGGTCGCAGTACTGGGAATTTTTCTCAGCTTGCGTCCTAAGAGGAGATCCTTACCAATAACTCCTTGTTTATCATACCAAGGTATCAGGAGAAAACAATACGTTGCTTACTAGATTAAGCAAATGGATGATATAAATGTTTGCGAATGAATGTGATTCGACGATTATGGTTAAATCCAAGAAGAAGTAAAACTTTTCGGAGATGACAGTTGATCTCAACTTCTCCAGTTGGAGGGATACTCTACTCCAGCATAATTCAAGCCTCTTTCAGAGACAGATTCAAATCCTGCCCGAGGATGTTTCCGCCTTCCAGTTGCACCTGTTCGATAGGTTGAAACACGAAAAAGACGCGCAAAACACCAGAGTTGTCTTTCGCTTGAGTTATATTCCGCCAAGCATGAGCTGTGCCTCGTTGAACAAATACATCACCCTTTTCCAATACAGTTTTCGCACCCGAATCAAGGATTAATTCTGTACTGCCGTCTATTATGACACCATAGTCGAGGGTTGCTGTTCGGTGCATTGGGACTAGTGAACCTGGAGGCACCTCAATGATTGTGCAGGAAGTGCCGTTTGGCGGATTCAAAGGCGACGGATCCGAGAGCTGAGAGTGATATTGCTTAATGTCAAGATTTGCTTTGGACTCCGGGGTTGCAGAAGTCGAAGGGGAGAGCCCTTTCACAGGAAATGTGTTCGTATTGTAGGCCAGAGCATAGTCCGATGTTGTGGGCTTGCCCGGGGGAACCGGAAATCCCGTGAATGACACCTGCTCCCCAACTGAGTTGCTAAAGATAGCTCGGCCACTTCTAGAATCATGGGTTGTTATGATACGGCGAAGCGGCTCGGGCTCCCTTTGTCCAGATGACATATTGCGGTCGAAAGATGAAGATCAAAATTGAATATGGTGAATACTTGAGGGTATCACTTGGCACAACTTATATTAGATGAAAATATGTGAAACTCTGAGCCCAGAAATATTTGACATTTATATTATCAGCTCTGAGGCAAATGTGAGGCAAATGACACAAACATCATGTCACCATGTTAGTGTTCTATTGCAATCTAACCTTTGGTCACTTTACTAAGGTACAAGGGAAACCTTTCCCATTCTTGGATCCATCAACTAAGGAATATTCACGATTAGGTGACCGAAAGACGACGTCGGAGTGCTGATTAGCTAAGGAAATACATTCCATGGAATTTTATGATGAGGTTCCACCTACAGTATTCCCCATTCCATGGTTCAATGAACCGCAGCTATCGAGAACCACGGCAAAGGGTTTAATGGCATTAGTGCTTTTTGTTTAGTTGTTAACTACCTGGAATCGAGGTTGAAGAACCTGCCCCCAAATGAAAATAAAGACAAATAGGGAATGGGCCAGTCTCGTCAGAATATAATATTCAGAGCGATACTGGACTCTGCTGCAACTCCCCTGAGAGCGATTCTACTAGCTATTCTACTAGCGATTCAGAATAGGACTGGCCTGAAATATACGCAGACGTCGAGGCGGCACTTTCAAGACTTACCATTGTTGGATCTGGGAATAGTGAATGATAACACAGAATATTTTACGGCTTAAATGTTGTATTCTATGTGTTGAAGTGCTATAAGTAACAGAACTATAGAAAGTGTAACCTCTCTTTTGTCAGTGGCAGTTTTCCAACAACTTAATTATTTGGCTGAGCTATAGAAGATTGTAATGAAAACGTGAAAAGCCCAACAATCGGGTCAAACCGACATTCTCACAAAGTTTCGACCCTGAATCAAGCCTCGAGATCAAACTGCAAGACCCGCGTACCACACTGCCACGCCCCACCACAGGGCGGTTCTTTGTTATGAAGTTTAGACCCGCGGGGCGGGTTAAGGATGAGTGGAACCGATTCTCTCCCATGGGGTCCCGAAGCATTGACGCAGATATTGACCGAATATGCATAATGTATACGTGTCGTGCTACGTGCGTCGTAAGGTACGGGTGAGTAGTGATGTCAAAGCCGTGAAAGGGCGGACGGAGACCTTTGGAACGCTACTGCATTTAACTTGTGATTTCATCACATCTGCTTAGATTGAGTCTGCATTTGCGCTGCCCCACTGGCCCTTACCTTACACCGCTGTGGGAATGAGGTCAGTCCTTTAGTAAAACAAGACCGACGCGTCTTCCACAATGACGCACTCAACCCTTCTTATAGGCATAACATAACGTAGCTAGCTGCGGGAGAAGCTAAATTACAGCGATCCAGACAGACGCCTATGTGAATATCTCGAAAAATAACCATATATATAGGAGATGACCTATTTTCCAAATCCTCTGCATTTGATTCCATTGCTAATTATTATAACTAATAGAGGATGTAGCAAGATATAGTAATTATTAGCCACCGGAAAGTAAAAGAAGGTACCGTGTAAATAAAGATTCTACTAGTCAGGGTAGAAGCCTGTCAATCAGGTAGGAGAAAAGCAGCAGGTCCAATTGTTCCATGAAGCTAAAAAAGTCCCAGACTATTTTTTGAGGAGTGTAAAACCTCCCCTCCATAGCTCAATTTATATACAGTCTCATCGTTCAAAACAGGAAGGAGCCTAGGTCTATACTATCTACTATAGTAGCGTTTACGTCTACCCAGGAGGGCTCGTCGATTCCTATTACTATTGTAAAGATATACTCTATAAGTCAGGATAGAGGCCTGTCAATCAGGTAGGAGAAATGGGGCCAAGTCAATAGTGTAGGATAGTCAAAGACTGTTTCTTGAGGATCGTAAAACCTCTTCAACATGGGTCAATTTATATACAGTCTCATCGCTCAAACAGGAAGGAGATGTATCCTTGGTAGGGAAATGGGAGCGGGGTGAAACACGAGGCTTGTGTAACCTCTGTCAAGGGTGTTCCCTGCAGGAGTTCGTACACGTACTGATGCCGAAGCCCCAGCGAGCCTCCACAGAAAGCCTGCCGGCTTATCAGGTCCGGGAAGCCTGAGGCACCAACACTTGGGAATAACCTCATGCCAGGATATATCATAACAACTATATTGCTGCTAAGGGTTACGTAGCGTACCGGTAATACTTTAGTCGCTTTTCGTCTAATATTCTAATACACCTAGGAATTAGGATCTTCTAGGGCTTTCTAATACGTCTTAAGCGCTAAGAGATCTATACGCGAGGATTCCGTTCCGATGTATATTCGTCGCTGAATCGCTAGGGATTTAGGGGTATTTCTAATAAGTGCCTAGGTCGCTTTCCTAGGGCTTTTCTAATAACTAATAATACTTCTAGGTATAGAAGAAGCTTTTTGTATATAAAAGGCTAAAGCAAGACTAAATTCAATCTAACTAGGCCAACATACTGTTTACAAATAGCTTAAGATGGGGAAGTTAGTCCCGCGCGTTCCCCACGTCAACATACCAAGGTCCCGTGATACACATAACCAACATCGGGCACTGGCCCGTGATAGTTACGAAGGTATAGTCGGGTTAAACTAATACTTTTCTATAAGCTTCAGTCTCTTACTATAAAGCCTATGTATAATACTATAGCTAAGGAAATTAAGTAGCGGACTAGAGAGTAAGTATATTCTGTTTCTAGACTTTACCTATAAGATACTTATATTAAGTATAGGTTTTACTTCGGATTCCTCAAGACGTAGGACGTTGTAAGGCTATATAGCTGTCAGCATAAGTGGATGCATAAGCCCCCAAGAGCTATTGAACTTAACAGAATGCAACGGAACGTACAGGTGACGACGATCTTCAAAAATTGACATCAACAGACTGCACACATGACGATAGAGCTTCAACACTCTATATTTCTCCTGATTTCTATGAGATTCTATTCTGACGTATTGCCTCGATTTCATGAAGTTATAAATACTGCCTGTTTTCCATAGCTAAATTGAATCAAGTCTGACACTCTTTTCATTCACATGAGAGATCGAGGCCTACCTGATAGTGTAGCTCTAGTCTAATACTGCATATTGCCTACCTAACTACTACCTATCTAAGACTGCCGACCCCCCTTTTTTATGTATAGTCATTCTTCCATAATTGTGGGTTCTTGGCTGAATCGCACAATCACGATCCAGACGTTCTACGATTAGACCGTCCGACCCGACCTGACCTGATCAAGAGAGAGTTTTAGGCCTACCTGATTGTATAGTAGTCTAATACTGCATGCTGCCTACCTGACTACTATCAATCTAATACTGCCGACCCCCCTCCCTCTATTATTCGACCTGACCTATACGATTCTTCGCCAATCGTATACTGATTTGACCGACCGTGCATATTTGCTTGCTTGTGCACGCCGAAGGATTTATGCCGACCCCGTAAATCCGATAATAGCTATATACCTAGTTAGCGTATATATAGCAGTTAAAAGCTAATAGTGTAACTTAAAAATAGGGTAAGGGTATATTCTTATAATATACTAGAGATATATAAAATATACTACCGATATAAGCTAAGAACAAACTTTACTAACGCTAACAGAGGTGCTTTTAATATCTAAGAGTAGGTTTGCTAAAGTGTACATAATATATAAAAACTGTCCTTGTCTGTGTCCGGGTACTCTAGAAGAATAAGATACTCCTAGACTTCGTAAGCGATATTAGTATCTTTGCTACTACTACTAATCTTTGTCCTATCTGTGATAATACTTTCGTTTAAAGGAGCTGTCGGATTTACGCTGTCGGCATAAACCCTGGGGGGTGCTTAGAGGCGCACACAGGTTAATCGAATACCACGATTATGGAAGAGTGACGAAGGTGCAATAGAGGTGGGTCGGCAGCGAACAGGTTGAACAGTGGAGGGTCAACACAGTTTAATCAGAATTGCCTTGAGCTCTATTCGTGAGTGGAAATGGTGTCAAACTTATGACATTGTCGTCAAACTTATTCAATTTAACTAGGGAAACAGGCAGTATTTATAACTTTGGGTACATAGCAGAATGTCACAGGAAAAGACTGATGAAAATCCGAAATAACATGGGGGCATACGAGAGTGTTAGGAAACTCGTTCTTTCCATCCGATGCAATATTTGATAATCAGCATCGTATATCATGAAGCGGTGTATCGGGGATAATTAATCTAGATTAGGCCTCGGCAGAGTCCATGCATGGACTGTCCAAAGCTGCCCAAAGCTGCCCACTGGGCGGGTTTGGACAGTCCACTAATATCCATGGGCGGACGGGATAGGGGGTTGTCCGCCCACTGTCCAAACCTACCCGCCCAAACCCGCCCACGCGGGGTATTCGTAACATGCATATAATTATGCAGTAATTTAGAGTATCTTAAGGTATGAGGCAAATAAGGAAACTCAATTGCATCCAGTGGAAATAGCATCAATTCATTTTTAATAGGTTTCATAATCCTTGAGCCTCTTAGAAGGTTTACATATCCTCCCTGATGAGCGCTTTCGGCCAATTCCTTCTGGTAATGGAAGAACCATACCGTCATCACTTTCCTCATCAGCATCGCCTTCCTTACTAGCTAAGCTGATTTCATCGCCATCGCCAGCCTGATTACCCAGTGAGGGTGCTTGCTGGTTATAGGCCTCGACGGTTAACTGATCTAAACTCGGATTAGACACAGGATCTTGTTCCTCAGTGTCACTAATCCCATCTACATAATCATCTCCACCATCAGCGTCTACCTCTTCATCCTCGGCCTCCTTCTCATTCCTGAATCTATCCTACTTCACAGTCTCTAAATAACGACTAGTAAGTTCAAACTTAGCCGAGCACATGTACATCATTAGATCCTGAACACTAGTTGGCTTCAGTGATCCTCGACGATAGTGACATATATCCCGTGCAGAGTTAAAGAGACGCTCTACACCTGCACCTGTCGCTGGGATAGAGAGAACGTCGCGTGCTGCACTTGCAAGGGCTGGTAGCGACGACTCTTGCTTTCTCCAGAACTCGAGCGGGTCTTCTTTGACTGTACCTAAGGTGTTCTAGAATTAGCCTGCTTCTACTTATTAGAGTATGATTAACTCACCACTATTAAGATATCTTTGAATCTCGTCTCCCTGGCTCTCCTTGCTCTCCCGGTCTAGCATTACCGAAAGCCTTGAGCCTGTTATAGGCATCGTAGAGTAAGTTAGTGAACCAGGACGCTTCGACAATCGTAGTTAGTAGGGCTGGATATAGTTAAAGAAACTATCTCGGTATGTCGTACGCTATTCATACTTATTCTCGGACCATTCATCACCAGAAAAGTAGTTAAGCTTAAGCGATAGGGCAAGGATTGTGCCAATTGCATAGAGATAACTATGGGCATTTGTTGTCTTTCTATAGTAGACTGCTAGCTTCCGCTTTCCTGCTTCTAGGGCTTGTCGCATCGCTTGCTTCCAGCTCACCTTTTTCCGTCGGAGCTGGTTTAGTGATTTCTCAAGGTGTTCAAATAGTGCGTTGTAGATCTGGAAGATATTGTGGATAGTGATATCTTTAGTTTGGCAAAGAACTGTGGTAAAGTTATAGAAGGGTCGGGTAATGCAGAGAAGGTAATCGATCTGACGCTACTCCTCTCGATCTAAGAGAAACTGATTGTATCTACTCTTAGTGCAGAAGGTATAATAAGTAGACCGGATCCGCTTTGCGCGGCGAAGCATTAGGAATGTTGAGTTCTAGCGAGTCTTTATATCTTGGATCGGAACTAAGGTTGTATCCCCTGATTGAAGCTTCAAAAATAATTCACGGCGCTAGGGACTAGCGTTGACAAAGACTGCAAATACCCGAACCTTATAGCTATATTAGTAATATAAGTATCGATTAGACTTAATTAACGTACCTTATTAAGTGTTGATAGAATTTCTTTCTTCCTACTGTTTGGACGGGGTTGGAATTCTCTCTCCGTATACTTATTCCTTAGCTCAAGCTTCATATGAATCAGAAGATCTCTGAGGCTTAGTTGAATAATATATGCAATACATAGAACTCTGACTATTGGTGCACTAGTAGACTCGGCTAGAGTTTCGATCTTATCATTCAGACTGTCCATCAAGGTTTGGTTATTCGAGGCATTATCGGTTGTAATTGCTAAAATCCGATGAGTGATATCGTAGTCTTTAAGGCGGGTAAGAAGAACCGAGCTAAGATTCTTACTAGAATAAGTGCCTTCTAGGGGCTCGAATCTAAGTAGGAACTCTCTGTAATTCTAATTAATATCGATAAAATAACCAGTGATTGCTATAAAAGCCTGAGAGAATGGTGATGTCTAGCAATTAAGCGCGATTGAAAGCTTAGCTCCCTCTGGTAGTGATTTTAGGATCAATTGTTGTTTCTCTTGCCCGGTCTAGTGTATTTGTCGATGAACTGTTCTAGCGGATAGGAATTGAAGAGGCCTTAGTGATGCTTGGGCTCGCTGGAGAAGCTTCCGGAAAAGAGGGTTTTCAACAATAAGATATGGAAGACGAAGACCAGCAACAAAGTCTGTTATATCCTCTATAAAAGCCTTCTTATTGAATTCTATCGACGAGGATCGCTGTGACGGAGGGTAGAGTTGTCCCTAATAATATCATATATTAGTAACTGAATAGAACCGATAGTATCTCCGGTAGAACTTACTTGTAGATCAAAAAGCTCTTTCAGATTACTAGTCTTACTAGCATGACTAGCTAGTTTCTGGCATTTAGCCCCTTTTAGATGTCTTGTCATTGGTGTTGTCCTATTTCCTTTCCGACTCGGATGGTCAAGGAGCTGGCCACACTCCTTACATAAAATGCGTGGATCCCCAGTCCGGGTATGTGCGACTTGATAGAAAGATCTCTACCTATCTGAATGGCGTTTCTTTGCATCAAAAAACTGGTGACTCTTCTCATAGAGCTCACTTCCAATCGATGTTGTAAGCCACTACTCAACAAACTCGTCTTTGTTCATTTCTGTATAGAGGACCTAGTCTTTAATGATCTCTGGACAAGAGTGTGGCCGAGTTGATATCTGGTCACTGCCTAAAGAACGTGAAGTAGGCGCTGTTTGTTGACTGATCAAGATGTCTGGTTCTAGGATTGGGTTAATATTATCTCCATAGAAAGACGAGGAATAATCTTGAGTTTGTTGTGATATTTTCCCGGGTAGATAAGAGAAGAGCTCAAGTTCATAAAGTAGAATCAAGAGGATAGAAATAACTTACAAGTTACAAGTAAGTAGATAAATAGAGACTAGGAAATTGCGACCGGGGGTCTGTTTACGCGTAGGATAGCGATGGGGATTAGTATAGATTTTAGGTGATATATCATAAATAGGCGATTTCAGCTGAAAAACTCTAAGATCCGATTGGCTACACTATGCGTACTTGCAGATGGGCGGATTTGGACTGTCCAAACCCGCCTATTAATCCTTGAAATTTGCTCAAGACTAATACCCCAGGACTTCAGCAAGTTCCCTTGTCCAAAAATTTTCATCCTTCGGACCCTATTATTTAAGCCTAAGGCATCAACCTCAATAGCCATCAAACCATATTGATTCAAGATGAATAGGATTTCTCCTAATTTTATTAGGAGATAATACATTTTTGATAATTTTGTAGTTAAAATGAAGATATGACCTATGAATCTATATGAAGCTTAAGGGGAAATTAGCTATATTTTGATACTTATACTAGATATGCTTCCTTGGATAAATCCTGGTGTAGTCCTAGAGGTAAAACATATTTTTTCAAGCTCAATATTGCTTGACTAACATTACGTGATAGAGTACATAAGCCTGCGATAATAATATTAATTTTATTGTTCAATCAGAAGGTAATGGTATAGACAATTAAAGATACATAGATATTTCATGGGATTTCCTTGAGGAAGATAATAATATCAGGATCTAGTAGTGTGACGAACAAGAACGATAGTAAATAACAGTCTTTTATTTTGCTGAGTGATCAGATTTATGTGAGGATTTTATGCACAAATGGGCGGGTTTGGACAGGTTTGGGACTTAGCGTGCGCGGGCTGGGCTGGACTGGACTTAGCGCAGTTGGACTTTGGACACTAGAGGGGCGTCCATGGACGGGTCATGGACACCTTAGGGGTGTCCATGGACGGACTCTGCCGAGGTCTAATCTAGATCAATACAATCCTAGTACAATAAAGTCGTAGAGGGCGACCTACTACGCTGCTATAAAATAAAAGCTTAGTCTGTATATAATATATAAACAATTTATTACTCACAGATAGGAGATCGTAAATAATACGATTAATCTCTAACTCAGCATTAGCTGTAGCTTACGCAGAGGCTATAGCTTCAGGATCGACAACGGGGAATAGGGGTAGTTGGAACTACGAAGTAGCTATCTTATAGAATGAATAGAATCTACTGTAAGAGCTTTGAAAAGGGGTAAATAAAACACCTCCAAGAAATCTTGGCGCTAAAAAAATTATATAATATAACATCCTGGCACCCGATGAGCTCTGCCACCTCAACGGGTGTCAAGATTAGTCAGAACTTTTTGGCACCCGCTGAACTGGGTGCCCGGGTGGTTGGAATACCCCCGCCACTCTACCATTTCAGCCCCTCCACCTGAACGCCCTGCCCTGTATCGTTGACCCGTCCCTGAATAAATTAGTTCTCTAGTTGATGTCTGTCTCTTCATAATTGACTACAACACAAAGCCCAGAGGCAGCACAATTTGCAGATCAGCATCAATTTATACTAACACCTAGAATCTGTGAAGCAAAAAAAATGATGATCTGAGGCTAAGCATAAGCTGGACACCGGAGCGGCTTAAGCGGTGCCACGTCAAGCCAAACATAGTAAGACTGTAAGCGCCTCAAAACTGAGGGGTTGCCGTGGGGCATTTCGCAACATCCTGATATCTTCCCTCTATCCATACCACGTCCACGGACAGCGGCTTTCACCATGGCCATCCTGCCTGCAAATCAGAGAGACGACAAACTTTCCTCGCTCTGGCAGGCCGCCTGCACTGACTATGCCAATGAAACCGGGACTACGCTCAGCGACGAGGAACTGCGGAGCCTCCGTGGCCCCGAAGACCTGTCGCGGCAGCTAGACAATGAGAGAAACAATTTCGAGGACTTTCGCGTGAAGAGACGCCCACTCCTCCATGCGATGCAGACTGTGCTCGTCCCCTTTGAGAGCTTTGGCGATCTCATCGCGGGCGTTGCGGCAGCGGCATTCCCGCCAGCGTCGTCAATTATGGGGGCGATGTTGCTACTTGTACGTGCGGCAAGGAAAGTAAGCGAGGCATTTGATATGATTATGGATTTGTTTCGCAAGCTGGGCCATTTTGCACTGCGGCTGGACTCGTATAAGGGCGTCCCGCTGAGTGAGGGGATGAAGGTGATTATTGTCAAGGTGTTGGTGAATTTCCTGCGTGTCTGTGCGGTGTCGCAGAAACTGTTTCGCAAGGGTTCCCTGAAAGCGAGACTGACAAAATGGGCGAAGAATGCGATCGTGGAGGATACGGAGGTTAGTTCGCTCTTGGGCGAGCTGGAGGAGCTGACGAGCCAAGAGCATATGATGGTTTCGGCGCATGGGCTGAACATAACCCATCAGGCGTTCCGGAATACGGAGGAGTTGCTTGAGAGGGATGATCGCAGGCGTGACCAGGAGAAACTAGAGAAGGTCAAGGCTGCACTACATCCAGTATCCGCGTCGAGCAAAGTTTTGTCTTTCATCAATGAGAATCGCATACCTGGCTCAGGGAGCTGGGTAGAGGATAGGCTTCGAACATGGTGGCAGGGAACTCAGCCTCTTCTTTGGCTTCATGGGGGTCCTGGGGTGGGCAAGTCCCATCTCGCGTCCAAAATTATCACGGGCCTTTCGAGTGGAGAGTTTTCTGCTACTGCCCCCTTGGTGGCATCTTTCTTCTGCAGAAACAACGACGTTGATCTACGCTCCGTCAACAAGGCTTTGCGCACCTTGGTATGGCAGGTTGCCACACAGAGCCCAAGCTTCGCAACTCGTGTGGAAGAGTTCTGTTTGAAAGAGGACACTGAAAATACTTATGACATGTGGAGAAAGCTGCTACTCGAAAGCCTCACTGAGACGCCCTCAGTGGAGACGTGCTTCGTCATCGACGGTCTGGATGAGGCGGAGCCGGAGGAACTGGATGTCCTTGCAAGCCTACTGGAGAAATCTTTCTCAGAAGGTGACACAGAGACAAGGCCACACTTACGAATTGTACTGCTGAGCAGGGACTCGGTGCGCCCCGTGCTCGAAGCACATTCTCTGGACTGGATCCCCGAAATCGAAGTCGGCAATAACGAGAACAAGAATGACCTTCACGAATATGTCTCTCAAAAGCTACAGACGACTAAAATGTTTCGCTCGGCGCCTGACCTCCGAGAGGAGATCGTCAAGGAGGTCAGCCGGGAGGCCGAAGGTCTCTGGGAATGGGCTAATCTGGTCATTAAAGCTGTCCTGCGCTGTCGGACCAAAGAGCAGATCCAGAAGATCATCAGGACTACCCCGCGGGGAATAAGCGCGATGTTAAGCCAAGAGCTGCAGCGCTTGAGCAGAGAGCTGTCGCTATCGGGAGAAGCGTCCAATGACGATTACTCCATTGAGGAAGCCGCGACGCAGATTGACCAATTGAATGTCCTGCTCTCCTTTGTGACACTCGCACAAAAGCCGCTGACATTCCGGCAGCTCGAAATAATGCTGCAGATCATCTTCAAAGAGGAGGTACTGAACTTGGAGGACGACATCCGCAGCTTATACTCGTCACTCTTTCAAATACGGCATGACGTAGACGAATATAAATGGGAGACTGATGTTGTGATCCTGCGACATAGCTCGTTTTACGACTATTTCAGGACGTCGCAGAAGTCTGGGCTGATTCATGTCAATGTTGAACAAACCGAGGCCAACTTCCTATACGTCATCCTTCAGACGTTTAGAGAGGTCCACAAACCAAGGTCCGAACTAGGCCCCGAAGAGCTGTACCTGGGTGACGTTAGACCCTATGCTGATAAATTCCTGGCATGGCATTTAATGCGCGCGACTCCTGAAGCCGCAGGGCAGCGACGTGAAGATATTTCAACCCTCTTCCAAGACTTGTTCATCCAAGAGAAATATATGAACTGGTTGGTCACCGTCGTACAAATGAGGGACTTTGCTAAGTACTGCTTCTATCCTTCGTCTCACGTATCGGACGCTGCGGAGTTCTGGCTGTATGCCGAAGATCGGATCACTACAAATGAGAGGGCAGATTTGGTCCTGAATTGGCTTCTCCCGGAGACAAGACAGCGCTTCGAAGAAAATGCTCGTTCATCGGAGGACGCAAGCGACACATGCCCGTTTACGGTGCTCTTCTCCTTTATGGTGTGTAGTTGGTTCCGCCTTTGGCTGACCCCAGATGAAATCAAAGAGGACGATGGCTGGCCTGCAGCCCTTCCACGTCTGTTGAAATTATATTCGGTCATGGCGACAGTGGATGAGGAATCGGACGAAAACGAGGGGTTAAAAAAACTACTACCGATGAGGTGGGGCAACACCGGCGTGTCTGTAATCTTTGAAGCCGCCGAACTACATAAGTTTGAGCACACAGCGATGTGGCATGCCAGAGTCGCTCAGGCGCTGCTCTTGCAATACCACCATCAAGAAGCGCGCGAGCAATTTCGCGCCATACTCGACGATGATAAAATGGCAGATGCCCTCAACGAACAAGACCTCTCTGTCGTGCATAGAGACCTGGCTCGAGCATGTACTGAGATAGGGAGACACGAGGAGGCATTGAGCCATATGGAACTCGCTGAATCGATAAGGTTGCCGGGGGACGAGGATCATTCAGACCAGGATCGAGTGGGCCGATTGCTGAATTTGGCGCAATTGAAGTATCGTGCAAAGCAAAGAGAGAGTGCAATTTCGACAGCAAATGAAGCTTGGCAGGAGCTGTTGGCATCTCGGGAACACTGGTGGTATCCTGAGTTCCTTTCCTTCTTCGACATTTTCCTTGAGTTGCGGCAGCCACAGCTTCTTGAAACTGTTTTAGACTACGCCGCCAAGCATTTTGAAGGGACGAATTCCGAAAGACCGAAGTATATGGATCTGGAATACTACATTTTCGACACTTTCAACGATAAACCGCGCACCATGTATAGTGTGTTTCAGATTGTTTTGAAAGAGGACGATCAGCGTTGCCTAAGTCATCTTGCGAAGGCCATGAAGAAAACCGATACCCTGACAAAAGAGGATCATAACATCGCCCAACTTAAATATCTCATTGCGACTGTACTATTCGACAAGGGACAGTTGGATCTGGGGATTCAAGGCTGGTGTCAGGTTTTCACAGCCGCCTATAGTCCTACTGACAACACTTGGGGTAACGAAAATTATCGCGAGCGATCACTGGCCCACCTGGTGGAATTGTGCCTGAGCGACACTGATATCCCTTCTTCTGAGAGTTTCCCGATCACGCTGGGTACTGCGGCTGACTCGAGTGATGCCTGTTTAATCATTTCGAGCTGGCTTCAGAACCATGGAGATCCCAACAATGCTAGACATGTTCTCCGCGGTCGCGTTAAAGCATGCGTTGCCTTACTATCGGACGACGATCCAACAAATGATGAGGACGCTTTCATTTCTCTTTTCAAGACATTTATGATTGATTCCGGTAGCGAGGAAGATCTCGGTGCAGCTTTGTACTGGATCAAGCAAGATAATGAGCGGTTGATCAAGAGATACGATGACGAGGAGCGTGATGCTGAGAAATCGAAAGACGGGGCGGGGTTGGTGGGCTCGCTGGGCAAAACTAATTTGGAAGACAACAGCGAAGACATGAATAGCGCCGACAGTCTTGACGCTTTGAATATTTGGTTCACATGCGATGCCCTGACAATGTGCTCGATATGCACGCAGCAGATTAAAAGTATCCACGGCTGGTACTATTGTCGCTCTTGCCCGTACAAAACCTGCTGCCGAGAGTGCTCCGGCAAGCACCAGCGGATCGGGAACAGCTCTGGTTTATACAAATGCCTTGGTGTTTGTGATGATGAACACAATTTCTTCTATACCGGTGGGCTTCTTCAGACGGCAGAGCGTGTTCCGGATGGCATGGTACCGGTGGTCTCTTCAGATGGGGATAGGAATGCTATTTGGATTGAAGACTGGAAGGATGGGCTTGCTAAAAAGTGGGAGACTGCTGATTTCACTTTCGATGGCGGGCTGTCGGCTTGGTGCATACGCGTTTTGCCGGAGCCACAGAGGACACGGTGGGCTACAATGTTCAAATCCTGAGTTAGTACGGTAGAAGATCTCGAATGAAGATAATTGATGGGCCCAGAAGGGAGCCGAAGGCAATTTGAAGGCGAATAATCAGACAGTAAGAACAGCTTTTATGCAGGTATCTGCTCAGAGCCTTATTAAATATCCAGCACTCGGTTCGTGACTTCAGAAGGTAAGGGTAAGTAGCTGTAAATACCTTAATGATAAGCATTTACCGTGATCGCCCTGACCACCCCCCGGAACAGTGTGGTAGCCCGTTAGATAAAAGTTTCCTCTCTCGTCCACCATTCACTTCCCTGTTGTGTCCTAAAAAAATTGGACCCTTGAGAACGGATTCTCATCGAAGCCAACTCCGAGGAATCAATTTACTATATCTACATACAAGAATAAAACGGATGAATGCCACATCACAGATGAGCCATAGGCTCTGCCAACAATGCTTTAACCACCTCTGCTCCTCCACGCTGGCCAGATCGGACAGCGCCTTCCATGTATCCACGCCACTCGCGAGAGGTCTCGGTGCCTACAAAATGCACCCGACTAACAGGAGTCGCTAGCTCACTTCCAACCTTTGTAAGGACCCCCGGAGTAGTGATTGGGCAAGGAGCACCGAGGAAAAAAGCCTCCTTAGCCCAATCCATCTCCAACGTATTGGTCGGTGCAGGGACATCGACAAATTTGCCAAAGCTCTGACTAAACTGGTCCCAGGCCTGCTGGAGTCGGACGTTCCGGGGGAGCTTGGACCAATTTCTGCCTTTATCACCGACAAGGAAACAAGTAATAGACCACTGGTCATCCACGGGGATACTTGTGTCTCGAGTGAAAATGATCGGGCCTTTTTCGGAGTCTAGGACACCCGAGAGTCCAGCATTTTGCCACCAAGGCTCCTTGAATACGTAGATAACCTTGGTATAATATCCTGTTGCCGTGTTGTCGCTCAGCAAGGCCTTGCCCTTCGGAAGCGCAGGATTGAAGGCAATCTGATGATACAGACTCGTGGGGATAGAGACGATCACTCTTCTGCATTGGAAGCTTATGCCACCGTCCGTATAGACAGTGCAGTGTCCGCCTTGAGACTGGTCAATAGTAGTGACCGGAGTACGGAGATAGACGGAGTTTGGACCAAGCTCCTCGGCCATCTTCTGGGAGATAGTTTGGTTTCCTGGTATTGTTAGTCGACATGTCCATTATCATCAAACGTGTCTTACCTTGTCGGTTTCGCAGGTATTGCCCGCCGTCTTTCTGATCCGAGATAATATTCTCGATGCCAGCGCCACTCTTGAAGTAGAGCAGCATATAGAGGGCGCTGACTTCTTCGCTTTCCACCCCGAGCAGACACGCAGACAATAGATTAGCAATCTCAACTGCACCTTCAGAAGCAGCCTTTTGGATGCAGAACTCGCGGAATGTGAGTTGATCGATTTCTCTGGCCCGGGCAGAGTTGGTAGGGTTATCCAAGTCAATCATCGAGTATTCAGTTTGAAACACGTTAAGTAGTTTCCCTAACACATCTAGATTTCCCTACAGATTTGTTAATCAACACTTGCGGAAACAAAATAGACTCCTAAGGCATACTGGCAGCTCCCCGAATGGCACTTTCGTAACTGATCCATCCGCTGATTGGATAAGGGTTTCTCCACTATCGCGTTGAACTTCGATGTCGATACCATATCGCTTATAGAGCTTGAACATCTCACGCTGGTTGGTATCATTGATCCAAGAGGCACCGAGATCATTGAAACCCTTCTCACAGGACTGGACAGTCAATGTCTTCCCGCCGACGCGGTTGGTAGCCTCCACCACGCATACGCTGAAGCCTGCCGCTCGCACCAAGTGAGCGGCTTGGAGGCCACTAAGCCCAGCGCCGACCACAACCACGTCGTACTGCTTGTATGCTGTAGATGCCATTTTGATATGCAAGATTATACCTAGACAAGAAGCACTTGCTGGTTGCAAACAGTGGGCATATATATATAGTTCATGAAAGCGAGCCATACCAATCTGGCAATAGCGGCAAAGTTTATCCTTATCTGTAGCCGCGCTTATCATCAGCGAGTATCTACTTGCCACTTCTCCCCACTCGACTATTTGATGTTCACCGTCACCCCTTCTCCATCGCAGGCCAAGAATGACCCCTAGAAATGAGCCAGGTATTTCCACGCACTAGGACAGGCTGCCTCACTTGCCGCCAGCGGAAAAAGAAATGCGACGAAGAGAAGCCGCACTGCCGGGCATGCAAGCGTAACAAATTGGACTGCTCGTGGCCACCACACATACGCCGGAGGTTCGGTCTCGACGATCACAAGGAAATATCCAATGATGGGAACTCCAATGCGTCGCTGGTGGTCAAAAAGAGCTCTACAGAGACCTCGGTCAAGTCTGCATCCACCTCTCACACTGGTGGGGCTTCCCCTAAATTTACAAACAATACCGAGCTCGATGAAGTCGTCTGGTTTCGGGGACTCAAAGCTTTCCTGAGCCCAATGCGAGCGGGGATGCTGCCACCAGTATCCCAAACCTTGCTCTCACACTACCTTGAATCCACCGCTCCTAAATTATCCCCTTCGTCGGACGTGCCATTTGCTTCTTGGGTTATGCCCATTGCCTATAATGATAACCTCCTTATGCACAGCATTCTGGCACTTAGCGGGGCGCATCTCTCTTATCAATCACAAGAAAATATCGAAATCCACCAGGCAACTTTCCGGCATTATTCTTTGGCAGTGAGGACCCTTCGCCGTATATCGGAGGATGAGATCCTCCTTCGCGAACCTTTGGTACTCCTTCGAGTTATGTTGACTGTGATGATCCTTTGTCATTACGAGGTATGTTGTCAAAATAATATCAGGTTAATTGCTACCTCTCTGACTTTATCTGGGGGACTTCAAGGTAATCTTAGGAAATCTTGACGGATCCCCTTTCACCCACCTTCGGGCTAGCCGTTACCTGCTTCTGGAATTGCGAAACAGACGCCACCGGATTAAGACCGCTTCCGAAATGAAGTTGTATGGATTTGTAACGGAGCTCTATTCTTACATAGTCCTCTGCAATACTATCACTCCCTTCGGAATGAACAGTAACCGAACCCTCACACACGACTCATTTCTGCAATCTCTCGACGACTTGCAAGATTTTGGTGCCTTCGGGGTCATGTTCAGTGGCGGGCATGGTCTTTTCGAACTCATTTCATTAATATCTCTCTTTGCCGCATCACAAGAGTCTCTCCCGTCAATAAATGGTGCCGCTGACCCGGAACGGTATGAGATATACGAGCAACTCAAGAGTCGCATTATTAATTGGAATCCCCAGCCAACAGAATACAATGAGTATGAGTTGCTGCCAGGGTGTAGAGCAACCTTGGAGTTTTGTCGACAGGCTTCGCTGCTCTTTCTGGAAACGGCTATGTCCCCTTTCTCTAAATACGACACCGCACGAATCTGTCATCTCCAGCCACTCCTTGACGTGGCTATTTCCTATATGCCGCAGATCTTGCCTTCCAAGTTCTCCTGTATTGTTATGTGGCCGCTCATGATAATAGGCTCATGTCTGGTGGAAGAAGACCAGCGTATGGCCATGAAGGACGCCTTGCTCCACAATCAATATATGATGAGAAACACAGCTCAAGCGAGCAATCTACTGGAGTTACTTTGGCGTGATCCAGATGAATATGCAATCGGGCCATATGGACTGGGTTTGTTGATGGAAAATTACAAATTGGACTATGGGGTTATATGAATTATGACATTGAAGACAAATGTAGCGAAATCAATGTACTCTATTTAATTGTCCATATAACTGCAAGTGGCCTATCAGCCTGATGATTTCGCCATTCACTGGAGGGAAACAAAGATTATATTTTCACGGGTTGAAGGTAGAAGACGGCTAATACTCGTCATAACTGACTTCACTCATTATCAGGCATATCATTGCGATTGGCAAATCCAGCACCACATGTGAGTGGAGCCAAATATCTCATTTCGCCCCACATAGCGCGATCTTCAATATTAGTGTCCAATGCGCTACTTGTTGTTGGCATGGTGAAACTTCGAGGGAGTGCTCCTGGCGTTCTCGGGTTCCGCGGACTGCAGGGTACAGTTGCATGACATGCCCAGGCCAATGGGTACCGACTAGCCGGGGCGTCGGCATAACTACTGTTCGCACACGATTGCGCATGACACCTTGGTTGGTTGCTGGTGCGTGGATAAGGAGACGTGGCAATATGAAGACTGGCTCCCTTTCCTCCACACACGGACCTCCCATTTTAACGAATCTCTTAGTCTTCCACAAACATTTCCAGTTTTTCTCCTTTCACCAATCTTCTCTTGCGTTTGCTGCTCAAAAAACAGAGAAACTTTTTGCTATTCAAAATGAGTGGAAAGGGATCAAACGGGGTTGAGTTACCCGGCGATATCGAGTTTAACAAGACTCCCGCAGCGAAGGTCCCGGCATTTGGGACTAATAAGGATCGTGGAATCAAGTTAAGCAATGTTGGTTCCTGACTTTGTTTATCCCTGCACTATCACGGCCTGGCTAATTCCATCTTCAGTCTGCAGCTATTCACAACGGTCCCCTTCCAGCCGATGGTGCTGGAAACGAGAGCTTCTCCAACACCCTGCTAGCAAGCGCCCTTATCGGAGTTCCTGGTCTCCTCACACTGATGTTTAAGGGTGGAGTAAAAACATTCGTACTTTTTGCCCTCATCTTGGTCCTCCCTATCCTCGTGGTCTTCTGGACCTGGAAATCTTCCTGTAGTCCACCTACCAACAACAAAGTCAAGTTACCTGGCCGGCCGATTGAGCATTATGTGACTTTCAAACGTGAAGAGGACCGGTCGAGGTGGAATGGTAAAAACAAAATACCCATGCAAACTTTTGCAGAGATGTACCTGGACGGCAAGGTGGATTTCAATGGCGATACACTTGAAATCATGGAATATCGGCATGATTGGGCGAACTTCGCGTTTACCTGGGACTTGTTCAAGTTCATCATCTTTACCTTCTTCGTTGATGTTATCTTCCACACGAAGGCACAGGATGATGAGCAGATCCGCCCGAACTATGACCGTGGTAACGACCACTACGCATGGTTCCTTGGACCTCGTATGATCTACACATCGGGAATTATCTCAGACCCAGACCGAGAAGAAACCCTCGAGGAAATGCAGGATAACAAGATGGCCGTTGTATGTGAGAAGATTGCCCTGAAGGAAGGTGAAACATTGTTGGATATTGGCTGTGGCTGGGGAACTCTTGCCAGATTCGCCAGTGTAAACTATGGCGCCCAAGTGACGGGACTCACCATTTCCGAGAACCAGACTGCTTGGGGCAATGATGCGCTCAGAAAGGCCGGTATCACTGAGCAACAGAGTCGTATCGTCTGTATGGACTACCGCGATATTTCACACAAAAAGTACGACAAGATAACGCAGCTGGAAATGGGAGAACACGTCGGTATTAGGAAACTCACGAGGTTCTTCCGCCAATGCTACGATATGCTCAATGACGATGGAGCCATGTATGTGCAGCTCTCGGGATTGAGACAGGCATGGCAGTACGAGGATTTCATCTGGGGTTTATACTTGAACAAGTACATTTTCCGCGGCGCAGACGCCTCTACGCCCCTCTGGTACTACGTTAAGTGTCTAGAGCAAGCAGGATTCGAGGTTAAAGGGTAAGTCACGGCTAGATATACCATTCCGGTTGAACAACCACTAATGATGAACAGAATTGATACCGTGGGTGTCCACTACTCTGGCACGCTCTGGAGGTGGTACCGCAACTGGACTGGGAACTTCGACGAGATCAAGGCCAAGTACGGACAAAGATGGTACAGGGTAAGTTTGCTCCTCACATTAGTTATTATACAGAGTTTTGACCAAGCCTGAACGTCGATAGATTTGGGAACTCTTCCTCGCCTGGTCTGCTATCGCATCTCGTCAAGGTTCGGCCACCTGCTACCAGATGGTTGTCGTTAAGAATCTGAACTCAACACGCCGCATTGATGGAGTAAGCACTCAGTTTGGCCTGGACGGTGCTCTCGCTTCCAGCAGAAAGGCGGGCAAGTCACGACTGGCTTAAGGAGGTTTTTTGGTTTTGCAAAACTCCTAGTCAACTACACCACCCGCAGCCTCATCAAGGCAGATGACAGGATTTGCAATGGTAGTTGCTTTACAATTACGATACAGTCTGTGGCTTACCCAATCGCTACATCCAAAGGCAGCGCAGGTCGGGTGCATCTGGCGCACCGGATAATTGCTATCGTTCCATTTTTGGATCAAGGTGAACCAAAACATTCCTACGGCTGAATAGCACCTCGGTGGTTTCTTATGTCAAATTTCATAGCTTATATTCGTGAGCCTACCTGAGGTTGGGACCATTGACCATATCCTATAGAGTTGTAATTCATCGCCCTGACCACTTGTTTTTCAACTTTGTGATTCATTTATGATTCAAATGAGCGATTAAGTTACAGTAGCGACTATTCTAGCCTCTCATGCAGGGAAACATGCTGGGAATTGAGTTTGACATATGTGTACGTTTTCGAATCAGGTACCTGTTCAATCTGGACAACAGGTAAAATATGACCTTATAATATAGAGTCAACACATTTAGACCAACATGGTGTTGATTTGATTGGGAACGAGTTTTGGACGGATTATTCATACCGGGTGTGCTCGGATAGAGGGCATCATTTGGTCACAATCGTGTGACGTCGACAACTGTGATGAAACCAGAACATCACAATGGGCATAATAAGTACTTATATTCAGATCCAAGACGTAGCGAGCAAGTTCTTTGTAATTTCACTGCGACAGAATCTTTATCGATATTCTCGCCGAATAGATTCACGAAAATGCCTTTCTCGAACTTCGCGATGGGGCCCAGCTCTTTACAAAGACTGGGGCAACCCTGATGGCTCAATTATCATATTTTCCCACGGCTGGCCTCTGAGCAGCGACAATTGGGAGAACCAGATGGTCTTCCTGGCTGATCATGGATATCGCGTCATTGCACACGATAGACGTGGACACGGGCGCTCAACCCAGACCTGGACTGGAAACACCATGGACACTTTTTGTCGATGATCTCAAAGAGCTTTTCAAGCACCTCGATGTCCAGGACGCAATTATGGTCGGACATTCACACGGCGGAGGAGAAGTCACCCATTACCTTGAAAAGCACGGCACTGGCCGATTCAAGAAGGCCGTACTCGTCGGTGCTGTGCCCCCTTGATGGCGAAAACCTCAACCAACCCCGAGGGGACCGACAAGTCTATTTTCGACTCCTTCCGTGACTCCATGAAAAAGGATCGCGCGCAGTTCTTCTTGGATATTCCGACCGGGCCATTCTTTAACTTCAATCGACCCGGTGTCAAGAAGAGCGAGGGTCAGATCCGGAGTTGGTGGCAGCAGGGGCTGAACACCAGCTTCAAGGCAGCCAGCCTATGTATGATTCGATCGCGGACTTTCTGAGACCGATTTCACCGAGGATTTGAAGAAGATCAATACCCCTGTGCTTGTTCTTCACGGCGACGATGATCAGGTTGTTCCCATCGGGGCTGCTGGACTCAAGTCGGCATAGCTTTTGCCTAAGGGGACCCTGAAGATCTATCCTGGTGGCTCTCATGCAATCCACAACATTAATATCGACGAGGTAATCAACGATTTACTGAAATTCGCGCAATCCTAGAAGGGACGCAGAAAACACGGAACGCTCTTTTACTCCGAGAAGCGATGGCAGTCACTAAATGCTTTTAGACGACCATTCTCCAGATGTTCACTCTCTCCATAGACCTGGTTGAGCCCGACCGTGTGTATGATAACCTTCAGAATAAGGCTCCGACGCCGGGAGAATGGCTTGAAGACCCGAGAAACAATTCGTTCCATCACCAACCAGAAAATCATCGTCTTTCTATCCTTGAATCTTGGATTCGCTTCTCTAACTAGTTATCAAATGTGTGAATGTATGACGAAAAGCCCTCCAATTAATTACTTGTTAGCTTATCGATAACCGGCAAGATCCGATAAGGCTGCATCGTAAGGCTGACATTTCCGGAAATTCCCCAATTTGTGAGACCTTCGCACTCGCTTTCCTATGTACATTAGGACGAAGTAGTACATAGGGCGCTTGTAGTAGTCTAGCATCTTCAGAGACATGAAAACTCAGCTGCCTGCTTGTCAAAACTTGGCAGTGGTTCCACCAGCGGATCCATGCATACAGCCCAACCATACCTGCGGATAGCCAAGGCCCTGTTTCTGTATTTACTATTACCTGGAAATACTCCACTCATCGGGGTCTGCCAAGCTGACACAGCTTTCTTGGCAGAAAACCGTTAGCAAGTCATCAAGCACGAATGACAGACGAGTCCGTGAGACAGGGGGTGGGATTGGCAATTGCCCTCCGCTGAAGATTTGTGGAGAGTCCGAGTGTCGTATGTAGGCCCGTTGCTCATCTCGTATGACGGTATGTAACAACTTTTTACTTGGCAGTCCTCCAGGCTGCTATCGGCTGTCGGGCCTCCACTTTTTGTTTCTCGGGGTCTTTTGTACGGCGGGTAACTTACCAGACTCCTACTCGGAAAAACTCTTTGCTCGCGACATTAGAATTTAGAGATTAGCTAAAAAGGGGGTTCAAAGTTTGCGGAACGAGCGTGGCGTAAACGAGAACGAACGTGGGACTGGGTGTGCGGAGGGCTTGGGAGTTACGGAAATGATTTCCAGGAAAGTATTGCTTATAGTTACAGGTGCTCTTTCTCAATGATTTTAGTCTGGACAAGGGCTGAAGTGCCTTTTTCTTGCGTTTGGCCGTTTCGAAGCAAAAAGGTATAGCAATCTAGATTTGATGTGGATGCCGATGTGGTCCCATTGTGATAGACAGAGGAAAGTACTAGAGAAAGTGGCTGAAGATATGTACATTCAGAAAGCCAAAATGCAAAAGATCGCTTCCGCTGAAACCCTATGATTTCCATGCATGTCAAGGAAACAGATTGTAAAGAAAAAACAAAAAGTATATACCCCGCGATTCATCACGGATGCCATCCCGCTGGACCATTACGCGGAATTCATCGGCATATTCGTCATTGGCATGCTTGTCAAAGGAAGCGATGCCGGTGATTTCTCATCTTCCTCGAACATCAACTTTTCCAGCTTCTGCGCCATCTTGGCACAGAATGGGTCGACGTAGGAGGTCCAAAGCGAGGCGCATAGATAGACAAGCGCAATCCAAGACGGGATAGAGATCGCGACGACCCATGGAGCACGAATGGGGATCCAGTGCGGGTGAAGTGGCTCGCCGTTCTCATCGAGAATGGGTTGGCCGTTGCCATCGACGACGTCGCCGTCCCAGGGCTGACCGGTGATGCCGTATAGCATCCAGCATAGCACGGTGCGAAGGAGGGTTCCGTGCACAAGATAGACGGCAAAACTTTGCTTGCCGAGCCATAGAAGGAGGCGGTTGGCTAGGAAGTCCTTGGTAGAAGGTGAGATGTAGATGGCGAAGATGATCAGATCGACACCCATGGCCGAGTAGCGCTTGCCGATGTTCACCTCAGGAGGGAAGATATAGTGAGCCAGCTCAAACATGTAGTTGGACCATGTTGCCCATTCGGGGTGCTCGCCGGGGTATGAGCAGATAAGGAGACCAGTGATGGCGCAGGTTGCTGACACGGCCCTACGACCCCATTTGTGGCGCTGGACAAATTCTTTGAATGCAGTTTCGTATGAAAGATCGCTGAGGAACATGCCATAGATAGCCTGCATTTGGAAGGTTTCTTCAAAACGTCAGCGAGTAAGTCAAAAGGTAGAAAGTGAGCGAAAATGTCATCGTACCTGTGTTTGGGGCCGCGTCCTGGTGGAAGTAGAGGAACATGCCCAGATAAATCGCTAAGCGCCAGCGGAATTTCACAAACATGGTAGCGCAGAGGAGAATATACACGAGCATCGAGGCCTGCAATAGTGGTAACAAAGCCCACTGATGATCATCATATGCCATATAGCCAGTAGTCCAAACACCGAGGAAATTCTCAAACAACCGGAGAACCTCTTTCCAGAACGAATCGGCCAAATCAGGAGCCGCATAACGACACCACCAGCAGTCTGAACGGTTAGCAACGATGAATGCACCAAGCTGAGCCATCACCCATGAGATGATTAGGGCAATGGTAGCTGGGAAAATCAAACGAGGTGGGCGACGGAATGCGCTCTTAGCTACCGAGGTAAATGAACCTAAGTGGTCACCGTTACGAGACTGCTTGATGGGCTTCAGAGCGCACACATAACCAGTCAGAAAGGCGAAAATGGTGACACCAAGGCGGCCTTGCCATGGGATTCGCAGAATCGGCCATTGCAAAATGCGGGGAGTGGCGTCTTCGTCGTCGCGGGGTGAAAAGAGATCGTAGTCCCATGCTCGGGCAAGATGTGTCAAGACAACCAGAAATGAAGCAATTCCTCTCAGGCCCTGTCAGAAAGAAGGTTAGAAAGATCCATGACGGAAGAACTTGGTGCCATTAATCGCGTCGGAGAGATGGACGTACATCAATCCATTTGACACTTTTCCTGGGATCACCCTTCACATTAGGGTCCCCCGATTTCCACGGCGCATTCTCAAGTAAACGGGTGTAAAGATGTCTGGGTTGAATATATTCCATGATGGAATTGGAGTCGAAAGCGATAAAGACTGAAAAAGATGGGCCTAGTTGGAAATCAAAGGTCTGTCATCGGGAGTCCCAAGTCTCTTAACCAGAAGAGCGTAGGCGATAAGGAATGTGGGCGATGACGAGAGTGTACAGCGAGAAGGAAGAAAACGAGTGGATCGCAGAGCAAGTCACGCTCTGCTTTTTCTAACAATAAGACTCCAAGAGCTGCCAAGAATAGGACGAGCGGGTGTCCGCCGGGAGCAGGCTGAAATGATCTCAAGAGTTGACAAACAAGGAAGGGATAGGACTCGAGGGGGGGGCAATTTGGGGTTTTGAATAACTCGCGGGTCCGCCCTCCTGCCTCCAAGGACCTCCAGTTTCTCCAGTAGGGCGGGACGATAGGGGAGTTGCCGAATCGGAGTGGAGTATGCCAATGCAGAACCAAAACTTCGGTTTGACAGCGGGCCCTTTTCTTCACAAAGAACGGAGTACAGAGGAAAGGTACACCCCCTACGAACCAAGTTGATCACTTGCCAGAACGAGATTATGCTAATCTAGAGCATAAAGTGTATTTGATCGAATCAGTCCTATTCTACATGTTCGTTTCATTGCCTAGAGATGTAGAGTGTTTCATCGAATGTAACCACAATTCATGCTGCTCCAATGCGAATGGTAGGCCACAATCGAAGCGCAACAACCACATGAAAATCTGCATGATTCATGAAAGGCCGCGTACTCTCCTGACTAAAAGTAAGACGGCTAAATGCTGGAACACAATTCGGGTCTCAAAGAGGATAGAAGGGCCGAATCTCGCCAAGCACGAAGCCATTGCCATCTTGCCAGAAAGCTATACAGATACGACCGGAACGAGATCGGGAGGAAGGGGGCGAGGAAGCTGACGACGCTGTCTGGAGGAATATTCCGCCCTGCCAATCATCCTCTGACATCCAGAGTGTTAGACTAGGTTTCCGCGATGGCCACAGAATTGACCTGGATGGCGTGAGCAATTTGGTGCAGATCAGATTTCTTTTGCCCAAGACCAGGTTTGACCAGCCCTATGGAGACTGCCCTATGGAGACTGAGTCCGACGGGAAAACCCCATTTCGCGTTTTTGCCTTGTTCAGGGGGTGACGGTGCGTTCAAGCCGACTGAAAAGGCAGGGACCAAAGGGTCTTTGTTCTGTGGTGGAGATTCGTATAACTAGCTTGAACTATATAAGAGATTCCGCTGCGCCGTTGATTAGCATTTGGGGAAAACTGATTCTGTGAATTGCTTTTCGTATAAATGCTTTCGCATATACAAAATACCGACAATCGTCAAGTATTCGTATAGAAATGTGATACAGTATCTTTGCCCCCTAAAGAAAAGCAAACGAAGGAACATTGCATGAAGTTGTGGGCAAATGGCGTCATTTGACCTAATTTTACCATTGGCGCGCGCGATTCGATCGCCGAAGATTTTCGCTTGGCGTGGCTGAACCCTGAAGGATCTGAGCCTGTATTGCCAATACTGTATCGGTAATCTTTGTGTATGCAATCCCAAATTTGATATGGTAAGGAGCATTCCGTGCATCGACCACCAATCACAATTTCTAAATTGTTTCAGTCAATACCAACCATGAAGGAGGTCGATACGCTTCTTGGCGTGCCAGTTCCCCCAAAACACCATCTCACATTCCATGGCTACTGCAAGGGGGCGCCAAATCAAAAACAAGCCTCTACTGCCGAATGTCTAGCCCTGTCAGCAATTTTAATCTACTTGAGGGGGTCAGAACACGCGACCAGGCGTAAGACTAGCAGCGTTTAAGGACTAGTAAACCAGCGGCCAAATACCAGATTCTCCGCTTGCTCGAGACAACGCGCTTCCTACACGCCCATTTTGGTGGTTATTGGAAATGAATGGCGCCCACATCCGCCATCTTTCATTGTGGCGGGCTTGGCGTCCCGGCTACCAAGAATATTGGGGTGTTCGAGCTGTATTGTATAATTTCAGGGGCTCGGCGAGAGTCAACGGGGGAGGAATGGTCATTTTTACAGTGTGATAGTTGCAGTAAATACTGCTTGAGGTAGATACTGAAAATGGGAGATATTTGTCACTTATCGAATGTGATCAATATTTCATGCGTAGTGTATCCATGACTCGCCTTGGGGACTACGTATCTGATACCTCGGCATATCTTACATGTTTTCAATACACAGAGTTCTGGAAGTCTTGTGGTTTCAGGGTTCATGGAGGGTCCAAGGAACACGCCGAACCGAACTGACTGGACGCGTGGCCTCCGACGGTGGACCCGAGGGTCTATATTGGAGGCTCGCCAGATCACCGGCGGGATAGCGCCGCGAGGTCACACTGCTTATGCAATATCAAATAGTATGGTCAAAAGTAAATAGTAGCGAGATCCGGTGTTCTAGTAACGGTTGTTTTTCCAAGGCTAGCAGGTTAGGCTTCTCCCAGCCATGTATCGTCCATCGATGGGCCAAGCTTGATGAAAAGCGCCCTTGGTTGAAATTCCCGGGGCTCCAAGTAGATCCCCGTTATTCCTAAAGAGGTAATTTACCAAGCCATGAGACTTGCATACGCCGACGAATCACTGGCCAGCGAAACAAGTGGATATTTAGGGCAAGCACCGCTCAGGTACAGTATGATGGCGCGCCTTGGCCAATCCACCACTGAACAGGCCCGGCCATTGACGGTGGATCATGACGAGGAGAAGGCCGGGTTGCTCTTTCCCAGCCCATCAATCTGTCAATTCCGGAGGAAATCCCGGCTTAAGCAGATAGGATAACAGAAGCAAGACCAAACAACTTGCACAATATCGAAACATCTTCATCCTCACCTTTCATAAAGGAGTGGACCATCTACGTACGGTCAAATCACGCCATTTTTAGCCTTCTGACTGCATCAACTAGTCAAGCAGCAGCGGCACTTTGCCACAGCACTCCCATTCCTCCTAGCTGGGAATTCCACAAAAGAAACGATTGATGTGATCCGTTGTCTCCCCCAATCCAGTTGACAGCAAAATGCGGGTTACATTTTTAGGTATACTGGCTTGGTCTTTGCAAGTGGCCGGGACCATCTTGCAGAACGGTCAGCCCAGAGAGAACCCGTACCCCGGACAAGCGCCCAAGATCTTTCTCGACGACACATGGAACATTTACGGTCCTGATGTACCGGAAATCGCCTACAAAGGGCGATGGGATAGCAAGCATATCTCTTGTAAGTCAATTCTGCTCTCTTGAGTGCAATTGTATCTAATAATTCAAATTTCTGACTGGCATGCAGGGTGGTCGTTCGTCTCCCCCAAACTCTTTTCTGTCTACCCCTTTCTATTGACACCCGTCGTGGCGATGCTGACATCACTACCAAGGGCACCCGGAATCAAAGTGGAGTTTACCGGAGACAAGGTAACTTTACACTTTTTCCTCATGCTGTGATAAACCTTGTTATGCATTCGAAGTATTAATTACTTTCTCAGCTTGCCGTGAGCTTCGGTCCCAGCACCACAGATGGCGTTCTCGTCGCCTACAGGTATGGTCAAGTATACTCAGGTTGTCGCCGTACCCATCAATAACATATCATTCGATAGGCTTGGATCTCTTGACTGGCAATTTTCCAATGTCACCGCCGACGCGACGTACCAGTTCGTCGGCAACTGGACCGAGTTGACCAATGAAGAGATTCACGAAAAGAAGATTTTCGAGATGCGAGGTAATTTCATTAACTATAATAGAGACAGACATGACATATATGCTAACTGAGTCTTAGTTACCAACTGGGGCTACGGATAAGTACATTGTTCCCCTTCGTCGAACGTTTTACTGATTCCTCGCACAGTCCAACTAGCCGGCGTTGCTACCGCAGACAACGGAGAGCTTACAGTGCCTCCCAGATTTGACAAAAAGGTGGAGGTCATCGGAGGATCGTGAGTTTTTCCAAATAAGCACGTAGATATGAATTTTAATTGTTCTAACATTCCTTCCTTCAGTCTTGCCTCTGGACAATACGGAACATATGAGACCCTCTCATCCTGGGCATATCTTTTTGTGGCTGGCCTAGGCAACGTCGAGCACACCATTACAGTACGCAATCCGCTTCCTGGCTCTCGTATAATACTAATAATGCCCGTATAGGCCTATCCAGGTGCATGCTTAACCGACAAAGCATGCTACGGCGGTGACGTCCACGGCATGGTACGTCTACCCTCATCCCCGCGACATCGCACTCTCTCAATAATCTAACTCTCAATTCCATAGACATGGTACTGGCACCAAGCATCTGACCCCGGCAGCCGCGCAAACGCATTCTACGGCAACGAGCCCGAGAATTGGGACGTCAACGCTGAACAACCCGCCGACCTAGTACTCATCCAAATGGGCGGCAACGACCACCGCCACCCCAACGAAGTCCCCGGCAAAGATTTCTACCACGCATACGTCGACATGATCGACGACATCCACAGTGCCTGGCCACACGCAGTAGTCCTAATTATAGTAGGATATCACCCCATCCCACCTCTTACATCTATGCTAATTGTTCATCCTCCACAGTCACAATGGGGCTCCTTCGTCAAGAAGGGAATGACCCACCAGCCAACCCAGGTCTACGAGGAAGAAGCCAAGAGAGTGCACGAGCATTTCAAGGACCGTGGCTTCGTTTATTACTTTGATACAACTGGTATCTTGCAGTACAATGATATCAATCCCAAGAATCACCCGACGGATGTGGGCCATATCAAGCTGGCGAGTCATTTGCTGCAGTGGGTGAGGCTTGTGTTGCGGTGGAATCTTGAGCCGCTGGGAGAGGTTCAGCATGGGACTCTTTATTGGAATGATCAGCAGGATTATTAGACGCGGGGTCTTTACCCTGGTCGAATTGGGAGTCGGCGTGCTGTACTTTTCTTGACTCCTTTGTATCATATAGCTTGTGGATATGGATATAACTAGATAATTTCTTCATTTTTTTGTGCAATGACATACTTAAGCTTAGGCTAATTCTGGGTTTAAACGCATGATTTCGATCTCCGATGCTTGGTAAATCGTAGATCAAAAGCGAGTGACCAAGATCGGGTAGTCGATAAACCAGGCGTGCAAGTAGTTATGACAGACGGCCTGGCAGGTCGATAGATGTCCACGCGTAGACAATTAAGATTTTCAAACTGGGGTTTTTCAAAAACATGCAAAAAACAAGATGGGGTATCCAAGAAAAAACAAAATCCAAGCAATGCAATATCCATGCAAGGGACATTAAGCTGCTGCGATGATTTTCATCGGACTGGTCGCCTTAACCGTCCCTGTCTCCCCAGCAACCGAATATGCAACCTTCCATTCCACAGTATTAACATGTCTGATACTGTAAGTGGTAAAGTCAGGAATAGGCGCGACGCTAGTCAGATACCGCGAGCCAGAAGCGAACCCAGTCGAACGAAGAACCAACTGAAACATTTCGCCAATATTGACTTTCTTCTCGCCCTTTTCACCTGTACTCATCACCAAGGGCGACTCAAGCCGTCGAAAGGCTGACTCCAGATTGAGGCTCCGCGAAGCCGGATGACCGTCATCGTGCGGATAGTCGGAGAGAAAGTTGCTCGGCGCGAGGACAGATGTACGCTGATGTAGAGTCATTCTCACCCAGTTGATCCCGATAGTCTGGTCTTCTACCGACGGGCTCGTTTGATCTGGTAGTGGCCGGATCTCTAGAATAATTGGGATCGGCTGCGGGTTGTCAAGTTGAATAGCAGCTGGGTGGTGGATGTCCACACTAAAGCAGAGTTTCGGCACCTTTGAAGAACCGAAAAATTTTTGCGTCTTTTGTTTGAGGGTGAGATCGGCCTGCTGCATACCTGGGAGGAGACGCTGGCTTAGAATTCGTTGCGGGTACGAGAGGCGCTTTAACGTTGAGAGCTGACTGGCTGCAGTTTCATCCACTGGATGAACCAGTCGGAAAGGCCATATTGCCTCGACTGATTTACTGGAGCCTTTGAAAGTGTACCGAAGCTGAGCCTTGAGATAGTACTCAACAAAACCAGTTGATGAGACGGTCATGCCATCTCGAGAAGAAACGAATGACCCTGGCAAAGTGTTGTGCGCTGGGTGATCGCGGTCCAGCGGTACGAAGCTAGTCCTGGGCGTATAGGCCCGTCTCACAGACTGCAGTGGCTCATTGGGAATGTTGACAGAAAACTCCCAGCTGAGCGGAGCGCCACTGCCCTCGGGGAGATGCAAGGGCCGGCCTGAAAAGATCGTTTGATCGGATTTCACCAGGAGCGCCTCGCTGCGGTAGTTTGTGCGCGAGTCGTTGGATTTGCTTTCGGTAATTTTCGTCTTCATGCGACCGATTAAAGTTAAGGTAATGGCTGCCTCCGGTGTGATGATAGGTGTATGTCGAATGAGGTTACCGATGATAGTATCACCGGCTGCATAGGACCAGCCGGCCGGGGCGGCGACATCGAACTTGAGATCTGGTGATGACTTTCTGATCGTGACGGGCATGTTCCCTGTGTTCTTTAGAGGGGACTAGGCAGCATCTCGAATGGGGAGGAGATAAAGTTGGAAAGTTGGAAAGTTGCGGCTGTTTGTGCTGCAAAAAGGCAGAGTCATTCGAGTCATGGTGACGGGTTCCTGTGCCCAGCGGAATGATTCAAGTCTGCCTTCTGAGGCTATGCAGTGATGCACAGGCTGTGCCACGCTGGGCGACGGAGGGGCCAGAATGGGTGAAGTACGTAGTAGTACCCGACACCCGGGTTGATGTCGGTCTACCAATAGAATGAGGTAGAAGGTCAAGCAATAGACTGCAGAATGAGATCATTAGCCTATTGATTTATTTTAGCTACATACGTGGGTTGAGATAGGCATAATTATTACTCCACGAGTAACACGCAGGTATTGAGCCACGCTTGAGCCTTCCTTGACTTTGGCCCCCACAGTTAGCGCCCGGGACTAAATATACCCCCAGTTAGCATTGCCGATAATGCTCGTTGAGGGAATAACGTCAACGGTGTCCTTAATTATCATGTTCGGTTCATTTTCTCATGACTTCTAAAGCCTAAACTCTAGGACCATTCAAGGCATATGATTCGTAGTTTTCGCCTAGTATAGGGCTAAATTGTACCTCAAACGGTGTAACCGTTCTGAGTGACCTCGCAGGGGTGATTTTTTCATTGATTACTCGTATGAACACAGCAAAAATGACAAGTATCTGGGAATGCCTCTTTGCAAACTGGATAGGAAATACCCTGATAGGGTGTCAGTCAAACCCAAGAATGTCGAGGAAGACGCCAGGAACAAAGAAGCTAGTGGGTCTCAATAAGCTTATTCAACACCCTTTTGGGATAAGCGGGGGCGATCAAGTCTATCTTGATGCCAAGGTCTACTCCTGAGAGCCACAAAGACTCCACACTCTTCTTTGTCGATGCTATTCCCGTGCATACCTGGCACATTTCATGAGGGCTCTGATTTGATTTATTTCTGATAGATACCTCGATGCGGCATTGCAATAATGAAAGTGATACTATAATTGATATACATCTTGTTTCACATCTCCATACTGATCTGGTGAGATACTTGCCCAGCCTCTCGGTGTACATTGCAAGCTCCCCGAGCCTATTTGCATTTTTTTCAGTTGTGACAACGGACACAGGTTGTATATAAACAACTGTTTTCCATGTTCGGAGGAGCTCAACTCCAAGCCAGAGTGATTATTCTTGAAAATGGTTTACCTTCTTCTACCGAGATTCCTTGTCTTGGCCGGTCTTTTCCTCATTTTAGGATCAGCCACCACATTTCAAGAATCTGCGACTCTACTTGCTCGAAATTCCGGTTCTATCTGCTCTACCTATATCGTTGCTGGAGGAGATACCTGCGCCAAAATTGCCCAAAGCCATGGCATCACCGTGCAGGATATCGAGGCCTATAATACTCAGACGTGGGCATGGCATGGCTGTGCTCAACTACAACAGGGGGCCTTTATATGCGTTTCATCCGGGGAACCTCCCATGCCGGTCGCTCTTCCAAACGCTACTTGCGGCCCGCAGGTTCCTGGTACCGTCCATCCCAGGAAGTATTCCGACCTCGCTTCTTTGAATCCGTGTCCAGCAAGCCAGTGTGTAAGTTTTTCCCCCTTGCAATTTTGCGAATTGAGGCCTTCTTTTCAATATTTTGTTGAATACCTTCTCATTTTGGCTGATTTGTAATCTAGTGCTCAGAATCAGGCCAATGCGGTACTACCTCGGCGTTTTGCAGTGCATCGAACGGCTGTATCTCCCATTGCAAAAAGAACGCAGACACTCAACCTGCAAACAAGGCTTCAGCCAGCACTACTTCAACGAAACAATCTACAACGTTAGCAAAGTCCACCCCTACAACGTCCAAGTCCTCCAAAACCGCCACAGCAGCCGCAGCTTCATCAACCCCACATTGGCAACTCACAATGTACAGCAAAAAGGATTGCGAGGGAGACTACTACCTACTCCAAGGGTACAACACCTGGCTTGACAAATGTCTCCGCCTGGATTCTGGATTGAGCACTGTGGTCTCAGATACAGAGTTGTCCTGTCGGTGGTGGGTTGATGGTGGATTTGGCGGTTGGAAGAGCTGTGATGCAAGTGACTTGAAGAAACCCCGGTCTTGGTTTATGAGTAATGGTTCTTGTATGATTTACTCTGATGATGCCTGTAAGGTGAATACGGGTACTATTAATGGAGGAACGCATCTGGGTTGTCAAAGTGAGCATACTATGGCGACGGAGCCGGATACGAATTTTGGATCTTTGAAGTGTGCTAGCTTGGTTTAAAGATTATGGGAAGAAAGTGGAAGGTGGAAGGGTATTTTTATGAAAGTTTTGAAAAGTTTTCATTGTATTATTCTGCGCTGCTTTGAGACATTGCTGCCACTGTAGTGCAACGCGAAAGAATGCGAAGTCAACATAAAAGGACGAGTGATGATGATCTTCAACTTGTTCCATGTCAGAAGTACTTTTCCTTGTCCCCAGAAAGGTCATAGTACCACCCAATTATCCACGAGGAAACGCGCTGGTGTCGATATGCCGCATCTATCTGCCCGCTTCTTTATTTTCAAGCTCCAGCTGCGCCTTCAAGTTATTTCCCTTCATCCCATTAACTCCAGAGTAGATCGATTCCCCAAAAGCCCGTAGCTGCATTGGCATCATCCAGTTTTTGTAATGATTGACGATATCCATCTTGTTAATAGCACGCGTCAGAGAACTCCATTCACTGGAAAGAGCAAGTTGAACGCACTCCTCAGCCTTGATAGCAGACCACCACCTTGGCAGAATGCCATGAGGGAGGCTTTCGACACGTTGAAGGAAGTGACGGAGGCCCCCTGCTCCACGGTCACCTGGTTGTTCATGCCAAGAGTCCTCATTGACCTTCATTCTGACGAAGACGTCATCATGGATTCGCAGGCGGTATGTGTCTATTAACAGAGTGTAGACGTCCCGTTCAGGTCGATCATGAAGCCACCGGTTCTTAGCGAGTCGATTGAAAGGGTTGTTGATTTGGTGCCCCAAGGCGGGTCGAGCTGGTGGAGCGGTTGCTTGTTGAGGTGCGCTGGACTGTGTTTGGGGGAATGTGTTGGCGTTGCTCACGGCACTCGGCTGGATGGTTGGCTGGATGGTTGGCTGGATGGTTGGCTGGATGGTTGGCTGGATGGTTGGCTGGATGGTTGGCTGGATGGTTGGCTGGATGGTTGGCTGGATGGTTGGCTGGATGGTTGGCTGGATGGTTGGCTGGATGGTTGGCTGGATGGTTGGCTGGATGGTTGGCTGGATGGTTGGCTGGATGGTTGGCTGGATGGTTGGCTGGATGGTTGGCTGGATGGTTGGCTGGATGGTTGGCTGGATGGTTGGCTGGATGGTTGGCTGGATGGTTGGCTGGATGGTTGGCTGGATGGTTGGCTGGATGGTTGGCTGGATGGTTGGCTGGATGGTTGGCTGGATGGTTGGCTGGATGGTTGGCTGGATGGTTGGCTGGATGGTTGGCTGGATGGTTGGCTGGATGGTTGGCTGGGCGCTTGGCTGAGTGCTGTTGAAACACACGTTCCTGTGCTGTGCCCAGTCGAGTATTTGACAGCTGCGGGAGCAATACAACACGTTGTTGCAACGGCCGCATGGAGCCAGTGGCCGACCTGCGTTGGCGGGCTGCTGGCAGTAATTGCACATGTTGATCGGGAGGGACGTATTGGCCGCCATTTTTTGAGAGCTGCAGTGTTTGATAGTGGTATCAGTGATCTTGTTGTTGTTGCTGGGTGAATGATGCGTGACAGACCTTGACAGAGTGGAGGAGAGTTCATGAGTGTGATGTGAAAGGGGAGTAGGAGAGGTACTCTGGGAACTTTGGAAGAAAGTGAAGGTTTGAGAATGGCGGTGACAGGAAGCTCGAGGTAGACGCAGATGAAAGAATCGTGAACCGTGGAGGTTTGCTCTTTCATCTTATCAACACATGTTTGCCTGTTGTTTGAGCTTGGTGTTCACTCCCACCCTCTTATTTTGGTGTCTATGCATTTATTTCACTATCAGTACAGTGGAAGAAGAGCCTCTCGAGAAAGCAAACAATCTACTCCAAGCCAAGATAGTTCCTCCGTCTGGCAGCTCAGCTCTTTACAGTAAAATGGCTCGCCTAGATCCGGGAAGTGAGGATGATGTTTCCACCGAGCCAGGACGTATGTAGTAGCAGTTTGCCCTCGCGATACATTTTTTTTGCTGTATAGCATCAAGTATGATCTATACTTCTTATCACACTCCACCCTCTTCCCTTGGCGTTGAGAAAAAAAAATAGAAATCGACCCTTTGCCAAGGTCAATACGAAGTCCCATTCTCAGACACATGTAGATCAATCAATCACTCGCATAAAGCAACCAACCTCGGGCACAGTAACCATTCTCCGATGTTACATCCACCAGCCAGAACACAGTTTGTAGAACCTCATCTTTTGGTCTCCCACCTGGGTGGCATCAATCGGGGTACTTGGCAATCTCTTATGAATGGAGTTCTGATATTGGCAACAGGGAAAAAGACGAGATATATACGGCCTCATAATGAGAGTTGAGATGGGCTGATGAGTTCACGATGAGAATACAGATTGAAGAGAAAAGTATTTAAACAGCCTGAAAGCCAGTCGTAGATGGAGGTCTACAACAACAACAACAACAAAGATCTGCTGTCTCGAGCATCAGCAACATCATCAACTCAATATGATCAATCTTTTGACCCATTGATCGGATATCTGTGTCAATCATGAAATTCACCATCTTCTTCCATGCCTTTCTCGTGGCGATCCTCAGCCATGTGGCATTTGCATCTACCCTGAATGACCGTCAGGACTGACTGCTCGGGACGACGCCAATGGAGCCGTATCCACTCCTTACTGCGATGTCGTGAGCAGTATCCTCCCTGATGGAAAACACAAGATCGAGTTCTTCAGCGACGGGATTCTCGAAGTAACCGCGCTTGAGCGTGAAGATGGTGGTAAAAATCTATTGACACATTCCAACACTTGCGAGGGGTGAATACTAACATAAGCAAAATGGAACGCTGTCACCTTCTACGATGTCGACGGCAATGAGATCAATATGGATGAACTGAACGACGATGATGATGACGCCTTCGAGAAAAGAGTTTCGAAGTGGAAATTGGCAATCCAGTTTGCGAGGTTGATTGCAAAGTAAGGGAAGAGACCGTGGACGTATATCTACTGCGTTGGCACGGCGCCTTTCTAGAGGTACGGCAATAAGGTGCCCGTGTAAAATCCCTGCAGGTCTGATTGAGAGTACCTAAGCAATTTGCGCCTATGAAATCGGGTTCTGTGATTATTGACGCGTCTTTTGTTCATCGATTGCGCGTCTATTGGTCGTCCCGCTTGGAGTTGTTACGAGGGTGGCCGTTGTGTCGGTTTGGAACAAGCACTGCAAGTAGAGCATGACAGTTGGAGTGACGAGGACGGGCCATGAAATGTATCTAGGTACGTAGCCAGGTCGAAACGTCATGGATACTTGAATTATGAGTCGATTTTTGCCGGTCAGCTAATCGACGATCACGCTATCTATAGCTCGGTCGTAGCGGGAAAGGGGAACAAGTGTTAGGTACCTAGTGGTGGACTCAGTTCTCGCGACAAGTGGAGATTTATATTGTCCGAGGTGGGCAGTAGGTAATGGAAAGTCAAAATCCACACAAGGGTTGAAAACCAAAAACTCCGAATAGGCCAGGTCAAAGCAGGATGATGCAGAAGTAGAGTGAATAAGAAGTTAAATCAATAAAGTGACTAATATCGTACATCTCGAATTTTTCGCCTTTGCTTCGGGTATTTAACTGCTTGCCAGCCAGAAACACATTCAAACCCTGATTAAACGCCTAGTATGATACATGTTTTATACAAAAGTGGTGGGTAATGCACAATCCATCTAAATCAGAGCTTGTCCTCGGAACATGCCCTCGCGAACCTCGCGGACAACATCCTTGCGGTCCTTCTTTCCAACCAGCACGACACCACGACCACGCTTGCCCATACGGCCCAGGCGACCGAGGCGGTGAATGAAGTCGATGGTGGTATGGGGGACGTGATAGAGAATGACAGTCTTCACTGCCAGAGTATCAATGCCTCGAGACGCGATATCGGTGGTGACGAGGACTTTGGTGTTGGGCAAGCGGCGATCGATCTCGGGCTTCTTCTCAGGCTCCAAGAAGGGAATGGATTTCTCGGCGCGAGCCTGCTTGCGGAGTAGCATGATCTCGTCTGCGGTTGGGGGCTGGTCGACCTCGGTGAATTCGGCGAGAATTTCCTCTTGTTTCCGGGAGCTGGAATCACGAGACAGCGCGACGGCGTCGATGTTCTTCGACACAAGGAATTTGGCAACCTCTTCCGCCTCCTCACGCTCGTTGACGAAAACAATGATTTTCTTAACCTTGGGACCCATGTATTGCGTAAGAGGTCCGAAGTTCTCCTCACCAGGCTCGCCGGCCTTGCCAATTGACCAGATCACGTTTGCGCAGGCGAGGCTGCGGTTTCCACGGTAGGGCTCCTTATCGATATCCACCACACCGAGTTGTACGCGTCGGGGAACGGCATGCAGATTCGGAGTGGTCAGGCGCTTAATATCCGGGTAGCGCTTGCGAAGCTGGTTGTCAAGACTGCGGGGGATTGTGGCGGAGCAGAAGATCAGCTTCTTGAGTGAGGGCGCCGTCTTCTCAATGATCTCGGTAGTGGTCGGAAGGAAAGAGCGATCCATCAAAGAATCGGCCTCATCGAGAACAAGATGACTGACGCGGCTGAGGAGATAAGGATTGGTTTTGGCGATGGAGGTTAGGAGGTGCGGTGTCGAGACCAGGATATCGATGCCATCGGGGTGGTAGAGAGTGTTCTTGATCCGACGCGGGGTGAGATTGGAAGAAATAACCCCTGAGCGATACTTGACCGAGTGGGCGAGGGCCTTGACCTTGACTCCAACCTGTGCCACAAGCTCCGAAGTAGGAACCAGGATGATTGCCCTCGGGCGACCGGCATCAGACATTGGAGGCTCCTCCGGCTCAAGCTCGAAGGTCCGACTCTTCAATCTTTCCTCGCGCTCCTTAGCCTTCTGTTCTTCCAAGATCTGCTGTTCTTCCTTGTCTCGAGCTTCGGCACGCTTGACCGCATCGACAACCGGAAGGAGATATGCCAATGTCTTTCCAGAACCAGTTTCCGCTGCAAGAAGGAACTGATCATATTGGGGAGCATCCTCATCCGCCTCCACTGGTTGGGTTTTGGTTTTGTTATTATCGGCGAGAAGCTGTGGGATCGCAAGACGCTGAATCGGAGTTGGCGTGACCTCGGCGAGTCCGGGCAGAGCTTGGGTGAAAATCGCATGGCGGACCGCGGGAAGGAGGGGGAAGTGATCGAAGCTGGTGAGATTGGAGATCTTTGACTTGATGGCTGCCCGGCGGCCGTAGGATACCGGAGAGAGAGTAGTCTGCATCTTCAGTGCTTTGAACAGAGGCGCCTCGGTTTTCTCGGATTTGCCTTGTTCACTGCGGTCGCCGGAGCGCCTGACAGCGGCTTGAGAGCGTGGGCGTGGCGTATCTGGAATGCGAGCCTCGGTCTGATTCATCCCAGCCCAAGGGCCGCGACGATCTCTTCCAGAGCGCGGCTTATTCAACGTAGGTTTAGCCACGTTAGGGGATAGAGCCATCCGGGAGGACTTTTTGCGCAAGCGCGCGGTTGCCATCGCTCGTGCCGCCTGCCATGTTGGAAGGAGTGTAGGGAGAGCAGTCGCCGTTACTCTCGTTTGGCAGAGAAAGCATATCGATGAGCGTACGGGAAGAGGCATCCTGCCGGAGTCGACTCACAAGCAGTTAATGTAGAAAAGATTGTCTCTTGTTCGGAGCCCGTCAAACCAAAAAACCAGATTCTCATAATGGGTTCACACTAACCCTGATTCGGACTAGCGGCGATCCCTCGGACCTGACGTCTCAGGCACAAATGTCATGTGATCGTTATCTGGACTGAGTCAGCCACACGTCCCCCCACCGTTGCTATGGAGACTTCCGCGACGTCAACACCACAACTTGCTTTGGGGTAACAAATCCACTTTCCGACCCACGGAAATAGATATCGAGATCGGATCCCCTCTTGTTATCCTCTTCAACATCCCTTCGTTATCCCTTCCCTCGTTTCCTGTGAGCCTTTGGGTCTGTCTTTGATCGCGCGATCGTTGAAGTGGTTGCATCGTTTTGGTGACACGCTCACATTCCTGCAAACGATCGACAGGGCTTCTCGCTTTCTCCAGGAACACAGACCAGGACTCGGTGTTTTCCCACTCGAATCCTTGTATCGATTGAGACAAAGAGAGGTATGTTACCTATCGTTAGCATCACCTTTTGTTTCCTTTGGCCCAAAGCCCTCGTGACTCGATTGCCTGCGCCTGATGTGATGAACGCTGACACGTCGCAGACATTTTCTTGTTTTTGATCTTGTTCGCCCATCTCCGTTGCATTGCAGCTTTAAAGACCAACCCACGTCATCGTCATGGCTAGTGGACTCGGTCAACGGCCACTCTCTGAAGTGAGCCCCATGGCTCAGCGACGCAATTCACCCAGCTGGAACCAGACAACAAAGGTATATCACGCGATTACTACGAGCGCATCGCCTTACGAACTGAACTAACACATCCCAATAGATGGCAAACGGCGAGTCCCCTGCCTACGATGTATCTCCTCTCAACAACAATGCCTCCCCCCGTTTCTTCTGGAAAGGCCGCGAATCTCCCTCTCCCTTCGCCAAGGGCTCCGAAAACCTTGCGCCATATGACCCTGAAGGTGTCTGCCTACCAACAAAGCGCCCGTCTCTCGAGGACCTCAAGCGCGCATCACGTGTCAAGAACTATAGCATGTTTCAGAGTGGCCAAGAGTACGACCCGGCGCAGGTCTCACTTCCTCACAGACCGCTGGCCACCGATCGATCACCACACCGAGACAGCCAAATGAACCTCGCAAAGTCTCAACTCCCCGATGAGTGTAACATGGATCCTCTACCACGACCGGTTTCACCCAGTAAAGATCAGCCGTCGCCAGGCAAGTCGTCGCTATCCAAGGGTAGTCGATATGGAAAAGGTTTCGACCCACAGAATGATATTTGGTCAGAGTATGACAGCGCTGGCCACCGACATGCGAAGAGTGTGACATTTGATGTTGCGCCTCCGCAAGTCAACGAGTATGAAATGCGCACCCCCGACCCAGCCTCTATTGCCTCGGGATCGCGTGAGAATAGTTATGACTCTGAAGAGGAAGGCGATGTCAGCTTTGACCATGACACTTCTTTTGAGCGCGATGACAGCTTCGATGCATCCCTTGAAGATATTGAGAAGACACCTGTTGTTCTCCCCGAGGACTGGCGGTTCATGACCCCTGACAGTGAGAACGGTGACGAAGAGTCCTTTGCCGAGTCTGTTGAGGATCATGTTGCCGAGGAGCGCCCTGTATCCCGTGAGGGCGAAAAGTCCAGCCACACGCGAGTCGAATCCCTCGACTCCGATGGAGAGCGGCGCCCACTGCCGCCATTGCCTTCACTGTCACGCCTATCTCTCTCGGGACCGTCTTCACCGGGAAAGCTTGCTGCCGCTTTCGAGCTGGGCAGTGCTGGTCACCGCTCTCTGCCTGTTGCGCCTGCCGCTGCCTCTTACAATAAAGCCGACATCAGCGGCGCCATGTCTCTCGAGGACCGGCTACGACTAATGATGCTCCATGAGCAGAAGGGTGAGGAGAAGACAGATGACGGAGAGACTATCGACGACGTGGCTGCAAAGGCATCTGAAAATGTTGACAACACTGGCATGCCTGCCGAGAACGAGGCTGAAGGCAACGAGCAGCCCAAGGATGACCTGTTTTCTCCTCCTCGCATCTCTCGTGACTCAATCCTGAGAGATATTCGGAAAGGCGAGAGCTACGATGATGAAGACGACATCTTTGGTGATGACTGCCAATTTGCCCCAAGTCCAGATCCGTACCAGCATTACGACCCCGATATCCCTATCCCTTCCTTGGAAGATGATGACGACGATGACGCTTCTAGCGTGATCATCAAGGAAGAAGCTCGTGATGATTCTCTCTACGCGATTACAGATTATTACCAGCATCTGTCTGATAACAGTCTCTCCTCCCGGGATCAACGTGCGACATACGATGATGACAGCAATTACTCGCTGCGATCTGCCGCTGAAGTCGCTAGCAACAATGCCGCCAGCAAGGGATCCGGCGAGTCCACCCCCACTGCCGAAGAGCCAAAGGAAGGTTTGCTCGATGGTTTGAAGTTGGAAGACCAGACTGCTGAGCCTCTCGAGACCCAGCCCCTTGACATGGCCTCAATCCGCCAGTCTCTTGGCCGTCCTGTGACTCCCGAGATTAAACAAGAGCCCATCTCTGAGCCATCCACTCCCGACTCTGTGATTCGTCATCCCATTGAAGATGAAGGAGAGCACGATGACGAAGGATACGAGGAAGACAACGTCAGCTCTTCAGACGAGTCTATCCCCGAGCCTGTCGCCACTATCCGTGCCCCTGGCGCTGGACTCAAGACCCGACCATCGCTCACCCCCGCAGATATGGAGTCGATGGCTGCTACTCGCCGCAAGATCAGTGGTCAATACCCGCCTCCCATGCCAACACTGACAAAGCAGATCTCGAACGAATCCGAGAAATCTGATCGCGAGGACAAACCCAGCGACCTCCCACCTCAGCTTTCCTTGCCGTCCAACCTCACTCAACGACAGGCCAGCCTGATGCAATTGGATATTCCGTTCAGCATTCAGGAGGAAAGTCTTGGCTCTGGCCTGAGCAAAGAATTCGATCGCGTCATCGAGTCCCAAAAGGTTGCGTTCGAACTCGCTCTTTCCCAGCTTTCCTCTTGCCCTCAGCCGGTCCCCAGGGCTCAAACCCAGCCGGCCCCACAAACCCCAGGACATTCCAGCTCAGACAATGCATTGAAAGCAGCCACTAATAGTCTTCATTACAAACAGAGAGGCTACCTCATGAGACAAAACACCAAGGTTGTCATTGCTAGCAACCGAAACGAAGAGGAGCCCGCCCTGGCCGCCGATCAGGACACTGCGGATCCTCGCGGTACTCGTTCGGCTGGCTCTTCTCCTCGCAAAGCCAGCCAGCAGACATGGACAACAGTTCCCTGGAATGGCCAGGCTCGCCGGCCTAGTGTGAAGCTGGCGGGCGCCATCCCTAAGAAGAAGCCCGTTCCCGGATCTGTTCCTCCTCTCCCTGGCCAACCCAGCAATGTGCAAGAGGCTCCTGCAACCATTGACGAGAACGAGCCTCTTGTGACCGAAACATATGAAGAGGGAGAAGAGCGCGGTCGACTGTTTGTCAAGGTTGTCGGCATCAAATACCTTGACCTGCCTATGCCCCGTGGTACGAGTTAAATCCCTGCTCATTGGAGTGAAATTTTCATGCTAATTTAACTACAGGTGAACGATCTTACTTTGCGCTTACCCTAGACAATGGTCTTCATTGTGTGACAACCTCGTGGCTCGAACTGGGCAAGTCTGCTCCTATCGGACAGGAGTTTGAGCTTATTGTGCAAAACGACCTAGAGTTCCAACTCACCCTGCAGATGAAGGTTGATGAGAACAAGTTCTACCCACAAGAGATTCCCGGATCTCCTCGCCAGAAGACGTCCGCTCTCAGCCGTGTCTTTGCCTCGCCTCGCCGCCGCAAAGAGCTTGACATGAAGCAGCAGATGCAGTCACAACAGCAAAAGGCCAACAATGTCAATGCTCCTGTGTACGAGAGACTACGCAACCTGGTTGCCCGCGACGGCAGCTTTGGACGTGCTTACGTCGCATTGAGTGATCACGAGAAGATGGCCTTTGGTCGCCCCTATACCGTCGACATTGCTTGCTTCAACGAGTGGGCGGTGGATGAGCAACCCAGCAGTGTGAAGAGCAAGAAGAGCGCAACCAGCGTGACCGCCCAGCGCCGGCCTCCTTACAAGATTGGAAAGCTGGAGCTGCAGTTGCTGTTTGTTCCCAAGCCCAAGGGCAGCAAGGATGAAGACATGCCCAAGAGCATGAACGCTTGTATTCGCGAAATGCGCGATGCTGAGAGTCTTGCCGCTCGTTCCTGGGAAGGATTCCTTTCACAGCAAGGTGGAGACTGTCCTGTAAGTTATCAACCTCTCCCACAATAACTCTCGCACTGTATATACTAACGATGCTACAGTACTGGCGCCGCCGCTTCTTCAAGCTCCAGGGCTCGAAACTGACCGCATACCACGAGACTACCCGCCAGCCACGTGCTACCATCAACCTGGCCAAGGCCTCGAAACTCATTGACGACCGACCCTCCTTGACTCAAAGGGAGACCAGCACTAAGGGTGGTGGTCGCCGCAAGTCTGCCTTTGCCGAAGAGGAGGAGGGTTACATGTTCGTCGAGGAGGGATTCCGTATCCGGTTCGGTAATGGTGAAGTGATCGACTTCTATGCGGATTCAGCCGCGGAGAAGGACGGTTGGTTGAGAGTTATGTCTGAGGCCGTCGGCAAAGGGTCATCGACTGGCAGTGGTGCGATCAAGCCTTGGGCTGACCTAGTTCTCAAGCGTGAGAGCAGCATGAAAGCTCGACGTAAGACTGCGGACCGCTTTCCTCCCAGCGGTATTCCTGTTGCTTCAGCATCCCCAGTCGGAAAACGCCCCAGTGGAGTTGGAGCACCACCAGCTTCTGCAGGTAATGGGGCGCAGGCGTCCCAGTCCCCCCGGCCCCGACACAAGCACACCTTCTCTCAACCCGAGCTGCCGAGTGCCGAAGCTCGCCGCCAGAAGACCCGCTCCCTCATGTTCTAAGGAACTATCCGAATGACCGCTATGAACAAAACCTTCACTTCCTTTCTCCTGGACATGATGCCAAGTTGTCACAATAACCTTTTTGATTCCCCTTTGTGGATGTCCGTCCATACCACCATTCTCCCTCTGCCTTGGAGAGCCCATTTCCTTTTCTGTCATCCGGTCTTGACTTTACTCCACGGTGCTGGCGTGTACGATGCAATCCTCTTTCTTGTGTTTTCTTTTTGTCTGTTTTTTTGTTGTCATCTTCACCAAGGCTTTGTGCATGCAGCAATGCTATGACCCCCGGACTACAGGACACCTCCAGATGATTTCCTTTTCGAGATCCTGTTGTACTTTTAATGAGACATGCCTTCTGGTTTTTCTTCGCTTCATGAGTTGATAGTTTTTCTGTTTACAAATTTGATTGTTTTTGGATCGATAATCTGCCATGGAACTCTATTACTAGTAGACATGCGGATTGTGACTTGATAATTGGGTATCGTCGATGATTCAAATTCATTGCTCTATTCCCGGCCCTGAGCTCTTCCACGTCTCTACACATGACAACGACCGTATCTATTATTCAAACGGGCCTCTGCCAAGGATATTATGGATGCTCGAGTACCACAATTCAATCTTTCAAAATAGACAAAAGGGCTGCAGTTACCTGACTACATTGTAGTGTCTTCGTCAAAATTGGGATGTCGTGCTGCAACGTGCAATCGGGCATCACCTACCCTCAATTGATTACGAATCACTCATAGATGTCGTACAAGATGCCATCATCGGCAGCCAATTAATAATTGAAATCCGCGATATAAACCAGTATCACATGGATGTTGTACGTGTCATCTGCTCGATCTCAAAACGTACGACAGCCAATTTATCAGCATTTCTTCATGTCAGACCAATATTGCGTGCTGCTCTGACAAATGGAAGCATTCACCCCGCACGAGCGAACTATAAAACCACAACAATGAATTCTCACGATCGCCTATGCCAGAGATAGCTTACAGACAATCTAATTTAATTCAACGAGTATCATCTCAGTCATCACTATGGCAGCAGCAGCCGTTCAATCATCTACCGGGCTCGGCCCCAATCTGGCACAGAAGCCATCAGTCTTGGTTTCCGACAAGCCTCATCACGTCCAAACGACTCTCAACTTCCTCAAGGAGAACGAAGATGGATCTCCACCTAGTCCGAGCTATGTGGGTAAGCCCGAGACATACGAGAAGCCGACTGTTCAAGTCGCAACTACTGTTCACGATATCAGTGGCCACGAGCTAGACTATTCCCTGGATAGCCATGGGTTCCAGCTTTACTATCACAAGAGCAAGGAGATTGACTTCATTGACGACGAGAAGATTAAGAGGGAATATTACCCCGAGACAGAGCAGTTGTTGAAGGATGCGTACGTGTTCCGCTGTTAGGTGGATTGTCACTCTAAAATCCCTTCATTCTGTTCGATCACAATTCTGACTCATACATACATACAGTACGGGTGCTTCCAAAATCTTCATCTTCGACCATACTATCCGCCGTCCAGCAAAGGACGGTTCACCTCCAAATACCCTCCGCGGACCTGTCCAGCGCGTACACATCGATCAATCCTACTCCGCATCCAAGAACCGAGTCTCCCACCACCTCCCTGACGAGGCACCCGAACTCCTGAAAGGGAGATACCAGATCATCAACGTCTGGCGACCTATCAAGACGATTCTGAAAGATCCCCTCGCAGTCGCTGACGCACATACCGTCCCGGACAGCGATCTGATTCCCATCGGACTGATCTATCCGGACCGGGCGGGTGAGACTTATGGTGTGAAGCCCGATCCGAATATCAAGTGGTATTATCGCTATGGACAGACTCCTGATTTGGTGACATTGATTAAATGTTTTGATTCGAAGACGGATGGGAGGGCTCGGCGTGTGCCGCATACGGCGTTTGTGAATCCTGAGACAGAGGGTGAGTCTGGGAGGGAGAGTATTGAGGTGAGGGCGTTGGTTTTTCATCCGGATGATCGTGAGTAGTAGGTAGATTTATTTTTTGGTTAATTAATTGATGGGTATAAGGATTCATGAGTTGTACCAAATTGAGCAAGATTGACATTTCATCATAATATTGAGCCACTGCTATTTTCCGTTTCGGAATGGCAGGGAGTAAAAGATACAACATCGCATATTGAATGTGCAAAAGCCATTTCTTTCAATAATCTATTTTCCGGCAACTTCCTTCACAGCAGCGACGATATCGTCGGGGCCGAGACCTTGGGCGTTGATCTGCTCGTAAAGACCGCCACAGCCCTCCTTAACAGCGCCCATGGTCTTGTACTTGGGCGTGAGCTTGCGCTCCAGAAGCTGGGAGCCGAGGCGAGAGCCGAGACCAGTCTTCTGAGCGATAGATTCAACGACAAGGACAAATGGAGTAGAGCCGTAGATACGGATAGCATCCTCGTCGACGACGTTTAGGGTCGGCTTGTTGATCAAACCGACATCAAGACCGTCTCTGCGCAGACGCTCAACGGCATCGAGCGATCGGTAGACCATATCACCATAGGTGACGATATAGCCGGCGGTACCCTTGCGGATGACTTCTTCTTTACCAGGCACAAACTTGTAGCCCTCGCCATAGAGCTTCTGGTCAGTGCCCTCCTTCAGGATATAAGGCACCTTGGCGCGAGTGGAGAAGATGAATCGCATGCCCTGGTCCCAGAAGACCTTGCTCACGACGGCCTTCATCTGCTCGCCGTCAGCAGGGAAGTACAGCGAAGTCGTCTCGGCATCCATGAGGCCATTATCGGCAAAGAAGTGGTTCAGGCCAAAGTGACAGGTGTTGTCCGCCATCTCGTCAACACCGCTGTGCGAGAAGTGGGAGAGAACGGTGCAGTTGTTCAGACGGGCCATGGTAATCTCGGAAACACACATCTCCAGGAAAGCAGAGAAAGTGGAAAAAACACCTTGACGCTCGCCATTGCTGCCAAAGCCGAAACCGGCAGCTGCTGAGAAGTTGCCACGCTCCATGACACCAGAGGGGATGAAGACCTCCGGGTGCTGAGCCCCAATGGCTTTCAGGCCGGTAGAACCAGCGAGATCCGAGTCAATCACCATGACACGGCGAGCCGCTTCTTCTTTGCTAAGGCCATCAAGAATTGAGTTGACAGCCTCGCCGAAGATGACACGGTTGGCACCCTTATCCTTGGTGGAACCTTCGTACTGGTGGGGATTGGATCGGGCCTTAATGTCATCGTAGAAAGCAAGCTGCTCCTTGCTGTATCCCCGCTTTGTGAGGTACTTGCGGGCGATATCGACAGTGATAACGTCGTGTGCGTGAGTTTCACCTTCAATTCCCTCGATACCAGCTGCCATTTTTCGGTTGATGACAACCGCAGCAGGGCCCTTGTGGTTGATGACTTCGGCGACCGCCGGGTACAGAGAGTCCAGATTCTCGCCCTCTGCGCGAACAACGTGCAAGCCGTGACCCTCAAGGGTCTTAGCAATATCATAACCCTTCAGATACTGGGAAGGGTGACCAGCAATTGTGACATCGTTGTTATCAATGAACAGCTTGACGTTGAGGTTGCGGGCGACCGCAATACGCGCAGCCTCAGCGTCATTTCCTTCCTGCTGCGAACCATCAGAGCCCAGCATCAGGACATTCTTATTGTTGTTGGCCATCGCAATACCGTTGACCATTCCCCACATGTGTCCCAGACGACCGGAGCTGAACTTGATGCCGGGCGTGAGGCCCAGCTCGGGGTGACCGGGGAGTTTCGAGTTGGCATCGCGGTAGTTGAGGAGGTGTTCAGGGTCAATCTTGCCGTCCATGGCAGCTAGAAGATACTGTGTGGCGACACGGTGGCCGGCCTCATCGTAAAGTGCGTCGACAAAGCCATTGGGGTTCGCATTGATCATGGCAAGTAGAATGCAGACTTCCGGGGCTGTGTCGAAGGGGCCACCGGTGTGGCCCGACACGCCTCGAGCAGCACCGGTCGCGGTGAAAGCAATGATGGCATCACGGAAGATGTTGATGTTATGCTGGAGATCGCTCTTCTGGTCAGCAGTGAGGGTGTTACTCTTGGGGTCAAGTTTCAGTTGCTTGAACTGCTTGAGATCGACGGGGAATTTGTTGCCGCTCATGATGGTGGTGAGTAGTAGATAGGATTCGATGGATTGAGAGGGACTCTTCAAGAGGAAGAGTTGATTATTTCAGGGGAAAGAAGTTTCTTCTGCCTTTGAAACCAGTCAAGAGCAGCGAAACCGGATGGAAATCCGTTGGCCACCAAAGGAGGGGTGTTGACGTCATGGGCAAAGGTGGAGGGACTTTTGGTTTTGCTACAAGAAATTACCATTGCTCTTACATAATTGCATATTTACGGTCAAGGAACAGCTATCAGTGTGGATATTGATAGATTGAATTCATCATAGCTGGAACTTATGTATCTGGGAGCTTCAATTGCTTCCACGCGAGTTGGAACTCGTTCTAATCATTCTACTGTATGAGTCGAAGCTCTACTTGAGAAACGACAATTGCAATTCAGAAATTGATCGCTAAATATTCGTTGTTCTTTTTCATCCCCAGCTAATAGCCACAGAATCAAAATAATCTAATTCCTGTCTAAAAATCTCCGATATCCCTTATACGGACGACGCCTCATCCGCCTGGTGCCGTAAAGCGGGTCAGTGAGGCTCTATGGTGGGACACGATCGTCCCAACATGATTATTGTACAAAATTCCTTGGCTTTACGCCTAGAAGTAAAATTTTTGTGATTAAAAAGTAAGACGCTATCCAAATTGAATTTTATTGCTTGAAATTATCACATCTCAATCAAATAAATGGAAGAACCAAGCAGCTAGCATAGTCACCACCCGTATAGATCGTGTGCTTCCCCCGATTTTCATCCACTGGTTCCTTCAACCTCATCATCTCTACCTCTGGTAGCGACATATCATGCCCAGACACACGAAGTACCAATCCCTCTCCAGCCTCGAATACCATTCCAACCGGCCATATGGGAATGAGCAACGGAACAACCGCATCAACAGGAATAGGCTCCCGTCGATCATGGTCATACACCGGGAACTCATCATCGTTCTGTCGAGGACGGAGACTGACATGGTGAGATGCTCGAAGCATTCCTTGCTGCCCGAGATGTTTGGCGATATTGACATCGGGGACTTCTGGTTGGGGCTTCGGCATTGGTGACCAGTTCAGGGATTCGAGGAGCTTGCCTGATGCAGAGACTTTGCGAATTTGCACCACCACGTCCATTTCGTCGGACGAGTTGCAGGACATGTATAGTTTTACAAAGGGACGGCCACAGAGCTCTGTGTACTTATCGAAATGTAAAACAAAGTCCTGGGGGGAAGGTGCTGTTAGTGATGTTGAACTAAGTTGCTGAAGTGTATAGGACTTACCGAACAATCGCTCAGTGAATGACTCTCGTGTGCAACGAAACTGGATACAGCAGGCTGTGCAGAAACCAAAGCCTTGTTGCTTGCATCCAGATAGTACCGAACGCTATGTTGAGACGCAGGCGGCCATTGCTTCTCAGGACGCTCCTCTACTGTCTTCGCATAGCTCCCATCGTACCCAATAAGAGTAAGTCTAACTCTGGGCATTTCAGTTTCCCACCCATTTTGAAGTCCTTTAGCGTAAAAGTCATAGAAGCGCTGCAAATCATCCATGGCTTCTGGTCGATACAAATCGTGCCATTCCTGGGATGCATGAACTCGAAACCATTTGCGGGAGGTCTGAGCAGTTTCGAAGGTATGGAATGAACCTTCGCAGTGAAGGCCGGTAGAGTAGGAAGCTGTCAGATACATTGGAATGTTGTGGATATTCTCCGGTTTGATCTTTTTGGCGTCCCAATAGTCATCAAAGAGTAGGCGTTGCCGCACCATGGCACCGATATTTTCGATATTTTCAAAGCCTTATAAGATCACGCAATCGTTTTAGCTACTTGCTTCCTCATGGTAAGATTGGATAGCATACCTGCAAATCCACGCGTGATAAACTCGCTAAATCCTGCGTTGGGAATTCCCCCTCTTATCAAATTATGTGCATATGGGTCGGTCATGCACTCCCATGGAGCAATTGCTTTGAGATTTGGGTGAGTGAATCGAGAGGCAAAATTGATCTGCGAAATTGCAAGCCAAGAATTTCCCCTATATCATCTTGTTAGTATATTTTTCTCGGTCGACTTCGTCGCCACCAAAGAACTCACATCATGACCACAGACCCGTTGCACCAGGGCTGCTTAGCTACCCATGTGATAGAGTCGTAGATGTCGGTAGCTTCCTATTAGACTGCATTAGCGTCCACACCTAGTATAGAATAACCATCAATAAATACCTGCTCGCCCCAGAAAGCAATATCTCCCTCCGAATGTGCACAACCCCGAGCATCAATATCAACAACAGCATAACCTCTGGCACACCAGTCCGCTGGGTTAGGACCCTAATTGATTGTCAGAAATACCCCGATTTCGATACAAGTAAAGATACCTCAAAGGTTTCATATCCACTCAAGTGTTGGTACGGAATCCCCATACGCCAAGGACCCATACGATCATAGTCTTGAGCACCACTTCCGACCTTTCCGTAGGGACTCCATGGAATGATCGCAGGAACCTTATTCTCTTCGTTCGATGGTCGAAAAACATCACCGTAGATGGTGACGCCATCTCTCATGGGAATTGCCCGATCATGCTCCCACGTCACATCAACAGAGAAAGCTTGGTATCCTGGTTCTTTGACATGGCCACGGGGTAGTTGATCAATTTTCCCGGGATGGAAACCGTTGTAAGTAAAAACTGGATGTTTACCAGGAGCAAGAAGGGGTGTATACACCAGGTCTGGGAATTGCTGTTTGAGCTTTTCTTGAACGGGAATTGTGGTCATCTTGTTGATGTTGAGTTTCAGGACATGCTAGAGTGAGGAGGAATGGGGATATCGCTCTGGATGGAAACAGGTTCGGATTTATACAGCTTTCTCTATGCTCGGATATTCCGGTCGGTAGGAATTGACGGCAGATCTATTCATTAGGCCGAGGCTTCTCAGTTTACATTGTTTCATTGAGAGGGGAAATGGAAACCTACTTTATTCTCAGGGAGCTAACTATGTTGCAATGTTGTAGTCAGCGGAACTTTTAACTGTAGCTGGTGGGGTCGTTTGGCGGGGTGCTGGGACGAAGCTCTAGTTAGAGAACTTGGAGTGGCCACAAATTGCCAGAAAGGAAACTTTACCGCAAGGTTCCTGAAATATAAATGATGGTTTTGGGGTTTCTCTTTCTCTGTTCGTCCAAAAAATCACATTTTGTCTATTTTCATACCCGGTTTCATACATCTCTATTCACTGCTCTGCCGTCAGGGTATCTTTTTCCACGCATTGAGCCTCAACAATGGCTACCAAGCTTTACAACGTCGGTTTAAATGTTGATGAAAATTTGACCTTTGGCGTTTTTCGAGATGAGAACATACCCACACCAGGCGATGACGAATTGCTCATTGAAACTCTTTACTCTGGAGCGAACCCGGCAGACATCAAGCATTCAACTCACCTTGGCATATATCCTACACGACTTGGCTACGACTTCTTCGGCAAAGTGATCAAGGCTCCCTCAGGATCAGCTTTTCACGTTGGAGATAGCGTGGCCGGATATACTCCAACAGGAATAGGTCGACCGGCCAAGTACGGCACGCATCAGAGCTACTTGGTCTGTCCTGAAAAGATGGCATTTGTGGTTCCTGAGAATCTCCCTCCGGATCATGCTGCATGTTTGAAAGTGGTTGCGATGACGGCAGCGGATGCACTGTACAACTTGTTCAAACTTCCTCTGCCTGGCAAATCAACACAGGGGCTTCCTGGCAACATCACTGGCAAACCGCTTTTGATTTGGGGTGCATCCACTAGTGTGGGAATATGCGCTATTCAACTTGCAAAGGCTAGTGGGGTCTTCCCTATTCTCGTCTCAGCCTCGTCAGAACGACATGCTCTTTTATCAGAACTTGGTGCCACTTATTGTTTTGATTACAAGTCCCCTTCTGTGATTGAGGATATCAAAGCAGTGTTGAAGAACTGGGATTTTGACGGAGTCCCATACGCCTTCGATACCGTGGGAAGTCCAAGTGGGGTAGGATCAGCACAGATGGTGGCTTCTTGTGCCTCAGATGATGCTATCTTAGTCTCTGTTGTGGTTCAAAAGGACCGTCGTTTTCTGATGCCTTTGGCGGTGACCGATGAAGATGTCACATTGAGGATTCCGGGCGTTCCTCATCGAATAACAATTCCAGCACGGAAGGAGGACCATCAACGTGCACTGAATGCTCTTCAATGGGCAGTTAACAACTATGGATCCCAGTTTCGACTTGTCTCGGTCGATGTATTCAAAGGGCGAGCGGAGGATGCGCTCGTGGAGTTGAAGATTCTGGCTGATAAAGGCCGAGGTTTTGGGAAGCTGGCTATCATGCATCCACTTCAATGATGTTTTAAATAATTCCATGCAAATTGTTCAATGTGTTTCTATACTTCGTTGCTGCATCTGTCCTGGTCTCGACTCATGTTATTAGGTCGTTATATGAATTGATGTATAGGGTCTTCAGATAGATCAGATAGATGCCATTTGTCCTTTCGATCTACCCTTGATGGTGACAGATTAGCACCCCCGCAAAACCACAGGCTAGTAATCCCTCGATCAATCGGTGAACCGCTTTCGAGTCCACATTCTGATAGTTCGATCAGCGGGGTGATGTCGATCCGGAAGAGGCTAAGTGGAAAAAGCTTCCACTTCCGCTGAGTCATCTTTGTGGCTTCCACGCGAGCCCTGGGCCGTGAGAGGATCAGGAATTGCCCCGCCTTTGCTGTGGAGAGATCAGGAAGCCTTACTACGTAGTGAGAGCGTAGAGGTGTATGTAAGAGCTCAGACTTGCCGCATATACCCCACAAGATCGGGATTAATCCGAAATTAAGCAAATACCATCTTTAAGTGATCACTGGGTTCACCTAGCCGCCCTTTAGGATATTCACGTGGAGCCTACGACCGGAACGGTATGTCTCCTCGACCACATCTGAATGATAATATGCTATCATTTGGGGTCAGCATGGTTCCGTCACAAGCCGATGGCAGACATACTTATGACAGGAATAGCACTTGAAAGTATTGAGAGTTGATTCATGTAAGAAAAAGGAGAGATATTCCCGTTACAACGGCGTCCCGGTAGCCCTTCATCGAAGATCCATAATTCCATGCTCATAGATCACATTCCTTCCCTTTCACTCAAGCTTATCACCCTCTTCCCCCTTCCACCAAGTCCAAATGGTCTCGCCCCAAGCAATAAGCTCCATTATAGCGGTAACAAATGCAAGAGCAATGATTATCTTTTTCGTGTTTTCGCGAACCCCAATAGACTCAAAGGTCATGGCGAACGGTTTCCAAGCGTCATCGTCAGGAGTATTTTGGCTTTTTGCCTTCTCCATACGGATGGCATGTGTTGAGAAGGCTGAGGAGAGAGAATGTGGAGGCCGATATTGTCGAGATCGAAGTGAAAGATGAGCCACACGGGCGCAAAGTGTAGGTTGTGTTTGTGGTCGCGTCCATACTTGCTGTCTTGACAGTCTGAGGGGTAGGCGCAGGGCCCTGCTTGCTGGATTCATCTTGTGAAAATCTTGGGAAGAAGGAGAGATGTGTTTGTTGAGGTCTAAATGAGGTTGCGTGGGGGGCTGACTGCTTCAGGTGCGATGAGTCTGACGCTAGTCTGGAATAGGTAGGTGCAGGAACTGATCGAAAGGATAGATAGAGAGGCTAGTAAACATTAGTCTGGTTTGATTAGATTACTTAATCTTGAGTTTTCAAGCCCAGATTCCTCTTATATTGATGTTCAGAAATGATAAGCCAAACTAGGTAGGCCGCAGGATGTCTATACAAGATGTTGCGCGGTTCCGTTCGTCACATTACCCTAATTGGGAAACGGAAGTAGATACCTCCCTAAAATGAATGACGCGACTTGCGACCATTCAAAATGCACGCAGAAATCTAGCTTCTACATCATACCTACTCTGAATTTCCAAATGACCTCGCTTTCAGGCAAGAACAACTTAATCGAGGACATTCTGGAAAAGGCTGGAGCCATACGTACACTCCAGTCCTTTCGAATGATGGCCGGATATTCCTCTGGAGGGAATTTTGCCATAGGTCTGGCTGAGCTTATAGAAGCCGAACACTACATACGGAAGTTCTACCAATCTGAAATTTCGAGAGAGAGCAAAATTAAGAAGGCACGCGAGAACACTCCTAGCAGAAGCGATGCGACAATCAAGAAATTAAACCAAGAGCTTCAACATGCACGCAAGAATTACTGGGTCGCAGAGAGAATGTCGTGGGAATTTAGGGAAAGCTTTCGCCCCGGTCCATTCTTCAGGGGGTTCGATCTATGGCGCTCGAACCCTAGGTGGTATCTTCACCGGGTTCTTCGCGAGGACTGTGCGGGCAAAGGTGGCTGCTGTGGTCGAAGCTGCGGATGTTGTATTAAACGTCCGATGAGAGCAGACCGATTACTTGATGTTGGTCATTGCTCGAAGAAATGTGGCTGCTGTGAGAGAGCAAGGGGATTCAAGGCTCCCCCCGGTTTCGGAGAGGTAGAAGGGCAGGATGAAACGAGCAAATTTTGGAGGAGGATCGATAAAAATCAACAATGAAGTGATGAATGCTACTATGAAAAGGCGCTTATGAAGGCAATGGTGCTGGAGCTGGAGTCAGGGACGCTTAAAAATCCGTTTAAGTTGATTGATGAACGAGTACAATTCAAGATGGCATTTGGTTCATTGGATCCTCCACCATGGTCTACATGAGTTTGTGTTCATTGATTCGACCTGGAAGGTTGAGACAATGAAGATCTCTTGCGTCGTATTTCTAGCTGGATTTCTACCTTGCTATGTTAATGGAAGGACGACCGCTGAATTCCATGCTCAAGGACGAATGAATAGTGCTATAAGCTCGAATCCAAGCCTCAGGGATACAGCTCCCTCAAACTGGAATCTTCTTCCCTAGACTTTTCCAAAACTCGCACCTCTTATTCAGCTGTTCAAGCTTGACATTCTCAAATCCATGATCCACAATCACAAACTCCTCCCCAGTCCTCTGCAGCACTGGAACACCCGGCTCCGAGGAGTTCGTCAATTTATGCGCATTGGGATCCCCAGTCTGGAAGAAGCTCGCAAAGGCACCAGCATATCCCTGATAAACGACAGGATTCGTCGTTTGCACCACATTAATACGATTCCACTGTTCCAGGTTAGCCTCATTATCAAGAATGACCAGGTCATCTTCAACCCAGTCCAAGAGAATCATTTACGTAGATTGTATCACTCCCATGCGTCGCCGGCGAAATCGTATACTCCCCAACATACCCCTTCCTCTGGGCATCCCCCGCAACCCAATAAGCCGGACAAGCAAGAACAACATCCCTATAAATCAATCCCGCCCTTACATACGTCGTATTATACTCCACAATCGTCTCCGTGCTCCCATTGACAGGATAATACACATTCTCGACAAGATCAATCTGCTTGGCCGATAATCCGGGTAAAAACCCGGTAACCCAGTCGTGGAAACTCGCCAGCGAAGAATTGTACCCGTTCGTCGTGACGTCCTTCTGCAAGCCTGACGGCACGAAATTCTGTCCCTCGTGCGTATTATACATACCCCATACAAACTCTGTGTTCAATGTGCCGCTGCTGACGGCTTCGGTCAGCGTATCGGCTAGAAACTCGCCGTCGATGACGGGGGCCCATGTATACGAGCTGGTTGTCCATGTATTCTCTGTGTCGATGATGAGACTTGCATCGCGGATTTTTTGGGTATCGACCGATTTCAAACAGGACAGGACCTCGTGCGAGTTACCGGTTTCCACACACCCGGTTAAATTGGCGAGTTGGTTGTAGATAGCTTCCGCCTTGGGGGCGTTATAGGCATATGTCTTCGGCCAGAAAGGAGAGCTTGCGAGAGCTTTTGAGAAGAGCTTCGGATTGCCATTTCGACCGTTGGCTAGCACTTGTGCAACAACGGATCCTGCACCGGCTGATTGGCCCCAAATCGAAACATTGCGAGCATCACCGCCAAAATGGTGAATATTATTCTGCACCCATTTCAGTACGTATTGCTGATCGAGTAATCCGGGATTAAGATCCGAGGTAGAAGACTCCTTGATCGCCTTTCCAGGCAAGAACCCAAACGCATTGAGTCGGTAATTCGGATAAATAACCACATAATCATTCAACGTGCTCGCATTCAACACTGGGAACGAAGAAGGCGGCATCGTAAACGCCGCATCACCCTGGATAAACGCGCCACCGTAGAACACGACGAGTACCGGTCGGCGGATATCCTTGGATGTATCCCATGGTCGAGCGAAAAGACCGAGATACAGACAATCCTCCGTGCCATTGACGGTGCGCTGGGCGCACATATCGAATGTCTGATCTGTGTCGTAGGTGCCATTTGTAATTTTTAAAGGTGGTTGAGGAGCGCGAAATCGGTTTTCGCCGGTGGGAGGTGCTGCGAAGGGGATTTTACGGAAATATGAGAGGTTGTAGGTTGTGTCGTATTTGCCTTGGAAGGAGCCATAGTCCAGGTGTATTAGGGGGTTTTCGTAGGCGTTTGCTATCGTAGCAAGGGATGAGGCAGCAAGGAGAATGGTTGAGAGAAACCGCATTTTGAATGATTATGCGCTTGGAGTATAGTCTCCAGCTTCCAAGACGTGGATGATCTGATGGTCTTTGGTGACAAGGTCCTTTGCAGGAGGTCTATATAGTCTGTTCCCATTTGAGACCAGTCAATTCTCGCGAGAGAAAAGCCCGAGAAAAGGGTGCATGGTCCTTGGCGAGTCTACTCCAGTCATTCCTGTAGACGAGGGCCAAGCATCAGGATTTTGTTTTGCGGGCATGTCATTGGTGCAGTTATTCTTCACAGAGATCGCGGGGATACGATGCGGGGAGATGCGGAGAGTGACTCTTCGGTGTCGATCATCCCGATGGCGAGATCCGTCCGGATGAAAGGAAGATGGCATCATCATTGACAGTAGAAGATCTTCTTGGTTTCCAATAGTAGACGATCTCATTCATTCCAGATATGTCCGTGGTCCTGTCTACTTGAACTTTAGGACCTATGTCCCGAGGAGGATCCATAACATCCATAACACCCGTTGCAAAATACAAGAAATCCCTATAAATCCCGAAACAAATAAACAAGTCCTTCCATGCACCTAAAACCCTTTCAACACCGTATTCCCTGTGCAATGATGTGCATAAATGTTACAAGGTCCCATTCCTCGAGGCACACACCCAAACACCCTCTTCCTCGTAGATCCATTAAGATTAGACTGACATTCACTTTACATCGTCATTCGAAGGTCCCGGGTCCGCCGACGACTCGCACGCGTGTTGCGACGGGGCTCATTGGCATCACTAGTCGGCGTCTCGGTGCGTGCATCCGAGAGCTCTGGGGTAGGAGTGACGCCGAAGCTGATGCCCCGGTCTCGACGGGAGACACGCGCCTCGGAATCCGGAGACAGAAATCGGTGAATGGTGCGGTGATCCATGACTCGCTCTTCGCGATCAGCGCCCTTCTCAGTCTTCGGCCATTGGAAGCCGTAGATTTTGGAGTGTCGCTCGCATCGTGGACACTCGCGACGGGTCTGGTACGAGTTGGACTGTACGAACCATGACTCGCAGGTTTGGCAGTCGACCCATCGATCGTACTTTTGGGCGAGTAGTCGTGAGGTCTTGGTGTAATCGCCTGGGGATCGAGTGACAGGTACTTCTGTCTCAACTGAGGCGACGATAGCCCAGTTTCGCTTGCGCCGAGGCTTTCGCTTCTTCTCACCCAGGGTTTGCGCATCGTCTGGTTCAAATGAGTGTGATAAGCCTAAGATTTCACTGAGGGTGGGGCTACGTGGGAGGGAGATGGGTGTTTCTGGCTGACCTGTGATGGGGGTATCTGGACGACCCTCTCCTATTATAGTTTCTTGGGAAGGGTCGAGGCGGCTCGATTCCGCAGACTCTTCCGTCTTCACTTTAATTCCAGTCTCATCCACGGAGGTTGGGAGACTTGAGCTCGATGATTGACGGGATTCATCAGTAGAGCTTGGTGAGTGACAGTCAGCCGGGCCATCGGCTGCGGGATTGGTGATCGTAGTAGGATCAATGAGAGTGACTGCATCCGTGTCAATGACCGCGATATCAGTTTTGCTCTGTGATTGATTGGTTTGATTGGTTTCCTGAGTAGATGGCACTAATGTCTCAGGTGGAGATTGGACTCCTTCGGTCACAATGATCTCCTGTCTCAGTTTAGAGACCTGTCGGTCACCTGCAACGGAAATAGGGAGGACAGAAGTGTCGAGGTCGGACTCTGGAGTCAGAGGATTGTAGGACTCGGGAGTCGTAGTTGACTGGGCGGTAAGGTCTGCCATGCAGATCTCTTCGCGTAATTTCGAGGTCTGGCGATGGAACTTGGCTCGCTTGTTTGGAGTGGAGCAGACCGAGGAGAGATCCTCCGTGTCCGGGTCAGAATCACGTCGGCGCTTCTTGCTTCCCGATTTGTGATCCCCAGGGCCATCCTCGTCTAGTAAAATGGGAGAAGTTTCTTCGTCGTTCTCATCCGACTCCACCTGGGGTGACCAACCGTTCCGAACCGAGTGTTCACAGGTCATGCAAAGACACTCACAGTTGTCAATGCCAAAGTAATCCTCGCCGTAGGAGACCGTGATTTCTTCTCCTTCGTGGATGTCACGAGTAGCCATAACCGACATGCCCTCAGTCCCGCGAGTGACCAGGCGACCATTGGCGTCGCAATCATGGTTGGCAAAGCGAGCGGGCCCTAAGAAAAATGAGGGGGTCTTACGGCGGCTAGACATGACCACACTGAAATCCTTGCGGGTGAGGCCCAAGTCCATCTCCTCTTCTTTAGTCATAGCGACGAGGGTACCGGCGAGATATTTGATCTCCTGGCCAGCCTTGATAAACTTGCGGGCGCATATAGCGGCCTCGTGTTGTGTGATAATGTAGCGATTTGTGGTCGTCACTTCAAAAGGGCAGTCCGGGTGGTACATCTGGATGTACTTCCGGAGATGACGACGGAACCATTCTTTCTCTCGAGGGCTGGGCAGATTTGCCTGGTATTTTCGGAGGCCTGGCAATTCCAGCAGTTTGCGCTCCGCCGTAGGGATGTCCTTTGCGACGACAACATCGTGGAGGAGGATGTGGCCCACGTCGTCATCGTGGATGCCGCGGGCAGGGCCGTACTTGTTGCGATTCTTGCGTGTGGTGGTCCAGAAGTAGGCCTGTAGAAAGAAGTGGTCAGTATCGTGGCTCTGGGTTCCAAATGTGAGCTGAAGTCGTACGTGATCGACCAGCGCATCGGTTGCGACGTCGTCATAACTGGCCAATTTGGCCAAGGTCAGACGCTCGCGGCGTTCGGTCGCAGGAGAGCTGGAGCGTGCTTTTTTGGGCGGCATTGTTGCAGTCACATGTATGAGGAGGCACTCGGAGTGTGAGGGGGTTTGTTCTTTCAAAGTTTTGAGAGAAGGAGGCAGATTGCGCACGAGACGAGACCGATTGCGGAGACTCGAGGGAAGGGAGGAGAGCGTAAAGAAAAGAGGGCTGCTGGTGGGTGGGTCGAAGGATGGATTGAAGGAATGAACAAAGAAAGAGAACTATGTCGACACGGTAGGTGATGTAGACAGCATGGCGCGAGGTTAATCGCGAGGCCAATTGGTGCTGGAAAGGCAGCGCTGGAGTCCGGGTGAGGCCAAAGGGGGGAACTTTCAGCCAGGAACCATCATCCGCTCCGGTGGTTGCCCGGTTTTACACTTGAATTCTTTGTCTTATGGCCCCCTCCAGGCACTGCCACTTTCTGGCTCTTTTTTATTACGATTCGCCTAGTAAGTAGTACCTTTATTTTTATTTATTTGACATTGATATCTCAAATTGGTAACCTGTAAACATCCTGACACGCGACTATCAACGCTAACTCCGCGCGTTGCCGCGTACAACAATCTCCCGAGTGGCCTTGCCGCAAGGGTCCTACTCTCACAAGAGTATAAGGTTCCTTGAGTATATATTCTCCGAGAATTGAGATAGACTTTATTTTGTCGGTTGAAATTTTCTAGTAATATGTGCAATAATATGCGAGATTCCTATACTCAATGAGTTGGTTCGTTTTTTAGAGCAGGATCTTGTGCTAGGGTCTATAGTATAGTACGTACTGTCCATGAATTCAAGAATGATATTCCAATCTCAAAATCGGATAGAGTTTTCATTTGCTCGAATTACAGGATAAATGAATATAGACTATTCTTGCCACTGTCTTGTCCCCATAGATATACATACCACACACCAAGGACCACGCGGCATCCCTCAGCCGCATGTGGGTTTCCTGTCTACAGTTGTACACTCTGCGTTTCCCTACAGTGGTAGAATCTTCTACCATGCATATATATCCATATCTAGGGTTAATATTTAAAAAGTATGGAATGGCAAGTAATGGTCATTTCATAGCTGCATTTCTCTTGGTTTCTTATCATGATACAGCATAACTCGAGAGACACCGTGACTTGGCGTGTGCAACTATGTTGGTATATACCTAGTTGCTAGTATATATCGTGGTTCACAATCACCTCTGCATTCGACATCAACAAGTGGTTTCTTTCAACGAGATAACTACATATAACAGGAATCATAATCAAATCTAAAATATTTATTCAACAATAATCAAAACACCTTAAATGTCATATCATGATACTGTATAGATCCAGGCAACGCCATTCATCCTCGGAGAAACTCTCCAAACCGGGAAAGCCCCGTTCCGCCCTCCGCCCACGGCTCCGACACGCCGAACAAATTGTGGTGATACAGACCCGAGCGGCGCATAACGAACATATTCAATCCCTCAATGCACCCACAATGATCCAACTAAAGGTAGTACCCACACCCACAAGCTCAATGCCACTCCCAACTAACAATCCCTTGTGCAGACATTACTCACCTGCATCGACAACTCAGGCGCCTCAGTCGTCGAGTGCGTCAACGTGCTGAAGAAGAAGCGGCCCGCGACAATCGGTCAGTCCAGCCCGAAACCAACACACACACACCCTCTCTTTCTGCAGGAAATAGTCATGCTAATTTTGTTGGGTTTGTGTAGGTGACCGGATAGTCGTCGTCGTCCAGAAGCAGCGAGCCGCTACATCGGAGGGAACCAGTGGCACAGCGCTCGCGAACAAGGTTCGACGTGGAGACATTCGGCATGCGGTTGTTGTCCGTGTGAAGAAGGAGTTGCAGCGGGATGATGGGACTGTTGTTCGGTTTGGAGATAATGCCTGTGTGTTGGTGAATAAGGCTGGTGATCCTATTGGGACGAGAATGAACGGTTAGTGGTCCTATTCCCCGAGGACGAGGATGGAATGCCCAACATCATCAGCGTGGATTGGCTGGGTTCCTACGAGGGTTTACAGCATACTGACATTCTCTTCTTCTACAGGTGTCGTCGGACAGGAACTGCGCGGCAAGCAGTGGTCCAAGATTTTGTCTCTGGCTCCAGTGCACGTGTAACATCTACCCTAGGGAAATTGGGCTGTGCTATTATATTTTTGGGAAAGCGTTGTTCTTCGAAAGCATTATCATCTTGTACCATATACATATCTTTTTCTCAATACCAAAGCTGAAGGTTACTTGTGTTGAATTGCGCGAATTTCCATTTCCCTTTATCTGATCGCCCGAATAAACTCAATAAACTCCATTCACATGCAAGGACCGCAAAACAAATCACAAAAGGGATCAAAGGGTATCCGGTAGGAAACATTGCGCCGTATCGTTAGAATAAGGAGATCACAGGAAGACATTGCCACAGGCGCAGCACACGTAGTAGAGTTTCTGGAAACCACATTTTAGTACTGGGGTCTTGATCAGGATCGAAAGAGAATCGAGAACTCACCATTCCACTCTCAGCAGAACGCTGCTGGGACTGGAAAAAGACGGCTTCGTTCTCACCGCAGCTCGGACAAAGCTTATTCGCTCGAGGAAGCTACAAAATGGTGAAGAAAGAAAAGAGTCAGCCGAATATGAAACGATCTAAGCCTGCTGGTTAGGGTCGGTGATAGACCCGTGGCTGGAAGTGTCTGAGACTGGGCTGATGTCTCCATTGTAAGAATCCTTGGGGACCGCATAGTAGGCGCGGCCGCAGGTCTCACAGGTGATCTCATTGCCACAGCACAGGCAAAAGCCAGGAATGCTCAGGAAAAAGCCAAGGATGGGCTCAGGGAGACAAACCGTGGGATCAGAGGCAACATCCTGAGTGACACCGGCAGTATCTCCAACCTGGCTGTTGAGCTTGTTCTGGTAGACGCAGTGGGAGGTAGCGGGCTCGCCGACGTGGCAGGTGCGGCAGGTGAACATGAGCTGGTTGGTGGCGCGGTCCTCCTTGGGGTAGAGCAAGTTGGAGCTATAGAAGAGGGTTAGATCGGATCAAGATATAGTATGAGCGAGAGATGGGATGAAAGGACTTACCACTCGCGACAGAAGCGGAAGTGAATCTGATCAGCGGGCTTGGTATCGGCACCGCCAGAGGGAGTTGGACTGGCAGACATGGTGTCGGTGGTTTGAGCGACGAGTTGCGATTGAGATTGATCGAAGCCTGGAGAAGGTTGGGTGTAGTGTGTGTAGTGGTAGACTTGTGTGGAAGCGTGTAGGTGGGCGGTGATGAGAGAAGGTGAAGAAGGAAGAGGAAAAGAGAAGATGCGAGATCTAAAAAGCCAACAGGAAACGTGCGGCCAGAAGAAGCAGGCACCGGCCAGTGCCTGTTATTCCGATGGATTCTAGCGGCGATCAGTTTGTCCTGTTTGCACCTGCCCCCCGCAATTGTTTCTCCAGACTGAATCAATAACTTGTCTACCAAGATACTAAGCTTCCTCATTCAAACCAATTTCTCCCTATTGTTGACTCATTCTTTCACAATGGTCGGTGCTTTCATTGTGCTTATTCCATTTGAGCTGAGAACTAATCGGGATCTAGGCTGCCACAGGTCTTCCGGCTGGCTGGGAGGTTCGTCACTCCAACTCCAAGAACCTACCATACTATTTCAACCCCGCGACCAAGGAGTCGCGTTGGGAACCACCTGCGGATACGGATACCGAAACCCTTAAAGAGTACATGGCGACTCATCACTCTGCTACGACCCACAACGATGTTGGTGGACAAGGAGAGGGAAAGATCCGCTGTAGCCACCTGCTCGTGAAGCACCGTGACAGCCGTCGCCCTAGCAGCTGGCGTGAGGCTGAGATTACCCGCTCCAAGGAGGAAGCAATTGAGATCCTCAAAGGTCATGAGCGGCGTATCCAGTCTGGAGAAGCAACTCTGGGTGACATTGCCGTCTCCGAGTCTGATTGCAGCAGCGCCAGGAAGAAGGGTGACCTGTATGTTTTGATTCTCCCGTTGAATGATCATGCGCGTGTACTCACCATTTACTCTATAGTGGCTTCTTTGGACATGGGGAGATGCAAAAGGAGTTTGAAGATGCTGCCTTTGCTCTCCAGCCCGGTCAAGTCAGCGGCGTTGTAGAAACGGCTTCTGGTGTTCATCTCATTCAACGGTATGCGTTGATCCCACAAGCCATGTTTCATCAAATATCTGTCTGCTAACACAAAGAACAGTGTTCAGTAATCTAGCTGCCATCTACAAGATTGATACTTGATCGACAAAGTTGGTTTTCTTGGTCTTTCTTTTTGGGGTTTGGATACTTTTGGGATTGTACGGTTGGGATTGGAACTGGGACTATGTTGAAACGGCCAAAAGGATCTATGTCTCTCCACGGAGCACTCCTGATACAGCCTCTACATTCCAGCAAGCACTTTGTTGGAAGGTGCTAGGTAACACTGTGAAGAACTGAAAATAGAATAGTCTCACACAGCTGAATGATACCAGAATGACCTATGGGTAATGCAAGTCACTGAGAAGTCTCGCAGCCTGGATCAAGTTCTCTATTAATTAAAGCACTAATTAAGACCGAAGTAGAACCGCCTCACATGTCATCACAATCTCATGCGAACTTGAGAAGCTACGAAATAGGCAGGCACTCAGGATTGCCTTCGACCAAGGTGAGCTGTGTTGACTGTTGACCGCGTCTTCACATATCAAACATCCACACAATCTTTCTCTCATCCTCTTCTCTTCTCTTCCTGACCCCATCCTGACCGTTCTGATCATCCTCTCCTTTCACTTTCACACCTTCACAGCTTTGGTCCCTGCTCTTTCATCCAACCAAAGCACCACGTATCCCATCACCACGATGGATCCCGCTGCCCGCTTGCAGCTCAGGCTCGCTGCCAGCCTTGAGCCTGCCACCAAGACGATCGTCGACTATGCGTACAATTCCCACGACTACTTCATCCCAACCGCCGTCCGGTATCCCCCTCAACTCTACGCCATGCACATGCATGTTGCCAACTGCGCCTATGCTGTGATCCAAGGCCTCATCTTCTTCCACAGCCTCCGCTCCCAGCACCTCTACGCCATGTGTCGCGAGAAGTCCGGCCCAAACTTCAACATGCACGCTGCTTCCATCCGTCGTCTCCAGGAGTGGAAGGAACAGAAAAACCCGGTGAATCCAACCCTCGCCCCCGCGGCCAAAATCCCAGCCGCGGCACTTGGATTCCGCCTTGACCAGCGCGCCTACGATGCCTACGTCGTCATGTACGTGGCAACTCTGAAGAAGTTCGAGGCTATCGAGTACAAGAAGTACTGTCGGGCATTGAACATGATGAAGAATGTTGCCTTGCAACACTTGGATCACAACGACTATCAGAGATGGCTTCTCTGGTACAACACGACTTTCAAGTCAGCCATGGAAAAGTGGCATATCTTCTTGAAAGATTTGAAGGTGCCGAGCTGGGAAGACTCCATCGATGAGCTTTACGACATGGTTGTCAAGTGTGTCGAGGAGTCGGAGGATAAGACTGCTGCACAACTTGCTCAGGGACTTTGTTCTGGACAGATCAAGAATCCTTGAGGCTACAAGCAGCTTCCAGACGATCCTAACTGCGGGTTTCAGCTTGGGCACTCTTTCTTCTATTTGTTTCCGCCGGTGCATTTTGCATTTACAGGACATGGAGCATGGTGCCTTTGGTCGTTTGGTGGTTATCCTTCGTTCACCTTTTCACCTGACCATCTGCTTTGATACTCTTTTGTTTGTCTCTCCTTGTACATAAGGGGTTGTTTTCGCGGGTACAATTGCATTTACTGGATATGGGACATGATTTTTCAGCTCATTTGATGGATATGCTTCGGTCATCTTTTTATTGCCCTTGTTTCTGTACCTACTTTGCGATGAGCCTTCACTATTCGAAGGCTGACATACAAATTGCTATGGCTTTTGCTATTATTTTTGCAAATCCTAATAAGCAGACGTCCTACTCTGTCCAGAGGGGCAGAGGGCAGCGTAGTCTTGCTATTGTAAGTCCATCTAGACCGAGCATCTGAGACAAAATAGTCATTGTCTGATCAAGCCATTGTATCTGAAAATAAAGCACAATCCACGCTTTCAATCAAAGAACCACGCTACAATACTAGACATAAAGACACTGTCACTAAGACCCTTATATGAGAATACAACCACTACCCTCCCACCATTTCCAGCTTGCTGTATATTGACTACCTACCCACGGACTGAACTCCAACCTTGTGATATTTTACCTACATTCCACTAACACCCAAAATGTGTGTCATATTGACCCAAAAATACCACATCTGCGGCTGTATCTGGACCATCCAAGATCTCTACTGCACCGGAACCGAATCCTGCTGGGGCGCCAGAATTCTGGTAATAAACTGCCCCTTACAAACATGCAAGGAATGTTGGAGAGCAGGCGATAAGCGGGTGAACCAGGAGGTAGCTGATTTACTCGCTCAACAGGAGCAACATCGTAGAGAGAAAGAACAGGACCAGCAAGAACGGGACCAGCGAGATCTATTCCAATACAAAAACAGCCAAATCGAAAATCCAAAAACAGATACAGATGAAGAAGACTTTGAAGCTTTACATCCATCGAGACCGACGACACCAGAACTTGATCTTAATCCGAAACAGATGCCACGATGGTTAGTTGGAACGGAAGTCATGGGTGATGCGAGTAGAGCTTGTGAGCCGGTGAAACAGGGGAAGATTTGGAGGGATTGTCGGGCGAGGAGGGAGAAGACGGATTGGTATTTGATTGAAGGTGAGTTCCCACGAGAATTTTATTTGACTTTTGGGTTTCTTATGAGTGTGATGTGCTAAGTTGAGAATTTACTAGATTTATACGGAGAGTGGTTGGGCCCGACGAAGTAGGTTTGCGGGTGATGAAGAGGACCATGATCATTGAAAATGCGGATCGGGTCTTGGTGGCTGTTTGAGACAAGCTATTAGATTTCTTTATAGTCGAGAATTCATCTTGCTATTTCGCTTTAGTGCCTGGGAGGCGTAGGAGAAAGTGATAGTGCAGCGTCATTAAACGATGTTTGTATGGCCCATTGTTCATGCTATCCTAAGAACTCAAAGATCATAAGCGTGCGAGATGCTCTCCACGCGTTTTTCCTAGCCCTTGATACTGGTAATAGTATCACCAACCATGTCGAAATGATAATGCCAATAGCTGGCCTTACATGCTCGTGTTGAGGCGCGCCAGACGAGCAGTAATCGCATCGATGACCGCAGATCTGAATGAGAATTAGCAACTGTAGCTAGCAATTCGATAGACAGGGAAAACTCACTCTCGTTCAACCATTCTCATCGCATCGGCAATCTTAGCACGCTGAAGTCGCTGCGGCACCCTGGGGCGAGCGCCACCAGGAGAAGCAGGGCTTCCAGGCTCGGGAGCCGATGGAGCCTTTGCTGCGAGAGTTTTGGTTTCTGCCACAAGGTCGGTGGCAAGGGATTTGACCTAGATTGTATGTCAGTCTGCGAGCTGGAGACAAAGAAAACCACGGGAATGAAACATACAGTCTCCAGGCGTTGCGCTAGTTGTTGATCTTCCTCGCCGGGCTTGGGCTGAGTCTCGCCAATAGACCCGGACAAGGTCTTCACTTCGGAGATCCAGGCCTTCTCCTTGTCGCTCAGGGGCCGGCCACCAGAGTTCAGAAGCTTCTTTCGCAAAGCGTCGTATCTTTGCACAAGCTCGTTCTGCTTATCCTTTGCAGCCTGCAGCCTCTTGTCAAGGGCGACGCCGTCTCGAGCACCCTCCTTACGAGTGCCGTCCTCGTCAATCTCGCTCGACACGCCCTTGATGCGCTCTGCGACATCTGAAAGTTGCTTGAGCTGGTCCTTGATCTCACCCTGTAGTCTCTCGCACCGACGGAACAAGTCCGAGGCGGCGCGTTCCAGCGCATTCGTGTGAGCTGACAGCACACGGTGGGCCGTGGTGACCAAGTCAAGAGTCGCAGGAGACAGGCGAACCTGCTCCTTGAGTGTGTGTCGCTGGCGGTGCGGTACGTGTTTCTCGACAAAGTTTTCCAGCGGGGACTTTGCGTAGAAGATAGCTGGAACTTGGTACGGAGCTCGCCGAGGGACCAGCGCGAGGGGGTCCTCTACGCTAGTCTTTTGATCGTAATGACGGAGATCCATGGTTGCTGAGAAAGCATCCTCCGGGGCATCCATGACTGCCGCATACGGGTTGGATGGATGATACGTGAGAAGAAGGTATCCAAGATCAAAGTCATAGAACACCACTGACGCGGCTAGATGCTCCTTCTCGGCAGTGACATCTACATCCTCGGCCTGCAAGATTTTTTTTCTCTTTGAGCAACGTTTCCACTGCAAATAACCTGAAGTCTGAAGCCTGAACCGGTCGTGTCCTCGGCCTGCAACTCAGACTCTAGTCTTTGCACCCATGATGACATGGAGAAGTGCACCACATTTGATGCGTTCGTCACAAAGAAGGAATACCGAGAGTGGATGTCCTTGGTGAAAGTGGGCCAAGTGACTGATTCCGTGCCGTCCGTTTTCATGGTATCCAAGGACTCAGCTAAGAGCAAATCAGCAGGCTCCGAAAGTGGAGTTCTAAAGGCGTTCTTTCTAGCCTTGGGAAGCCACTGGCCCCCAACACCATCCAGTTCCAGACAAATGTGAACGCGACCGTTACCGCTGGTAAGGCAAATGACTGTTGCAGACAATTTGTCTTGATCGCTGGACTCCACTGCTAGCTCTTCGTCTTCTCCCATCATCAGGTCTTCAACGTCAAGTCTGGCAGCGATGACCAGAATATCACATAGATCCAAATCGTCAAGCTCCTCTCCAGTGTCAAACCGGAACGGTCCTTGCAGGCGCGGAATGGCACTCGGGTTTGCGGGCCGAGAGAACACATCCGCACCCCGAATCGTATCCGAGTCCGCTGGTGGGTTCACTGGCTCCTGGTCATCAATCTCACGCAGCCAGTCATACTGTTGCCGGCATGCGATCAGCTCCTCCTCCAAATCCTCTGGTGTTTCCTCAAGGGCTGCCATCTTCGGAATGATAGCCGAGGAGAGCGAAGGGATAGTTGCAGATGGAGCTTGCCATTTCGATGGCAGCAATGGGCAAAGCGCATAGAGATCACCTGGCTTCATGGCAACCCACAGAGTCATAGGTGCCCAGGCATCCTCCTTGTCATTGCCATTGCCACCAAAGCAAGCCGAGGCAACCTCCATATCGAAGACATCCGCAGAGAATCCCTTGCTCTTGCCGAATCCAGAGGGCGCAAAGTCCTGATCAGAAGAGGTGCCATCGACTAGCTTCTTAAGGTCAACAGCTAATGTAGGCTGATCAAAAGACCAGTGGTTGTTTCGGTCCAGCTCCCAAATGCGCACTGCAGCATCAGCAGTGATTGTAACCAAACATCCACCGAGATTGGTGTGCAAGCCCAGCGGGTGCCATAGTGCGGACACGACCGGTGATTCCGGGATGACATGGGTAGTCGGACCGAGCTGGTAGGTCTTCAGTCGAATCGTGGATTTATCCGTGGATGACAGGTGTGATGAATCCGGGAGCACAGCGATGTGCACGGTGTGCTCGGTGACGATTGCAAGGAAAGCGCCATTAGGAGAGGGCAAGATCTGTTTGATGAGTCCATAGACAGGCACAGACAGAACCTGGTTGATGTTAGTTGCAATATGATCATATGTGATAACAGGAGCTCTGAAACATGCGCAAAGAGCCGACATACCCTATAGGATGGAGGCAAAGAATCAGTCGTCTGGTCTTTAGCTTTCTTCTGCCGGGCCTGTTGTTGCCATTGATCCTTCACGCGCGCAAGGTTTGACCAGCGGATTTCATTATCGATGACGACGAAAACCTCATTGCCCCTCTTAGCGATCGTTCTGGTGGCGCCAATCTGGGTGGAAGGCTTGGCCTTATTCTGTAGGTCCTGTGCAGGGCTTTTGTCCGGGTTGCTCGTGAAGAGGCTGGCACCGGGCGAAGGCCGGCATAGCCAGGCCGGCGCGTAGCTTTTGACCTTTGGCATATCGATCTCGATCGAGTGGAAATCGTAAAGGTGGTGTGAGAAGTGAGAAAAGAGATCAGACCATCCTCGTAGTAGAAAAAGTGCGTTTGCGCAGGAGCGGAAGTTTGTCTCGATTGTTGATGCGGCGGCGTGGAATTTGGCGGGTGCCCAGTGCCAAGAATCTTTTAGAGCTCCAAGCTCCCTTTGCCGCCCCAACGACCATTCCGAACCTCCGCCTGTAATCCTTTCGCCTGCTTCCCACGTCTTCACTATGAGCTTACTCGCTATCAATACGGTTGATCGATTGGATCGGCCTAGTGCTTATTATGTAGGAAAGGTGAGAAATGTCAACAATCGCAGTTCGGGCTCAAGGCCAACAGAGATACTGATATGAATCGCAATGATTACAGAACAAGCGCCGCAGCAGATACAACGATCGGGACGATGAGGAGCCGGAGAGGGAGGACCCCATGGCAAAGCTGAAGGATGCGACTACCCTCTACGTGGGCAACTTGTTCGTGATTGCTTGGATATACTCAATATGGCCACGCACCACCACTAACCCTACTTTTTCAAGGTCCTTCTACACGACTGAGGAACAGATCCACGAGCTTTTCTCCAAGTAAGAAGTGTTCGCATATGAAGAAGTCTAATTCAGTTTCTGATGTTATTCTCTCTAGGTGCGGCGAGATCAAACGATTGGTCATGGGCCTCGATCGCTTCAACAAGACGCCCTGCGGATTCTGCTTCGTTGAATACTACACCCACCAAGATGCCCTGGACTGCCTGAAGTATGTTGGAGGCACCAAGCTGGATGAACGAATTATTCGAACCGATCTGGACCCTGGATTCGAGGAGGGCCGACAGTATGGGTACGTGTTCAGTCTAGCGGGTTACTGGAAGAAGCCTTGGAAAGGGAATCCAATTGAGTGGACCGCGACTAACATATGATTATAGACGTGGAAAGTCTGGTGGACAGGTTCGCGATGAGTACCGCGAGGAATACGATCCGGGCCGTGGTGGCTATGGCCGTGCATACGACGAGCAGCGCCAACGAGAGGAGGAACAATACGGCGAGGGAAGGTAAGGTGTTTGATTGGCGACATGAAACAGTTCTGGACTCGGAAAATGGCGTTTATCTTATTACCACGGGCGTGGAATTCAATTAGCAGAAACTGAAGATTTCACTATTCATCTGATACCCTATTTACAAAAATGTCTTTGCAGTGCGCTCTATAATGCTTGCCCTTGTCTAGTGGCCGAGCTTCTTCCTTCTATTAACATCAGCCTGCACCTGATGCAACCACCATGCGTGGATTCTGGCGTCTCCCGTTAACTCGGGGTGGAAGCTGGTGCCGAAAACATTGCCCTGGCGAACAGCCACGACGTCGCCCACCTCTTGATCGGGGTTGATATTGCGCCCTTGAGTGGCGCTCCGAGCCGCGGCTCCAGACAAGGTGGCCAGCACCTCGACATGATCGGCCGTGGCAGCTTCCGCCACCGAGTCCTTGACCTTCCTAGAAGGTGCGATAACGGTATCTTCACGTTTAGCCTCTCCCACCTGAATGCCCTCTCGATGCGGCAGGATACATTCCACAATGGGGGCTCGGATAAAGACGGCAGGGAACGGATGTGCGTCTTCACCCAGGAATGGCAGGCCCAGCGGTCCTTGGAAACTCTCGGTCTGTCGGCCAAAGTGATTGCGATTGACTCGAACGTCGAGACCTCCGATGAGCTCCTGACCACCCTTCTTAGTCTTGTTGGCCGACTCGGCGAGCAGGATCAGACCTGCGCAAGTGCCCCAAGTTGGCTTGCGGTGGACTCTGTACAATTGCGCCACCGGGTCAGATCCGCTCAACACTCATAGAATTGCAGTCGCAAAGTGGAATGCTTACTTGACAAAGTCCCTCAGAGGTTCCAAGAGATTAGATCGGGCGGCAACAAGCGACATGGTGGTGCTCTCGCCACCAGGCAACACGAGCCCATCGCATCTGTCGAGTTCCTGTGGCGTTCGCACCTCAATGAAGTCCCAGTCAGGCAGGGCCTCCTGCTCGGCGGCCTTTTTCAGCAGCTGAACATGCTCAATGAATGCGCCCTGTAAAGCGAGGACTCCAACTGTGACCGGCATCTCTGTAGTGGCAAGAATAAGAAAAGAATTCAGAGTCGAGTTGCCCGTTTAGATATGACTCCAACAGCACGTGATGCAAACTTTCCGCGGGGAGTTTCCTTATCGGGAACTTTTTATCGCCACGTGAGTTCCGATAACGCGGTTCCTGGTGGGATGTAACACTAACAACGCACTGGCAACATGCAGCTTACGGGACACAGGCCAGATTGCTTGCTTTTGGAGCATCTCATCTCGTTCTCGAGTCTTGAATTAAGTTCAAGACAGTTTGAACGATACATTCCTGAGAACTAAGAGTTTTTTGAGTCTATATATAACGAACAACGGCTACAACATGGCAACCAATGAGATCAGCCCCGCTGATGCCCAATCAACCGAACCTATTGAGACTGCGGAACCATCTTTGCGCGATCTACCAACCTTATCGCGCTGGTATATCAATACCCGAGAATGGGAGGCAAATGGCCTCGATCTACCCTTGTTGAATGTACTCCGCCCTGCTGAACAAGAAGCTGTGAAACGATACCACCATGCTTCAGACAGGCGCATGTCATTGGCATCCCATCTACTGAAGTATTTGTACATTCATCATGCCTGTGGCGTTCCTTGGAGAGACATTACCTTCAGTCGCACCCCTATGCCTGAGAATCGACCGTACTACGCATCAAAATCGGATATCCAAGTTGATTTTAATGTCAGCCACCAAGCCTCGCTCACTATGCTAGCCGGAGTCATCGCGCCGTCTGTTGAGCAACTTGCAAGCCAAACCGTTCAAGGTGTTTCACCCTCGCCACCCAGGATTGGGATTGATATAACATGCGTCAACGAGCGGCGCAAACCTATGAAGACTACGAAAGATTTCACCGACTTTGTCTCTATCTTCAGCGAGGTATTCTCGCCCAGAGAGATGGCGACCATGCAAAATCCCATCTCGACTCTCCGTCGAGCCCGAGAGCTCGGTCTGGCTACATCCTTCCCTTCAGACGACAATGCAACGGTCATCGAGTTTGGACTCCGTCTCTTTTACTCCTATTGGGCTTTGAAAGAGGCATACCTCAAAATGACCGGTGATGCACTGTTGGCTGAATGGGTGCGTCACCTTGAATTCACAAATGTCATTCCACCGGCACCGGTTGATCCATTGGTCGCATCCAAGCCGTATGGTATCTCCACAGGCTCGGATCATATACCTCGATCACCTCATAATTGGGGTCCGCCATACACGGAAGTTGAGGTCTCCAGAGATGGGGTGTTGATTGAGAATGTACGACTTCAACTACAGGCCTTTGAGTCGGACTATATCATTGCCACTGCTGGCCGGGGATGTCCAGTCGGTCCCATTCCTGAACAATTTGAGAATAGTGGTGACCACCACATAAGACGGCTCGGAGTGCATTCTGAAACTCAAGAAAAGGGCATCCCCATCTGCGCCCATATGGCCGTGGGCCAATCGGATCCATGGTCTCCGAACTCTTCCATCATTGATCCATGGCTTCCAATGCAGGAGGTGGACATTGAACTTGATATCCGGGCCTGCGCTGAGGGGCGTTGTTCCCATTGATAGAACGGCAGCAAGAGACCCCTGCATTCAGAGCATCATCTTGCGACTTTTTTCTATTATCATGTTTCAGCGGACTCTATGACTTTTTATGAACATGATCTTCAACATGATCATCATTTCTCACTTGCAATTGCATCCGTATATTTACTGGATAATGTCTAGCAACTGTTGGCGATCTCCTTCCGTTCGAGTTCTCACACCCTCACCGCTTTTGTCAAGTGAGGCTGCCATGAGCACCGTGATCGGATCACTGACCCTAACCTACGATGTAAGCGGCTCAATAACATCCAACGCGCTAACGCCCCGCAATTAAAATGGTCTACACGCTAAGCCATAAAAGGAAATGACTATATATTACTGTACTTCCATCATCCATGAATAGAACATCTAGCCTTTTTGGACTGTACAAAACGCAATAATGCCCCTCCAAATTCTTCACGGCGAGACGTCCACCCAACCCCCTTGGGGATCAATTCTCTTAGAAATCTATCTCCTCTCAGATGGTACACAACTCACCCCTCACACTCCTACAAATCCCCTTTCGACCACCGCCGACGGCTTGTTCGCCAATTCCTCGCATTAGGGCACGAGGGCAGAGAGGTACATACATCATATCCTGTAATAAATACGAGTTTCAACAGCTCCCATCCCCTGCAGCCCCAAACTAACCAAATATCAATCTATCAGCCTTACCGCGCCCTCGCGGACTCTCCACCCACACCCTCTGAAGCGCAAATAGCCGAGATTCTCCTCCCACTCCGCCCTGAAGCTCTCCGTCCCTATGCAGCATACACCGGCAGTCTAGGCGAAGGCCTCTGGCTCCGTCTCTGCTACGACGACGACAAAGAAGAATCTCACGAATCTCTATGGTCCACCAACGAAGACTATGACTTCGTCGGTCCCGACAGTGTCATGCTCGACGATAAGACCATTATCGGGGGATTAGACTTGGCAGCCGCGGTGGAAGTTTTCCCCGGGCGTATCACCAACAACGGTGTCAATGTTCAACTTAGAGAGAAAATCAGAGATATGCTCAGTGATATAGAAGAAGATACGGGATCTGGCGAAGGTTTAGCTATCTTCGACGCGTATATACAAACGGGCTATAATCCTCGTCACTTCTAGGCCTCTATTACAGTAACGCTTCGTAAGGGCGGCCTACGAGATTTCCGGCAACCGAAATCGTACCGGCTAGTTACACTATTTTACACTATCAGCAAGATCCTAGAGTCTATTATCGCCACACGTATCGCGTAAACGGTAGAAGAATATGGAATACTGCTAAAGACCTATCTTAGTGGCCGGAAAGGGATCTTAGTAGACTATACGATCTAGTTAATCCTTAACTGTGTGTACTATGCTTAGGGGCGAGGCAAGAAGGTATTATTACTACTACTCAACGAAGCAGGTACTTATAATAATATTTCACACGAGCGGCTACTACACAATATCAAGCAGCTCCGGCTAGGCTAGCTCGTGCCTTAGATTGCATTATTTCTTAGTGATAGGAGCACCCGTATTAAGCTACCAGGATATCGGATAGCTTCCCTATGCTTACTAGTATCCTACAAGGCTCACCTATTTCGCCGATTCTGTTCCTACTATTTAACGCCCTATTAATCACTATATACAGCCTTCGAACAGGCGCTGCCTAGTCTATCGGCTTTAAATAGGTAGATGACGCGGTAGTCCTAGTCGAATCGGAATTATACTACAACACAATAACGCTAGAAGGAATACTCGATAAGTAAGTGTTAATATAAGTTGGTGTATAAGCCCCTAAGAGCTATCGAACTTGACAGAATGCAACGGAACGTACACGTGACGATATCTTCAACGATTGACATCAACAGATTGCACACATAACGAAAGAGCTTCAACAATCTATTTCTCCTGATTTCGATGAGATTCTATTCTAACGTATTGCCTCGATTCTATGAAGTCATAAACACTGCCTGTTTTCCTATAGCTAGTTGAATCAAGTTTAATCATTGTGATGAAGTTGGAGCATTCTTCTATCATAAGTTAACTTCCTATTCTGAGCCGAATCGTACGACCTGACCTGACCTGAGCCTTTTGACCTGACTTATACGATTCTTTGCCGGATCGTATACTGATTTGACCGATCGTGTATAATTACTTGCTTGTGCACGCCGAAGGATTTATGCCGACCCTATAAATCCGACAGTAAGTCTACAGGCTAGACGCTATATAGCAAGATTTGTACCTGATGAGTTCGAGCTGATTTATTTCACTAACCCTCGACTAAGCAACAATCAAAACGACAATTAAGAAGATAACCGGGAGAGGAACTAGGAGAATAGCTAAGAAAATAGTATAACCGACGTATATAACTTCGACAGGGCGCACCCCTAGGGGAACGATGTAAGGGTATACTCTATAAGTCAGGATAGAGGCTTGTCAATCAGGTAGGAGAAAGGGACCAAGTCAATTGTTCAGAGAGGTCCAAGACTGTTACTTGAGGATCGTAAAACCTCTTCAACATGGGTCAATTTATATTCAGTCTCATCGCTCATACAGGATGGAGATGTATCCTTGGTAGAAGGATGGGAGCGGGGTCTTGTGTAGCCTCTGTCAAGGGTGTTCCCTGCAGGAGTTCGTACACATACTGATGACGAAGCCCCAGCGAACCTCCACAGAAAGCCTGCCGGCTTATCAGGTACGGGAAGCCTGAGACACCAACACTTGGGAATAACCTCATGCCAGGGTATATCATAACAAACGACCGGATACCTATTCGGTATAACGACTTAACAATATAACCGGCACAATCTGCTAAATACCTAGGTATCTAGCTCAATAAACACCTCGGTTTCACTACCTACTGTCAAAAGTTGCTTATTAAGGCTAACAGTAGCCTTAAAGCTCTTTAGGCGATAACAGGATTAGTATAGGGTACCTCACTAGTAGTAATACGAAAGGTCTTCTAGGTAGTAGTAGTGCTACAGATACTCTACAGATTTTACCAATAAATTCATTCTCCCAAGGCATAGATCCATGATTATTGATTTCGACTTTTGGTACTGGGGATTACCACTGTTCTGATAACAACAGCTACAGTGCCACATGCCATTACGAGAACGACTTGCTAGGGTTGTGCTGAATTAGTATCCTCTCAGAGTTCAGACTCGGAATTTTTAGTTTCAGAACTGGAAAGAATTGAATATTTTATTCCTTAACGAGTGATAGTGGTAGTATCTATATGACGATGGGTAAATTGATTTGGCAAGAGGGAGAAAAACGGCGTGGAATGAAAAAATGTTAGAATACTCCCTGCTTTTCACCACAGGAGGGAAGGCAACGCGATTCCGCAGATACCATGTAGTTATTACTGTTCACTACAGTCTATCAGTCCTCGATGGTCATCTCTGGCGGCCCTTCGTATGGTGCCTAGTACAATGCCTTCCGACTCTCCCAGTACCCTGCCAAAATGTTTGGGAGAACCACGAGGGAATAACCCGCTCTCAGACGAGATGTCACCAACCCAAACATCCAGGGCTTAAGATAACAATGCTGATTTTGCTGTTCTAGATTAACCCTTCCACAAATAAATCTCTCGACAGAGCATCATAGGCAAACCTCCCCTCTGTGTCAATTCTTGTATGATCCTATATTTTAAGGAATCCTAGCCTGCTTCTTGAACGAACAGATATCCTAGATTTCCGGCACTGATAAAGTCTCTTGCCGTGCTTGATCAAAACAGTCTTCACATCCATGAGTTGCCAGCTTTCGCGCAAATGGCCGTAATTTAAGGGGCTTCACAGGATCTGTCAAGAGACAGTCGCTTTCACGATTCGCTCTGCTTCGTGAATTTCCTCGTCCTCCCCTTCGCACGGCCTATGTTTCCCTGTTTCCCGTGCTCTGCTCCTAATCCGCCCTCCTGTCCAGAATGCAGTCGGTCACAGATTTTCCCACTGAAAAGGCCTGCCGATTTTGGATCTGCAAGACCTGCCACTACGTGGTGGCTGCTAACCATAGCCATTGTCAATAACTGCAAACCATACTTATCATACCTCTGCCCGTATTGGTGTGCAACTGGCAGCGATCACGGTGGAAGCTCTCAATCTCTACAGCAGCGCGGTAGGACTTAGTAAATGTGGAGTCTAATTGAGGTATCCAATGTCAATGTTGTAGGATTTATCTAGGAAAGTTACATACAGATCCGCCGTATTTCCTCATTATATCAGTCATTAATAGCGTGGGAAGGCTGCCTAGACAATGATGGTAAAATAAGGGAGAACAGGTTACCATACACCTCCCGGAAATCGTCAAAGCAACAAGACGTCGGATCACATCTTCCTCTAGGAACGTATGAGTTTGCCATTATCAATAATCTCTTCGAACAAGCCAATAATAATCCTGTTGCAAACAGTCAGAACTTGATGAGACCACAAAATCAAGTAATAGGATGTAAAAATAATTACAAGGGGAATCAGATTAGCAGAGAACATACTTAGATCTAGCTGTGTCAGCAAATTTATCATGGTCTGGTTTGATAAATTCCTTGTAATACGGGTCCTCCTTCATGCGCACGAAACAATCGACCTCGGGAAAGACGATTTGCACAATGCAGTCGTAATCGGCATAATTGGCAAACTGCTCATCATAAATCTTCTTTGCCAGCTGGCGAGAGGTATCGGTAGGGTGATTCTAATTGGGGCATTCAAGATCAGATATGATTTGAAGAGCTATAGGACAAAAGTATCTCACCATAGTCCAACGAACGACACCGTACTTCTCTAATAATTTCCCCACAAGAGCAGCGTGCGTGTTCACCATATAGTCATGATAGATTTCTTGACTAATGCCTGACTTCCTGTATGACAAGATATTCAGGCAAAATAATTGGCATGATTCAGCCATTGTGTCACGTGGCTCTGGCGATCGATCTCGGGGTGTGTAAAATGACCTATTTAGTTGCAACTCTCATGGATCTCCTAAGTGATCTTTTGAATACACGAAAGGAGTATCCGAGCCTGTCTTTCGACTTGCTAAACCTATAGGTATTTAAAGCAGTATGCGGAAGCTTGAAGTATGTGGGACGTCAACTCAAGTCCCTCTGTCCCGCCCACGTCCCACCTATCGCTTACTGTGCTTGTTCTCGAGATCATTAGTTAGTAACAAAAAGAACTACCATTGCTTATACTGTAGATATTTAATGAAAATAGCAATATCTTTTGCCTATACGGTAATTAGCCCCGAGGGCTGGGCTCAATTTGTTTCGATGATATCGTGTTGGGGGTCCGACTGAGCGAATCTGGATATTTGTGGTAAAAAACATAGCCAATATTTCCAATTCGAGTCCCAGAAAACTTGGGTATGTACATCTATGGGAGTTAGAGCCACATTTTTTAATTTTCTAAATAAAACCACTGTTTGTATCAATTGGCCATATGATACGTGTATGAGACAGAGGGAATGCTACTACAAACATAATCATCGACGCGCATATTGTGGATGTTGAGGGTGACAACGGGAACTCAGTGTACACTTATTTAAAAACGGCGCAATCTAAAACAAATTTAGCTCTGCTTATCTCGGCGCTGAGAGTATGGGTTTTTAGAGCCTGTCTCAGTATGTACCCAGCCGTGGAGTCTATCAATATAGCCATGATAAACAGCTTGACACGATACCACTGTGGTTCAACCGTCACAAGGCCACTTATACACATCAAAGCTAATGATTGAACGGTAAAGCTAAGAGACTCGAAGAGTAACAATCTGTTCAATTACATCCACTACATCGCTCAGATGGCCCAATTATACTGAAGGTCGAAGACTAATAATGTGGACATCGACTTCAGCATTATTCGTTACCCACTTTATCTATCACCTGCTAATTATCATCACATGAATCTTGATCCTTCTGAACGGCATTTTTACCCGTTCTGACGCAGCTTGAAGATTTCTCGCTTAATCATCTGATTCTCAGATAACACTTATCACTTGTTGTGACGGCCAGTTGTAGTTTTAGTTTTCTTGAGAAATCTCCGTCTCAAGTTTGGCTATTAATCGAACCAGTTAGTTTTCTTTCTCATCCCTCTCCTTAACAGATTTTTGGATCTTTCCCTCAATTTTACTCATTTCTTGAAGACACTTTCAGTATGTCGCTGCCTTGGCTTTTTCTTTCTATACCTTCTCGATATATAGAATGCCTAGTGTAGTCAGTGAAGAAGATATCAAGTCATGCCCTAGCGCCGTATTAGTAATGACACAGTGAGAGCGTACGGGGAAAAGGTAGAAACTGGCTTACACTGTGTTTCGACAATCTAGTCGCCAATTTGAGTGGATACTGATTCACTCTTAGCCTAGGCCGAACGAATAACACAATAATATAGCGAGCATCTGTTTTTTGTCGGGTGTCTAGTTGACCTGACATTGAGGGTTATAACTATTTGCCATATCTAGCCAGTATTTTCGTTTGCGGGTTGAACAATAGCCCAAGTAGATGTATTATACGATAATAGGAAGGTATGAGCTAGACTTTCGGGAATTCTAATTCATATTGTTTGGTTCGAATATCGACGGCGCATTAGAGTGAACATAGAAGTGATTTGATTGTCGAGTAAGCGAGAAATAGGTTCGATAATAATGTATACAATGCTATCTAAGGACAGAAACCCCTATCTACCTTAAGTATCATAAGAAAGGTGGATTTTTAGACTACAATATCAGAAACACAAAGCATTTGCGCTTGTAGGATCGCAGGGTGGGGAAAAGGGTGGGACAGTGGGACCCCGGATACGGACCCGGATTACGGGCAACCATAGCCGCCATTACCCCGGATACTCTCCGGAGTTCCACACGAAAAGAATGGCGACCAAAAGGCTTTAACCCCTATTCTACATGTTTCCGTCGAGGTCGATGCCTTGAGACCATGAAAGAATCTCGATCACGTTCAATATTATATCAGAGCCAGCCGCGACCCAATCCACCAATATCAGAGATCTCACACATCAAAGCGTCGGGAAAGTCCTCTCGTTTCCGATGATCTCGAAGGATCTTTGAAGCGCCGATCACGTTTAAACAACTCGTCGAGTCCCAAAGTGTCTGCAATGATCCCATGACCAAAGCTTGTTGGCTCTCTGCCCAACTCTCTAACCCTGCAATGAAGGTCGGCCAAAGGAGACACTTGAAAAGTATGGCATCATTCTGTAAACCTGCGATGAGACTAAGCAATTGCGAAACTAGCTCCACGTTATTGGGTGTTGCTGCTGTTCTTAGGGCACTGAGCATCCGTCTTCCATATAGTAGAGTCGCTATTTTGTATGTTTGTGATACACCCCCCATTAATAAGTTTCCCTAAAGGTATTCCGGCCCACCTATCCCACTATTCGGATGAAGTTAAAGAGATGCTGGCAAGGCTTCAGGCGCCTGTTAGGGCTAATCCGCTGCTGAAGTATAGTCGGTTTCATGCTGCTTGTGTTGTTACGCATGTTTTTGTGGAGGATGAGGAGGCGCTTGATGGTGCGGGGTTGTTGCATGTGTTTTTGGATCATCGTGGGAATGTACTAAGGCAGTGGCGGGTTGAGGAGGGTGGGGGAGATGAGTGTTTTGATGGGTGTTGGGCTGAGGGGAGTGTTCTTATCATGAAGGTGGAATGAGAGGACCTCCATACAACTAAGGTTGTGATGATGAGACTGGAAGGTGCTTTGAGATAGAAAGAAGTCATGTATTTCTATCTCGCGAAGGTCATGGTTTGCTGTGGTGAACCATATGCATATACAATGGATATAATCTCCACGACTAACAACTGTCTGAATAACATTTCCCTACATCACATCCCATATCCATCCATAACACTAGAAGACAACCACTTATCTCTACTACTCATGCAATCTACACCTCCAGCACCCCCTTCTTCCACGTCTGACTCGGTCTCGGCGTGGGCATCATTTCAATCCCCTCTCTAGTCTGCCTCAAATTCACCGTCCCGAATCTAAACAACTTCCCAAACGTCCCCGGCGCCGCATCCATTCCCTCATTCTCCTGCAAATCCAACAACGTCACCAACTGCACCGAATGCGTCAATTCATGCGCATGTGGCACCTTCCACATCGATGCATTAGCGAGCATCTCCCAGATTAGAAACGCTGCCTTTTTATAATTTGCACTGTACTCCTCTGACTCTGGGTCTGACTTTGACTCGGGCTCTGCTTTTGCATCATCAACTCCATTATACGGCGGAGTCAAAGCCTCAAAATCCCGCTCCCTAAACCCTACAAAACTAGTCAAGCTCTCTCCGCACCAGTCGTCTTTTAGAACTTTAAAGGCGAATATATGCTTTTGCCAGTAGTCCACGCCGGAGAAGTTCTCGCCCGCTTCTTCGAGGCAGATGAGCCGGCCGATGAGTTGGGTTACGTATTCGAAAGTTAGGGCTTCGTCGATCCAGTCTACATCAAAGGAGGGGGAGGGATTTTCGAACATTATGGGGACGATGGGGGCGAGTAATGGGTTTGAGAGGAGACCTTTGACGTTTTTGTTGTTGCCCCAGACGTGTGTGAAGAGGCGATGCCTAGATACGAGCATCCATGATCAGCTTTGGCTTTTCCAGTAGATAGGTCGTTAATAGGGTTGAAGGGATCAGTTGCAAGTCTCACCATTGATAAATAAACGGATCCCGTCTCCTCGCCGCAACAAAATGATTCGCCACGATAACACCGTATATAACAGGAATAGCATTTCGAAACGGCGTCCCCTCATCCTCAAGTTCATCCCAACAAACCCGATCCAAATGTCTAATCAAAATACTACCAACATCCATCCACACCCCACCATGTTCATACAAACAAGCCGTGCGAGTAAGATCAGCGCCATGCTGTCCAATATAAGGCCCATCCATGGACTGATCCACAAATACCGGCGGGAGTAGGTTATCCGGTACAAAGCGAAGAGTGTTATTTGGTGAGTCGGGGTACGTTGTCTAGGATTCGGACTGTCCAGTCGGGTCCTAAGATGCGGACCCAGTCTATGGCGTTCTTTTGGCACCATTTCGGCATTTTGGTGGCGCCGGTGTGCCAGTAGACCCAGACTTTTTTTTTCGGAGGTTACTGGTTTGTACTATTGGAAGGTTGTGAAGATTTAGGCGTCTGTTTGGAGGTCTGTAGGGGAGATGGGCTCGAGTTTGTTGCGGTATTCTTTGGGGATTGTGAAGTTGAACATGGTGGGATGTGGAATAGAGAGGTAAACTGGGATATTTGGCAATGAGCTTCACACTGATAATCTGGTTTAGCAATCATATAATAAGAATTTAGATTCTTCGAGGGCGCGATGAGATTTAATATCTTGCATCAAATCTCAGCGTCGCAGGGACAATTCAGCATGGGAAGCCTGATGACGCATGGCGAGTTCCGGGCGCCACTGGAATCGCATCTCGTGGAGCAACTCAATTGCATCCATTGCTGGGCGTGTCGCACCTAAAATGGGCATGCATTGCGCCTAGGAGAACTTCCTGCATCTTTGACACCCCTTTTGTTCTTATCAAGCGCCTGGGCAGTCTCAAAAACTCGAATAATCGGACAACAAGGGCAACCAATACAAGAACAGTGTCATGACATCTTTTCATGCTTGAATTATATACATTTGCAGAGGCAGAAGAGTGGAACGGGCATAATGGGGCGTTGGAGACATTGGTGAGAGTACCCAAAAGGGTACAATAGGGTTCGGGTCAGGGTGGAAGTAGAAGAAGTCTCCCACACAAAGGGCATGTGCCAAAGGCGGAAACAAAGGTAGCTAATCTAGCAATTAAATCGAAATGCAACTGAGTCGCTGTATCATCCCAGGAGTAAGTTCATGGCAGGAAAGTGGGTTCATGGCAGGAATTACCCACAAAACAGGAATTGTGATCTTCTTCTATGTGTAACGCTCTGCTGTGGGAATAAGGGGTATGTACCGAAAGGGAATTGAGGAATTGTAGTTTACCAGCGTTGGGACTTGATGCTGATTTCCTTCCTGGGTTATGTGGGAAGTAAAAGGGGAGTCTCGCGGCTATGGCTTGAAAGATTGGAGGATCTTGCTGGGTGAATCCAACTGAATATTGGTCATCTCAAATCTGAATGGCAGTTGACCTGCCATTAGCCTGGGAAGACTCGAACTTGTTACCCTCTTGTGCCATACCCAGGATAACCTTAAGCATCGAGTCACGAGTTGACTGGGTCAGCTGATCCACATCGGCAGGCGTCAAGTCCTTAGTGATGATAGGAGGCAGAACTATTTGTCACTCTGGTTAGCAAAGGAAACCAACCTAGAGGAGCTCTACAAACTCACCCTTAACTTTAATCGATCCTGCATTGAATCGCAGGTTGCGAGGAGACATAACATGAGAGTAATTCTCAGTCACAACAGGCACAATAGGCACACCAGCCTTAACAGCCAAATGGAAAGCACCCTTCTTAAAAGGCAGCAGCATCGGCTCATCAGAGTAACTCCGTGTACCCTCGGGGAAAATAAACACACTCTGGCGATGAGTGCGCATCTCATTCACAGCGCCATCAAAGGCCTTCATAGCATTCTCCCGATTGGCACGATCAATAAACACCGTCCGCGAAAGAGTCATGAACCAGCCCAGGAACGGCACATTACGCAGGGACTTCTTCGCCGTGACACTGCAATACGGTGGGAAGATAGCGCCAAGCATCAGAACATCCAACTCAGTCTGGTGATTTCCAACAAAGATAGCCGGGCGGGTGGTGAGATACTCCTCGCCTTCAATGATATCAAATGTCACACCGGTGGTATACCGCATCACCCACTTGAAGCTGCGAGCAGTGGCCCATTGCGAGACACGGCCATAGCCGACGAGACGGAGGACGATTGAAGCGATAACACCGTATATTGCGCACAGCAGAATGGAGCCATAGGCAGCGAGACAGCGGGCGGCGAATGCAGCACGAGGGACCTTTTGTCCGAGGGCGAAGAGCGACAATGTCAGTACCACGAACGAGCTGATGCCCGAGAGGATATACGAAGTGATCGACATGACGGTGGGATCGATGTGAAGACTGTTGGGGAGAGGGTTAGGTCAATCCCTATACAAGAGGGTAAATGGTTGAGAACAGAAGCGCCTACCTGGCTTCACTGGATTGTTGACTGCGATAGCCCACTGGAAGAATGCGCAAGAGACCGGAGAGGAACAGAGGGAGCGACAGCGAAGGCCATGTTGGGTGGGACTGTGGAGGTGAAGCTGGCTTTTTTGCCCGTGGCCGATTCACCGCCAGCTGACCGCGGCAAATGACGGCATCACGCAGTCCAACAGGCAAATGAGGGTGGGGACCAGTGACAAGTTAGAACTGGTCAGATCATTATGATCTGGGTCTGAGCGCAAGCCTCGGCAGGTCTAGATATTGGTGGGGTTTGTTGGAGAAGCTTGTGCCTGGCAGCTACTCAACAGAGTTACTTCTAAGAATACCCCTGTACACGAATAGCTTGTTTGAGGGACAACTGTTAGTATGGAATATTGCTGATTCTTGAATTACTCTCGATCATATCAGATCAACTACAAATACAGAGAAAAGGTACGGATCTCAGGATGATTCTTGTAATAATGGATCATGCTATGCCTGGTCGGTCCATCACCATGATGCTCCAATCGTCATATTAATGTACAAAACACCATGCCGGATGCATGATGCTTGAATGCTTGCAAAAAGATGCCCAGGTGTCTAGGGTAGGGACACCTGGGAAAAGCAAAAAAAACAACTCCCCAGTGATGCTGTGCAGAATAAGGGAAAGAAGAAAGAGGTGGCCCTGGAACGCCGACATCGTAACGTAAGACAATATCCCCCCAACTCGTGCAAGGTCAAGAAAATTTTTGTAAAGGGAGAAAGTGAGAGACCTGGAAAGCATCACAGATCTATCATGCAATATCGTCATCTTCCATTTCATCATCATCCAAGGACTCCATCGCGTCTTTGATGAATGGTGCAGCCTGTCAAAGGAAAGGGAATTGGTTAGATAGTGAACTTTCAGTCGCGTAGGGAGAAGTGTGAAGAACATTTACCTTTGGATCCAAGTTCAAAGCCGTGGTGAAGTGCTTGATGGCATTGGCCTTGTCGTGGAGGATCTTGTACAGTTTACCAAGCAGGTAGTGCACATTGGCCTCGTCCGGTGCCATGTCCTTAAGCACCTTCAGCTCTGCCAGGGCGAACTTGAAATCATGTAGTTTCATCATAACACGGGCCTTGCGGAAGCGAGCCAGGACAGAGTGTGGTGCCAATGTGCAGGCCCGCTCATAGTGAAGCAAAGCGTTCTTCGGGTCATCCATCTTCTCCAGGACCAACCCAATGCAGCAGATGAGAACGGCGTTGGTCGGATTGATGGTGGCTGCATTCCGGAAATGTTGCTCGGCAAAGTCGAGCTTGCCCATCTTATCGTAAACTGTGCCCAGTCCATACCAGGCATTGTAGTGGCGATTTTCAGCATTGATTCCGTGGCGATACGCATCCAGGGCCTTGTCGTATTCTTCGTTGGCAACATACTCGTGACCTTGTAGTGTAAAGGCATAGGCAAACTCAGGGTCAAGCATGGTCGCTCGCTTAAAGCATTTCAAGGCCTGATCGTGATCCCGCTGGTGGGAGAAGGAGTTACCGATGGCACACCAAGCCTGGGGCGACAATCGATCGGCTTCCAGCAACTGGTGTGCCAGATAAGCCAACTCGACGTCATTTTTCAGGTGCCAAAGCACAGTCGAGTAGATCTCCATATCTTCGACTCGCGAGGGTGCCATAGTTTGGACACGGGCAAAATATTTGGCGGCGTCTCCATACAACGCCTGTTCAAAGTGGGCTCGGCCAAGCTGAGACAGGACCCACGGTGTCTCCCGTTGACCCTGCGAAAGAGAGTTGAAATGCTGTACAGCCTCGGGGCATCTATACCGGCTCAATGCGCTGTGCCCAGATGCAAGTTTGCTGAACAGTCCCAAAAGCCAATTCAAGGCTTCGAGCTCTTTGGATCTCTCGGCATGTCGGGGAAGAGGGGGAACACCGGAGGTGGCGGGGATGGACGTAGCACGGGGTTCTTTGCTATCATGGTCGGATGACTCCATAGGTTTGCGGTTGCCGCTCACCACCCGGCCCACAGTTGACGTTGTGGCAGGACGTCCCTTGGCGTGGGCACTTCGGACTTTCTTCACTTCTCGGCCATCGCGCCCTGTGAGAGTAGAACTGGACAGCTTGCTGGTGGTGGGTTTAATTTGATTGAAAAGTCGGACACTACGACGCTGGGGAGCACCAGGTTCGGTCGGCTGGGGAGGAAGGGGATGGGCAACTTGGCCAGAAACAGTGCGTTTGCGATCACCAAACCGAGGCGCTGGTGGAGGCTCTCTGTCCGCCGAGGCAAAAGGTGGTTCATCCAGCTCTGTTCGAGTTCGAGGGCGAGGCCGAATACCAGTTGATCGCATTTTGGGTGGAGCTTGACCCGTTTGGTCTAAGCTCATAGACTGAATCGTGCGATTCTTCCTTGCTGGCGCCAGTGGTGGTTCCCAGGCGGACTCCGGTTCCGTGACTCCATTCGCAATACGGAACTCTTCTGAGCTACTGCTTTGTCCACTGGGCGTCTCCATTCCCTCGTGGATCACCGGTGCCGCTACCGATGCAACACTGACAGAACTTCCATTGAATTTCTCCCACAGAGCTGAGCTTCCGTATGTCGAATCGATCTCGCCACGAGCAGCAGGGACCATGAATGGATCACCTCCGGGATGTCCGGGATGTCCGGGGTATCCGGTAGATTGTGAGGAAAAAGGCCCTTCAGCTGGTGGGAAATGCCCTGGTACCGAGTCCAGATCGTCGGGAGAGGCAGAGATGACGGAGAGGAGTTCCGGGCTGAGTTGGTAGATGTTAGGGACTCGGACGTTGACACCTGATTATGAGTTAGATTCCATCTGTCTGGTTCCACTTGAGGACTCAAAGTGATTCTACTGACCGGTGGAGCATAGCCCGAGGAAAGCATCCCACATGAACGGATTCAGTTTCAGCGAATCCACATAGCAATCTACCGCCTTGTGCAAGTCCTTATGAGCTTGCCACAGCTTTCCGAGCAGGCAGTACACCGCTGCTGCATCTGGTAGGTGCTGTCGAGATGTTTCGCTGTGCTTATCTGTAGCGCCAACGTTAGACTAAAATCAGACCAAGACCGTGCCTGTGGGAAGGGACATACTCCAGTGATTCTTCGAAGCCCAGAGCGACTTGCTGCGCTCCAGGGCAGTTATGCCATCCACGTATTTGCCCAGATCCAAGCAAGCCTGTGCATAGACGTAGGCGCTGCCGACGTGCAAGCCACGCGATCCTGAGCCCTGGCTACACTCCATCGCAGCCTTGACTTCTCCATTGTGTAGGTGGCAGAGAGAAAGTAGATATTGAGCTTCGAAGGATCGTGGTTCGTAGGCATGGAGACGACCAGCAAGAAAGAGCGCATTGCGAACGAGGTTGTTATCGAGGTGATAGTAAATGAGGTGCCTTAGTTGGCTGGCGACATGGCCTGTGGATAGCGCCATGGTGGCGCGCGGGGAGGCGAACGCGATGTTGTTGTTGATGTAAGCACAGGATGAGGAGAAACCATCAGCACCCACCACCCATCAGTGTCGACTCAAGTCCAGGAGGACTGGTTGGAAACAGATCTGGGAAGGAGGAGCGTCGCCGATCTCGATCAGGAAGTAGTGAGGTGCGGGAGAACGGTGGAATGTAAACGGAGGCCGGAAGCGGTAGGTGAGAAGGCAAGATGAAAGTCAACCAAGGACCAGTCTGTACATGCTCTGTCCAGTCAGACTAGCTTTACAGTCGCATCATGATCATGTTGATCTTGTCAAGGCAAGGTGGGAGAAGAGTCGCGCTGTGCATAGCAACAGTTCGTACTGGTCTCGTCTTATTTTGGTTGCATTCGCTCGGCGGAGTTGGTCCAATTCTGCCGGGCGGTGAGTGTTGTGGTGGGCAACAATCGCCATTTCTTAGAACTCCGCCATTTCCAAGCAACAAAACCCCTCCATTTAACAACATATCTACGAATATAATTTAAATTTTGAAGAATTAGAAACACGAATCTTATCATTCAAGTCACGCCAGTATGCCATTCCAATTTGTTCCCCAGGGAAAAGGGAGTCTCTGGTTAATAATTCGTAGTCGACAGCGATATATATTCTGGCTCCTGTAATAATAGAGCTCATCATTGCGCAATGTATCTAAACATGATAATCCGTCTAGTTACCTAGGTAATCAACTTCCGTGAAGGTGACCAAAAATACACCTGAGCTATCAAAACCTACGACTAAACAAAACATTCAAAATACTGTTGTAAGGAAAGGATATTGAAGCATATCCGGTTGGATAGCTATACTCAAGACTTTTGAACCGCCAGAGTTCTTATCCAATCATTTGAGGCCTAGAAGGCCTAGAAAGAGTCTCCAAGGGAATTCTAGACACTGAAATTATATTGATCATCAGATAACATGCTAACTCTAGCCATATGGATGCTTGATGCAAGTTGAAATGTCCGATTCCACTATAGATCTACAGATTGTCAGATGTAATCCTAAAGCGGAGTCCAAGGCGGTCAGGCTTGACAGAATCATGGGGTAGCTGCACGGAGCCGCAGCCTGCCGCAGAACATCACGCGGAGATCACCTTCTCTCCACATCCACAACCCAACCATAATCCTACCTCGTCCCTTTCCCCTGGAGGTGATCAAGTTGTCCATTTTCAACGGACATCTGGGATTGTGACTACGACATAAGCCAATTGGCTCTCACACAGCCATCCCTCATACTTCAACCCATCTCATCTCTCATCCCGCAACGTCGCCCGTTTCCCTCCACCATGGCCCAGGTAAGCTCCAATCGCACAAAGCCCTCCCACTTCCAACCCATACTGCACTCCCTTAATACCCAATCCTAACAATCCCCCAGAAAGCAGCCAAAACCCTAGCAACCCGCAACGCCGCCACCCTCACCCGCACCCACCTAATCACCTTAACCCTCCACCTCCTCTACCTCATCCTCCACTTTACATTCCAGCGTCCCCGCTCGCTAAAACCCTACATCCTCCTCGCCGTTCCAACCCTGCTCATCGAATTCTACCTCGACCGCGTGGGTCGGCCCCGCTTCAACGAGGATGGCTCGCTGCGCTCTGCGGGCGAGGATCTCAACGCTACCGGGCTGACCGAGTATATGTGGGACGTGCTGTACTGGACGGAGGGGTGCATTGTTGCTGTGTGTATCTTTAATGATCGGGCTTGGTGGTTGTGGGCTGTTGTGCCGCTGTACTCGGTTTATCTTGCGTATACGACTGTTATGGGTGTGAAGAAGGGCTTTGCGGGGATGGGTGCGGGTGCGGAGGGGGTGAGTCGAATGCGCCGTTGAGTAAGACGCAGATGAAGAAGGAGAAGAAGGGGGATCGGGTGAAGTATCGTCGGTGAATGGGAATAGGAAGGTTGTTGCGATTGAGATATGGATATGTCAATCCTACATACGAAATCCTACATACGATTGTGGTTCGAGTTCATTTAGCTCAAGACTCATGAGGTGCCGGGGTCATGCCTCGAGTTTGCTGCTGAGGATGGTCTAATGCTGGACCTGAGAGATCTCACGCGATCAAAGCAATTCTCGACCATGAACCAGCCGATGAACAAAGACCACAGCATATGGCGAACTATAGCAGACGCCAAGAAAATACACAATAAGCAAAACAGTCGCCTGAACAGGCACCTCTACAGAGCAGCCAATCAAAACATCCAAAAAGCGTGTTTCATTATGTACTCGAAAAGCATCGCCGGCCAAAAGAGCCAAAAAACAAAACCCGCCAGAAGGAAGTGGCCATATTCGTGCAAAAACTGAGAAGCCAAAAGTAAGGGAAAAAAGGGGGAAAAGACATGATTTCACTGTGCAATTTGCGGGGTCATGAGCATATTGGCATCGTAAGAAACTATATGGGGAATAAAGCATCGAGCAAAGACGGGGCCTCACATGCTACTGGCATGCCACTGTAGGAGACCCAATCTCTCACGACACATTTAACAAGGGGATGGATGTAAGACACGGGTGATGAAAAAAAGGGAGAATAGCAAACAAAGTGTTATAAGGAAGAGAGGGGCCATTTTCGTCTAAAGCTCGTCCTTGGACTGGGACGAGACAGAACCCTTGATGCTGCTGGTGATCTGATCGGCATGGGACACAGCGGTCTCAACAGCTTCAGAGGCAACACTGCTTGCACTGGATGCGAGATCGGCGAGTTGTGCCTGAGCACTCTCAACGGCGGCAGCAAGGCGGCTAGTAGCAAGATCAACCACACCGGGCTCTTCATCGTAGATCGCGGCACTAGCCCGGGACTGGATCTGTTCAATGTTGTCCTTGGCAATATCGACATAGCTAGGCTCCTTGCCATAGATAGCACCGCTGATCTGTACGGAGGCAGACGAGTAAGCATCGGCTGCAGCATCAGTGGCCTGCCCGAAGCTGCCCTTGGGCGTGCCATAGATACCAACACTGGCAGCCGCGACGGCAGCGTGAAGCTGATCATTGGCCTGTTGCACAATGTCTTCCACGCTGGGGATGTCAGAGACAATGGCGCCATTGGCAGATGAGACCGCCTCATAGGCCTCACTGGCGTAGCTCGAGGCGGCGGACACGGCTGCAGCCGGGTAGGGGGTCTCGTAGGCAACACGAAGCTTGCTTAGGACACTTTCAGTGAAGGATGGTTGCTTGCCAACAAGCAGCTCAGAAACAATTGCGTGGACAGCGTCGAGCTGAGGCACGTTGTCAACCACTTGCTGCAGGTAGGGCGCGGGGGTGCCGTAGATCTGCTCGCTAGCCTTGGAGACGAGCAACTCCCAGTTCTCCGAAGCATGACTAGAAAGAGCTTCCATGGCCCCTGGCGTTGTGCCATAGATAGCGGAGCTAGCTGAGGCTGATGCGAGAGATAGAGAAGAAGATGCAGCAGAAAGAGCAGCATGATATCTGGAAGAGGCATCATCGATGATGCTCTGGGACCTTCCATCATCCACTGCGGAGATCATAGAGCTTGCCGAGGCGACAACTGCCGCGAGACTAGCGGAAGCCAGGGACGAAGCTTGCTCGTACTGAGAACCAGCTTGTTCAACGAGGTTTCGGAAGTCCAAGGGAGCCGGGGTCGGGGTAGGAGTGCCATAAACTGCCTCTGATGCCGTAGACACAAAGGCAGTATAGTGGTCGTGAGCGACACCAACTGCCTCATAGTAGCGACGCTGTGCATCAAGCACGAAAGGCTGGAAACCAGCCGAGGTGGTAGCAGGGACAGTGTGCCAGGCCAACTGCTCCGAGGCCAGGCTGAGACCTTCGCTCAAGCGCGAGGACGCAACGGAAGAAATGTGAGCCAGGGGCCCCGCGGATGTAGGGGTAGCCTTGACAGCGCCAATACGAGCCTCAAACTCCTGAGTGGCGTACTTCACAGCGCCAGAATAAGCAGACTCGATAGAAGACAGAACCTGAGCATGAGCGGGAGCACTCGACTGTGCCATCTGGCCTAGGACCTGAGACTTGGCGATTTCATAGAGGATCTTGGCCTGGGAGGTTGAATCGGCAAAAGCGGAGCTTGCGTCGGAGTAGACATCTCCAGCTTTGTTAGCCAAATTGTGGAGAACATCCTGCTCGTCATCGTCAAGGATGGGCTCCTGCTCTGTGTTCAAAGTGGCAGCGGCAACGCCGAAAGCAGGTATATTAGTGTAGTTTTCTTCTTCGAAGGTAGCATCCGAAACATGGTCCTCTGCACTTTCGCCTTCTGTGATTGATTCGGATTTAACAGGCTCGGTCTCGTCAGAAACATCCGCACTAGGAGTGGAGACAGAGGTCTCTTCAGTGTCATCTTCCTGCGAAATAGTCGACGAAGACTGGGAATTCTTGGTGGCTTCTTCGAAAATCTCATCATTGTCCGTGCTCTCTTCAACTTCCTCATGCTCCACAACTGGTCTCGGCCGTGGAGGCGGAGTTTCAGTGCGGGTATCGAAGTTTTCACTAACCTCACGAGCGGCAATCTTCCAGTTGCCAACATCCTTGAGCCTGATGAGTTCTCTGGCGGTATCCTCAGCCACTTCCATTCCACTATCCAGGATTCCAGCGGCCACAGACTGGGCTTCAGCAATTGACTTGTGGTTCATGCCGACCTTGCGGATCTCATTGCGCCAGTCATCAATCTGAACCTTGAGTGCATGGTACTTAGCCCAGTCTTTATAAGTCACATCGTCCATCCAGGCCCATCGAGTACCAATCTCCTGCAGACCCAGGTCACGGATGCTGTCGAGGACATCCAGGGTTGAATTGATAGCGGCAGAGACCCGACGAACGAGTTCCTCATCGAAGGATAGAGACCATTGTCGGAGAGCGTGGGCACGATCTCTGACGGAGACAGCAGACTGGCGAATGTCGATGAGCAACTTGTCACGGGACTCCTCCTCCGCTTCAGGGGCGTCTTCCTCTGGCAGGTCTGCCGCAAGCTCGTTAATTCGCTCCTTGACGGAGGAAATCTTTTCAGTCGAGACTGCCTGGAGGGCGGTCCATAGGCTTTGACCGTGGCTGTTGGCGCTGTTGGCGATGAGGGCGGAAACGATGTCTGCAATGCGCTCTTCGAGATCTTCAATGCCTTTGTCGGCTGCAACAGCAAACTTGTCCTGCCACCTCTGAAGATCGGACTCAATTCGGACACGGGCTTGCTTGGACTGTTCTTCGGCGGACAGGGTGGGCTGAACGGAGGGAGTCTCAGGTGTCACAGTGGTGGTCGTGGTACTTGCAGAGGTACGAGGCTCGACCCTCGCGGTCGTGACGGTGGATGAGATGGTCTGTTCGGAAGTAGAACTGTAATTCTAGGTTAACACGTGCCTTTTTTGTGTGAGTGATGTGGCTAATCCTTACCTGTCCATTTCTTCAACGACAGCGCGGAGGCGCTTGCCTTCCCGATAGCTGGCCAGGCGCTGGCCAATTTTGACAAGTTGAGGCTCGACCTGCTCCGAGTAGAGACCTGTCACATGAGGCCACAACGAGCTGTTCGCAAAGTAAACCACCGATGACCAGGTGTAGCGTGCACCAGGCATCACATGGGTAGTCAAAACTTGCTGACCGGTGCTGTAGGTCTTTCCAATAAAAGGCTGCGAGCGAGTGTAGAAAGGCACCAATTGGTTCCAGTACACAGCCTGCGCCGCCCCATTGGCCTTCTGGTAGTAAGGTGACACCAGGGAAACACCTTGTTGAACATATGGATCAACTTGACCCAAATACAACTGATGGGCTTGAACTTGAGCAGCTTCCAAACGCGGGGTCACTTGTGCTTTCCATTGTGCTTCGCCAAATCCCCGGGCTTGTTGCCATGCCGGAGCGCCGTACTTCTCATAGCCGTGTTTAGCGACATTAGAGGCAGGTGTATAAACTCGCTGGTTGAACACCTCCACATACGGGCGCGCCTGATCGACGTAGGGGGCGGCGTAGGTATCATAGTAGGGAGTCACATAGGGCTCCACGTGCGAACGTGCGATCAAATAGGGCTTGCACACCGTGGGCGAGGTCTCGTTCAACCCGTCAAGGCGTGATGGGCATCGTAAAAAGGGCGTGAGAAGGGTATACCAAATACATAACCTGGAATTTGTCGAATATTAGTTCATGAGAACGCCTTTTTCTCTCTTTCAAAACCGCTCTGAACGAGGTCCGAGAATAATCGTCTGGAGCGACGTTGAAAAATAGGATGGAATGGTCAGACGTACCGTACTACCAACCCTAGTGTCCATCGCAGAGGGCTCTTTCTCCGGGCCTTCTCACTTTTCACATCCTTAGCCACCGGGCTGGCCTTCCTCAATCCAGGCGACACCGTCGGTAAATATCCGTTCTCTTGAACTGCCATGTTGGTTGCCGTTGGCGGCGGGCCGACCCTTGTGAAAAAAAGTTGCGGCCACGAGCTTCCGCGTCGCGTCGATATATTCTCCGAGAGAGGTATTTGCAGATTTTTGATAGATCGCTATTGTCTCATCAGGTCAACGCAAGTTGACCACCGGATCGCAAGCTTTCGCGCGGTTGGCGTGGAAGCTTGGTGAAGGAGGTTGAAGCTGGGTTACTAGCAGGCGGAATGCTGGCGTCGGCTCGGCGCTAGGGGAGATTCACGGGCCGCCGGTCAGAGCGCACGCGATGATGGTGTGATTCCGAGGCAGATGGGAAAGAGTTGAAAGAGTTAGTGGAGCACATAGATTGGTGCCGACGGATAGAAAAGAGCAAACTTCCTCAGGAACGAGCCCTGGGTACCTGGGATGAAGACTGAGTTTCCAAGTCCGATGGAGGAGCTGTTTAAGGTCTCTGGGGCAGCAGTGAGGTCATCGGTGGCACCAGGGCAGAACCGGGCAGGTACGACAATACATGATGTGGCACTGCTTAAAGGGCGTATTCCAGGGATGGATGGTGGTAAGACACCGTAATGACATTACGAGGCTGAGTCAGCTACTATCGGGAAGCCGCCGCTGCCCCAAACCGAAAGTCTCCAGAGCCCAGCAACTTATCAAGTCGTCAAGTCCCAAAGTGGGAAGGCCCAACTCGACTGCCTCCCTCAGACAAACGATCACACGATTGACTGGTAGGCTGTGTTGTCTTGTCCTCGGTGGTTACTTCTGTCTTTGGGGCCAACTACACAATTGACCGAGCTAAACTCGACCCTTCTCAGCTTCAGTGTCCTCCCGCATCGACATTGCCCCGGCATCATCTTGGACTCGACTTTGGCGAGCCTGACCAGATCCTTGGTGACCGTGAGAGAAACGATGAAGAGCTGGTAGAAGCCGTGCTTTCTCCGCGACCCCACGCGACCTGATCACCGAAATATTATGGATTTCGCAACACATTCTCCCCGCAACCCCGCGGGGATGTCATCGTTCCCGGACCTAATGAACGACCCAGCGTTCGACGACCGAGAGGGGGGATGGAGGATATGGATACGTGCCGAATATGCCACGGAGAAGCGACGGAAGAGGAGCCGCTGTTCTATCCCTGCAAATGTAGCGGCAGTATCAAGTTCGTCCACCAGAGCTGCTTGGTGGAGTGGCTGTCACACTCGCAAAAGAAGCATTGTGAACTCTGTAAAACAGCGTTCCGCTTTACGAAATTATACGATCCGAATATGCCTCAAAGTCTCCCGACGCCGTTATTCCTACAACAGGCGTTGATTCAAACACTCCGAACCTTGGTCACATGGCTGCGCTTTGTGCTCGTGGCGTTTGTGTGGCTAGGCTGGCTGCCATGGTCGATGCGAGCAATTTGGAGGGCGCTGTTCTGGCTCGCTGACGGCCGCTGGTCGGCTGGTGGGACGGTTCAGCAACGAGGCGCACAATCTATTCAGGATGGTGTCGAGCAATGGGCTGTTAATGGCACGGCAGCTGCTACTGCTGCGCTCAGCTCGATGACCTCGAGCGCTTCGAGTGCCGCCTCTTCCTCTGCCATAGCTGCCCCGTCGGCGCAGGCTGCTACCATCAGCTTCCCAGCTGGAGATCCGCTCATGCTTACCTTTATCAAGAAAATTATCCCGAGTTTGTTTATGCCTGCGTGGACATCCAGCGGCAGCGAGAGCGGCGCTCACACAAATGGTCTTTCCGGCTCACCTAAGCCCCGGTATCCGTCTTGGCTGTCGGATGTGAAGTTTCTCAATAATTTGACTCGTTGGCCGACAATCAACAACATGATCATCGATACCCTGGAAGGTCAACTCATCACTCTACTCGTGGTTGTTGCTTTTATTCTTTTGTTCCTGATCCGAGAATGGGTTGTTCAACAGCAGCCCATGGCCAACATTGCTGAAGGAGAGCGCGAAGCAGCATTGCAGCTGATCGCCAACAATCGCCCTAATGAGGAAGTTCGAGGAGTCCGTCCGGACCTTGTGCCGCCTCACCCCCACGAGGATTTTGAACCAGAACAGAATTTGCTAGTCGAGGACGACAACGACAACGATGTACCTGATCGTTCTGCCAACCATTCTCCTGCACCCTCCTGGACCGACTCTGACGATGGACTCCCGGTGTACGATAGACAAGCCGGTTTCCAGGATGACGATTTTCCAAATCCGTTCCAGAATGGTCATCATATGGAATTCGACCATTCAGAGCGCCAACAGCCGACCAACTCACAGCATTCAGATGTGTCCCTGTTTCAAAATATCCTCGCTCGTGCAAACGGCGATCGCGATGAGATCTTGCGTATCATTCGACAAGAAGGTCATGAACAGGAACTTAGTTGGATCGTTGATGCACTTACCAGGGCCCCCGTTGACCAACCACTGCCTGGGCCATCCACCCACGCAACGGGGCTATTCCAGACTCAACCCGCAACTGCTCACCAGACATTGGATCCGGAGGGTGAAAATGCCGATGTACAATCACAAGCTGATGAGCCAATCGCCGGGCATGATACCCACAACGATCAACCCGTGGCAACCGGAGAGGACGAAAACCAAAATCATGTTCCAATTGAACATCACCCTGCAAAGAATGTGGGTGATCGCTTAATCAATTGGTTCTGGGGTGATATTGGAGCAGATCCTCATGATCATGAGGACCAACCCCTAGAAGACGACGAGCAGATCATGCAAGATCCAGCCCTGGAGGATCCGTTTGTCCCTGTCCCAAACAGACTGGATGGGCCTCCCGCCGACGGGCCGGGCTTGGGAGGAGCCGCACCCGATGGAGCGCTTGAAGGCAACGACGCGGATGCAATCGAGGGTGATGATTTCGAAGGGATTATGGATCTCATCGGCATGCAAGGTCCCATCTTTGGACTTTTGCAGAATGGGGTATTCTGTGCCCTCCTGATCGCATTCACGGTCGCTATTGGCATTTGGCTTCCCTACTTATGGGGCAAGATTGCCCTTGTTCTTTTGGCCAACCCTCTGGAACTCATCGTCGGTGTTCCTATGACTGCACTCACCGTGGTTGCAGATATTGTGTATGATACTCTTATTGGAGTTGTGGGCTACGTCATGTATTGGCTGAGCTTCATCTTCAAGGTCCTTCTCAGTCCATTTGGTGCTCTGGTCCCTGCCCTCGAGTGGATTCCTCGAAACAAATCTATCACTAGCACATCGCTGTCTCTGATTGACAAGAGTACCAACCGGTTGAATAAGGTTATCAAGGCGTTCCTGGTATTCCACGAGTCTGATATACCCATGTTCTCAGTGCTCTCGCACCAAGCTCTCAAGCTACACCAGGCACGTGTGATGACTCTCTTCCGATCTGTATTTGCTGTCCTGAAATTCGTTCTACACGACTTCCCTCTCCGCGTCATTACCCTCGGGGTCCCCAAGGCACTGTCCTTTGATGTCGACTTCTCTCAGCTCAAAAATGCTACAGTTCAAGCACAGCATTACATCGGTAACTTTACAAAGTCGTCGATTTTTGCCAGCCCGGGGACCAAGCTCATGAATGCAACTGCTGCCCGAACAGCTTCTACAAACGTGGCGGTTGACTACGATCTGGCTGTATGGGACACTAAAGATCGCGTCATCGCTATTGCGATGGGATATCTCCTAGCAATCATGATGGGCTTCTTGTACCTACGAATCACCGGATTGCTCGCCGGGGCCAACCGTGGCCAGCGAATTGAAGGAGTTGTTGCAGAGGTGCTTCTACAAGCCGGAGGAGTTATGAAAGTCATTCTCATCATTGGTATCGAGATGATTATCTTCCCTCTGTACTGTGGTACACTGTTGGATGTCGCCTTGCTACCTTTGTTCTCCGATGCGACCATCTCATCGCGGATCGCCTTCACAATCGGGTCTCCACTAACTTCGCTCTTCGTGCACTGGTTCATTGGTACTTGTTATATGTTCCATTTTGCCTTGTTCGTGTCTATGTGCCGGAAGATTCTGCGGACTGGCGTTCTCTGTAAGATTCTTTTTGTCGCCAAGACTATCTATCTCTTTTCTTTCTAACCCGATCGAACAGATTTCATCCGTGATCCGGATGACCCGACTTTCCATCCCATCCGCGACGTCCTCGAGCGCAGTATTACCACACAGCTGCGAAAAATTGGGTTCAGTGCTTTGGTATATGGTGCCTTAGTAATTGTCTGCCTAGGTGGCGTTGTATGGGGTCTGTTTTATGCATTCACCGGCGTTCTTCCTATCCATTGGTCTGCCAGTGCCCCGATGCTCGAGTTCCCGGTGGACCTGCTGTTCTACAATTTCGTCATGCCGTTGGCAATCCAATCTGTCAAACCTTCAGATGGACTACACGACTTGTACGACTGGTGGTTCCGCAAGTGCGCCCACTTCCTGCGCCTGAGCAACTTCTTCTTCCCCGAGAGACACCCTGAAGAAGAAGGGCGCCATGTCCGGCGATCCTGGTGGGGTCTACTGTTTGGAAGCAAGGGTGACTGGGAACACCCGGTCATCGGAGATGCACAGCAGGCTGCCGCCGAAGAAGAAAACCGGGACGTTTATTTCTTACGAGACGGCCGGTATGTCCGGGCCCCTGCTTCCGACCAAGTCCGGATCCCCAAAGGCACGCAGGTATTCTTGGACGTGACCGAGGACAATGATCGTGTTGATGGACTGCCTGATTCGGACGATGGGCTTCATGGCCGTGCCAATCCCTCGTTCTCGAAAGTCTACATCCCCCCGCACTTCCGCACGCGCATTGCTGCCTTTATCCTTTTCATCTGGCTGTTTGCCGCCACCACCGGGGTAGGCATCACCGTTGTACCACTGATCATTGGACGCAAGATCACCTCGGTGTGCTTTTCCAGTCCGGTCCCCGTCAACGATATCTACGCCTTCTCGAGTGGCCTCTCTGTGGTTGGTGCCCTCGCCTACACCGCATACTATTGCCGGGCAGCCGTTCAATTCCTCCGCGAGCACTGGGGAACGTATCTGCAGTCCCCGCGGGAGCTGGGCTTACTCATTGCCAACATCATGCTCGATGCAGCCCGACTTGTGTATATTGCGATCGCTCTGGTCGTTGTGCTCCCCTCGCTCTTTGCATTGTTGACCGAGTTGTACATTCTCATCCCGGCGCATACCTTCATCGGCGATGAAACGGATCACGTGGTACACGTTGTTCAAGACTGGACGCTGGGGGTGCTCTACGTGCAAATGGCCATCAAGCTTACCCTGTGGCACCCTCACTCCTGGCCCGCGGCCGTGCTCAATGGCATCTTCCGTGATGGGTGGTTCAAGCCCAACGTGCAATTGGCGACTCGAGCTCTGATTCTGCCGCTGGCCCTGTTCACCGCCGCGGCAGTCGCCGCCCCGCTATCATTGGGTGGGATACTGCGATGGACCCTTTTCTATACGCGTGTTGAGGCGCAGCCCGAGATCTATCGCTATGCCTACCCTGCGACCTTGTTAGTCGTCCTGGCCGCGTGGTCTGTCCACCTGGCCTTGCGACGGGTGGCGGTCTGGCGCATCAATATCCGCGACGATGTCTATCTGATCGGCGAGCGGTTGCATAACTTTAGCGAGAAGCGGGCGCGGGACGTCGGTGTGTCGCGGCGGGTAATTACGGGCTAAAGACACATGTTTCATCATGAAGATTCTAGCCGAGATATACGAAGATTCCGAGGAGGGGGTTTTTACTTCAGACCAGCTAAACGCTGAGTTGCAGTGGACGGGGTTCGATGATGACTTTTAGGCTCGCTTGCCCCTCCCCTTTTCTCTTGTACATTTAGAGTGCATGCGATATTTGAATACATACAGTATTAGTCTTGCATATAGTTCCACTGGTCATTGATGGCTAGGTTAGACTTTTTTTCGAGGTTCAGAATACACTTCCAATACAGGTTAATACCTGCCAGTGTTCGCACAAATCGTGTCCCATGTCATAGTAAACTAACGCTGCTGCCTGAGGAATGTATTGGTATTACCAGTAATCTACCCCAATCCACCAAATTTAGATGCCTGCCACGTGACCCACATTACTCTCTATCCTCAACGCTGATTGGTTAGGCAACAGGATTCACTGGGATCCTCCCGCGATGGGCGATGGTCTATCGGCCCTCCATCGCCGTCGACCAGGCACCCATTGAAGTTTGGCCTTTCCCTGTGATCTTTTTCGCATGGCTTTCTCGCCTCTTCACCTCTTCACGAGTGCCAGAATGGATTTGTAAACCCCTTTGCGACAACAACGACCCCCATTAATGTCACCATCCTTAGCATCTTCCTCCCCCTCCTCTCGGTCCTTATCGAATCGCTATCGCCAAGATGTCCGTCATGCGCCATGGAGGAAGCGGTTTCCTCCAGCGCCGCCTTACGAAGCTATATACCGATACGAAGACCTCATGTGAAAGTGTGACGACGGCCTCCAAGGCTCTAGATGACCCGGAGCTGGTCGCGCTACACCAGAGCTTCCAGAAACAGCGGGACCGGTTGCTGTCGTGGGGTCTAGACTGGAGCGATGCGAGCGCCGCCCAGCCGAACGATATCGACGAGTCCTTGACTGCGGCCGGTTTCAGCGATGTGGTGGAGAGTGTCATGTCCACGATACAAGACCTGCTTAATGATGCTGAGCGTGTTCAGCATATTGATACGCCGATGCCCTCGAAGGAGCGCAAGGTCGATACGAAGGATACTCTAGGAAGTCGGCCTCTCAAGACACAATGGACGGATGATGATATTAGTCGTTCGAAGACTATATTGAGTGACTTGACGGCATGTATCGATACGCTCTATGACCTGTCCACTTCGCGCCGGACAATGGCCTCTAGCATGTCATCGAGCAAGCATAGTATGGCCGGCCGCCGATCGAAAACCCACCCTCTTCCCACCCGCGACATATCTTATGCCTCGTTTTCCGATTCCAAGGAAAAGATCCAAAGCCCCCAACAAATATACGAACCTTTCACCTACTCTCCCTCGACCCCGAAACACGATTATAGTCACCAGTCTCTCGTTATCGAGCGATCCGCCTTGCAGCTGTATGGAGCAACACACGATAACAGCCCGCCACCATATGAGCCGATTGCAGCTTCGTCAAACTCCCGTGTCGTGGGCCGCCTCAAGACCGCAGCATGCCCGTTGCTTGTGGGCTCCGTCAAGGACTCGCATGTCTCCGTGTTGGTCGAGTTCATGCCTATGATTGTGGACTCCCAAGCAAGCTCAAAGAGCTCGCGACTCCAGAAACTGCAGAACTCACTAGACCAGTTGCTCCAGAATGCCAGAGTCGGCCACCTGGGTCTTCTGAGATTCCTGGGTTACTGTGTCGATGACCCTAATGCCCGCTATGCCTTCTTATATCAAATGCCCGTCGATTATTTCCCTTTCCTACAAAACCCTAGCGACCTCTTGAAAGAGCTCAAGCCCATCCCTCTGGTTGCCCTACTCCCATCGGCCGAAGACTACCGCGAGAAGCGGATGCCCAATTTGGAGACGCGTTTCCGGCTAGCCTACGACCTTATGATGTCTGTTCTGCACCTGAGAAGCCAGAATGCCGTGCATGGCAACATCAACAGCAGCAATATCATCTTCTTCCCTGGTCGAACCGATGCTAGTAATGACGAACGGGGTCTGGCCCCAGATATGCGCCGTCCTTACTTGACTTCGCCAGCGCGCTTCTCTGGTGATGGACATACTCCCGAGCCATTATCCACAGCGATGTATCGCCATCCCGATGATAAGAGATCCGTTGAAGACGAGGCCGCTTGGGCTTATGACCTCTACTCGCTCGGTCTTGTCCTGCTGGAGATTGGTCTGTGGGCTCCCATTGGCCGGCTCTGGAAGATGAAGTATGATCGCTCATGGTTCAAGCATCGCGTTGAAGATCTCTACGTGAAGAAGCTTGGTCCAAAGTGTGGAAATGCATATCTCCAGGTCGTTCAGCTTTGCCTCGACGCACCCAACTTCCACCTCTCGACCCAACCCATGACCGATCTCAACCTTCGTGTGCCCCAGATCTACCATTACCCCGTTCTCGACCTGTCCGACCCGGACGGCACATTCTCTTTCTCGATGAACTTCCTTTACACAATTTGCAAGGTTCTTTGGTCATGTACACGGATTGATATCTTCTCAGCACCACCGGCAGAAGAACTGGATGATTCTCTGCCCTTGGCACTTGTTCCAACTCCAGAACCTACGCCTGCCGAAGAAAAGGCCAATCCCTACACACTTTCCCATGAACCGATGAACCTGGATAAGCAGCTACCATCCACCCCGAATAATCAATGGGGAATTCAACCCGAAGAGAGAAGCTTGGAGAAGCCGGCCAAAAAACGGACCGTCAAGCGTCTCCCTCATCTCGATATTCCCGATGAACATCTCCAAGAATGGAACTTCCAGATGATGCCTCGCCTTAGCCGACTTCTACAGAAGATCCTCAAAGAGTCTGACGAGTCCGCTGGTGCGACTCTGATGATGACCGGAGAATCTCCAGAGACTGCGAAGACCACAATCTGCGTGACCTGTGGTAGCGTTAAGAAAGTCCGATCGGCTTTGAAGAAGCACTTCCCTCTGGACCGCGATGACTGGGATCTCATCGTCCTCCGTGGTGATATTGAGCGATCGAAGGTCCCCCGCACTAAGCGTCGCAGACCCGCCAAGACTCGCCCAAACGGATCGAACGAGGTTCCTTTTCGTCAGCGTGAATTGAACCCCTGTTATCAACAACGGCCTCTTTGCGGTGCATCGATTGGAGCTTTTCAGAATGAGGAACACCTGCCTCCAGTCTCTTACGGAGGTGCCGTTCTCGTTGATGGCCAACCCTATGGTCTGACAGTCCACCACATGCTCGAGGCTCCAAGTGATGACGAGGGTCCTGGAGATGATGAGCTCGAGGCGCCCTTGCGTTCTGCGGGCAACTGGCCTCGGGACACCTCTCGAGACGCGTCCAGCGTTAGCAACCAGGATTTTATGTACTCTTGGCGCGAGGATGAACCATCAGAAATCAATCTAGACCTTGAGATCTCGGATCAAGAAGACGATGATGCATCTTTCTCGCAGGGTGCCGATGGTGGCCTTGATGAATATTGGTTATCTGAGGATGAATCCTCGGACGAAGAGTCTATCGAGGGTGCCGATAACGATGACGACGACGACGCTGCCTCGGTCGGTGATACTGCTGGTGTCGAGCCGGGGGAAGAGCCGCGGCTGCTCGTCACGCAGCCAGCCATCGATGATGTTCACGATGACTTCTTCCCAACCCCTGAAGACCGTGACGACGAACATCTTGCTTCACACTCCCTTGGCTACATTCACGCCTCCTCTGGTCAGAGGCGCTGGACACGTAAGGGAATGAAACATGAGATTGATTGGGCTCTTATCAAAGTCGACGAGAACCGCATGGATCCTCGCAACATCGTCGTCGACACCACTACTACCCTTCCTGGCCGGCCCGGTTTCGGACGGGGTCAACCACAACCGATCTTTCTCAACCAAGTCGCTCGTATGGAGGAACTAGGTGGTTTATTGGTGCACTGCTGCGGCCGCACAAGCGGGCTGCAGACTGGACAGATATCCAAAGCAATGACGTTGGTCAAGCTGCATGGCCGACACTCTTTTTCGACGAGTTTTTGCGTCAACGGGAACTTTGGAGGTAAGAGGCGCACTTCTGCAGATTCATGTTGATGTTTATATGATCCTTAATTAGATACCCTGGTCTGTTTTTGTTATGCTTCCCTCCTCTTCCTGTCTCCCCATCATCCTGTTAAGCCGGCCGGTAAACCCGAATAACCGCGGCCATCAGATCCTAAGATCAGATCAATCCACCATACACCAAGACTGTATTGAGTAAACTCGAACCTTGAAAGAACCAAAAAAGCTAACATCCCACACCCCTAGCCCCCGGTGACTCCGGCGCATGGGTTTTCGATAGATCTACCGGCCGTGTGTGCGGCCACGTCCTCGCTTGGTCCGCCCGCTCCAACACAACATACATCTCGCCCATGGAAGTCACCTTCGAAGACATCGCCCGCACCCTCAACGCCTCCCTCGTCTCTCTTCCCGGCGACCCCTCCCGCGGCATGGGCTACGCCGGCTTGACCTACCCTCATCCCCATCCCGGCGGATACAGCTACCAGACCCAACAGCTACCGGGAGATTTCAACCGTCTAGCTGTTGGAGGTATACCCCAAGGTCCGCCGGCCATCCCTCCACATCCCCTCGCACACCCACGCCCGCACCACCCTGGGGCCTTCATGCGTCCTCCACCCCCGCCTCCGCCGCCGCCCCGTCCGGGGTCCCAGGAAGCACATGTGTTTCGGGCTGTGAGTCCGATTCCGCCGTCTTTGTTGACGGGGCCGAGGAATATCGAGAGGCAACTTGCCTAATTTATAATGTTTGGTATTTTTGATGGAATTTTTAATCTGTTTGGTTGTGGTATTTGGTTACCTTTTGGTTTTGTCGATTTGGATCGACTGCTTGATGGGGCTTTTGTTCCTTTCATAGAAGATGTGATATGATTTAAGTTATGATTGAGTTTATTGGGGATACCCACGGTCATGTTGGTTTCTCGGGGTTAGTTTGAATGAATACGAATTTATTATATACCCTTAAACATTGGGTTCGGCATCGTATGAAATAATTGGATTGGATTTGGTTCGATATTATGTGACTGCCACGGCATCCATGCTAATTTTGGCAATCTGTCGATATTATTCGCTCTTGGCCACTTGAAACTGCCCACTTTGATGCCTGTCAGCGTTGGGGGCGGAAAATAAGGAGGCCTTCTGCCGCAGCTTTGGCCGATGAGGCTTAGTTGACCCTTGAATCGATATTTGTGCAGGTGCCTAGTGACGAGAAGTCGTGAATACCGTCATCAAACTACAATTACCTCTGTTATACCCAGGATAGCGCACTACTTGACCCGCTTGATCACTATTGTCCGTCGACTGGGGATGCCAAGCTCATTGCCCCTCGATCAGCTTCATCCATAATGCATCGAAGGGTAGGCAAGCCCAAATCCAGGAAGGGATGTGTAACCTGCAAGTATGTTCCCTCTTAACTCTGAAATCAAATGTACATTCCATCACTGACTCACTACCCTCCAGAATCCGCCATGTCAAATGCGACGAACAAAAGCCAGAATGCAACCAATGTACCCGTTCCGACCGTAAATGCGACGGCTACAGCGATTCCTCGCAAAGACAACTCCAAGAACAAATCAAAAAGGACATTCCTGTCCAAAGATGGCATATCAACCCAGACCAGAGTTTTGTGCTGGTCCCCGGATCTCGCGAAGAGCGCCAATACGTGCATGTTTTCTGTACACAGGCGACGCATGCACTATCGGGATTCTTTCCCACTGAATTTTGGACGAGATTTCTTCCTCAACTCAGTCATCGATATCCGGCAATTCGCCATGCTGTTTCGGCTGTTGGGGCGGTTTATGGGAAACAGTTGCTTCCTGCGAATGCTGATTCTGCGGATGTAGAGCAGTTTACGCTGCTGCAGTATAATAAAGCTATTCAGAGTTTTCTGGGTCAGTTGAATTCACCGCAGACGGTGGGGATTGACTTGGTTTTGGTTACTTGTCTGTTATTTGTCTGTTTGGAAACTCTTCGATCGAAGAATGTTCGAGCGTTGGATCATATTCAGAGCGGTGTTCAGATTCTGGCGGCGCGATTGAAGGAGAAGAAGGTCACTGTGAACAATGAGTTTGAGCGGGAACTCTTGCATATTTTCGGTCGTCTGAATATTCAGACTGGGTTGTTTGGACGGGGTATTTTACCTTTGGATATTCACCCGGAGAAATCTACTATTGCAGGGTCTGGGGAGATACTTGCCTTCGACAATATCTCACAAGCGCGGGAGACTCTGACCAATCTCCAATGTCGGGCGTTGGTCTTCATTCGATCAGTTGGAAGTAAAAGCGGAATCACATACGAGACCGTCTTTGAGCAGCAAATCAAGGAACAAAAATCGCTGGAAGCAGAATATCACACATGGCGCGAAGCATTTGATCGACTCGGAAAGAAATCAAGCAAAACCACAGGCATTTCGGATCCACGGGCACCCTTGGCACTACTCATCGAACACCAGACCTCGCTGGTCTGGCTACTCAATTGCATTTCCCAAGAAGAGTCACATTTTGACAACTTCACTTCGAATTTTGAAGAAATCGTCGGTTTGGCAGAAAGCATCCTCGAACTCAGCCCGAAGACAGAATCACAACCTGTTGCTGAGCAATTTTCCCTGGATCCAGGGGTCCTGGCTCAGATATACTGGACTGCAAATAAGTGTCGAGATCCCCTAATTCGACGAAGAGCCATAGCTGCTCTAGCTCGGTGTCCGGCAAGGCAGGGAATGTGGCTTCGACCGTTAATTGTTCAGGTGGCGTCTAAGATTGTGGAGATGGAAGAAGAAGCAATTTGTTCTTTGCCTGTTAAAGAGAGGAGGGTCGCGGAGAAGGACCGTGTCTATGAGGCGCTGATCTACCCTGAAGAGGATCAGCGGAGTCCATGTCCAGTTGGGTTCTTGTTCAAACCCAATGGTGTCAATGGTGAGTTTGAGTGCCGCCAGGTTGATGTGGCATGGTGAAGGGGGCTTAGAATAGAAGGCATTATGTTTAAACAGGATATCTTTGAGAGAAATATTTCGAGCTTACAATATTCTTAGAGACTAAATAATTCCAGAAAGCCAAGCAAGTATTGTGTGAAAGGTTAGTGTCTACTGTAGAGAGAGTCCACCCTTAGTGTATCGCATTGCAAAAGCCGAGTATCATGCTCGGCAGTCCCAATGTCTCCTCGTCAAACCACGCAACACCTTATAGCGTTCCAAGGCTAAACATAGCATGAGTCTCCTCATTTCCAATCCGTAGGCAACGATAAAATTGACTTGGCAAACATACACTATTCGATTCTCCGTCTATAATCCTCCGCCCCCAAGCAAGTTTTACGAGCGGCCCAATCACAGAAAGCTTCGTTTCGACGGGATGAGTGAGATCGCCCCACATCTTTGATGGGGCCTTAGCTTTATCTGCCCCCAGAATAAGACTGGCGTGCATGGCACAAAATCGCAGCCTGATTTATACGCGCTGGCCAATCAGAAGTGTGAATGCTCTATATGGCCATGTCAGGATCTTGCCTTTGATGATCTGGATCGAGTTTGAAGCCCATGCTATCCCCCAGTTTTCTGTTGCTTTGCTAATTATGGATGTTTGTGCTTACTCTTCCTTTGCTCAGCCTTAATCCCCGATCCTGCAGATTTGGGTATCAGCACTTCTTACAGGTCGTTCGTCGTGTCCACTCGGCGCCTGGGACTGGATGGAGCGTATCTAAGATTATCTGACCTCGAGAAGATTCACAGCCTTGGCCTAGCAACGATGGGGGGCTATGTCTGGAGGAACAAGTATATATGCTCCGAAGAATTCCTGTGGGACGGTCATCAAACACACAGTTCTCCACTCAATCTAAAATTTTCTATTGCTTGACTACCCTGCTGAACCTTTGGGCAATTGTTGAAGTTCTGCTTTCTCCAGTTTTATTTTCATTGCTACCTTCACACTTCCCACAATGTCTGACCAATTCGACCCCAACCTCTACATTGGCTGCAAAGCCTATAACGGCATTCAAACGAGTTATGGTTATGTTCCTTCCAAAGGTGCCGGCGTGGCATTTTGCGTGCTCTTCGGATTGTCAATGGTCGCTCATATTGCCCAATTCTGGTGGAAACGGACATGGTGGTGCAGTGTCTTTGCAGTCGGGTGTTTTGGTATGATTCTGTCTTTCCCCTTGATGATAATGCCGAAAGATCTTGGACTAATAGAGTACAGTTGAACTATTGGGATGGGCAGGGCGTACCTGGAGCGCGGATTGCCCTTATAACTCTAACGCCTTCATGATCCAAATATCAACTCTGATCATTGGTAAGTGCAGATGGTATCTGTTACAAAGATTATATTACGACTGACACTCTTCTCAACATAGCTCCTGTCTTTTTCACTGCCGGAATCTACGTCCTCCTCGGTCGCTACATCCAAATCTTCGGCAAAGAAACATCCTTCCTTACGCCCAAGCTATACCTCTGGATCTTTTGCACCTGCGATGTTATCTCCCTCGTTATCCAAGCCGCAGGTGGTGGAATTGCCAGCTCTGAGTCTAGCGATCCCCACGGAAACCCAGACTCAGGTACTCACACCATGGTCGCCGGTATCGTCTTCCAGCTGATCTCCATTTCGGTGTTTGTCTACTGCACTATCGACTTCTTCCTACGCATCAAGCGTCTCGGGCAGCTTCAATCATTCACTCACGGCCCACGGGCGACATTGACGGGCGCGATGGTGCTTTCCGTCCTTTGCATTTACATTCGGAGTATCTACCGTACTGTTGAATTGGCCCAGGGCTGGACTGGATATTTGATCACCCATGAGTCCTACTTTATTGGTCTTGATGGTATCATGATGATCATTGCTGTTGGAGTATTCAATGTGTGCCACCCGGGGTGGTTGTTGCCCTCGAACTCCGAGGCTTTCCTGCCTCAATATCGGAAAACTTCTACCAACTCGGATGTTGAGATGATACGTCCGCGGGTTTAAGAGTGGTTGGTCATTCTATGATATAACTGCTATTACAACGCGAAGAATGTTTTGGTTTATTTCTGGATTGAATGAGTTGTAGTCCTAAGATGGCATCGGTTCAAAAGAAGGGTATTTGCGGCGGCTGCATACAAAATGATTGATCGATTTACCTATTTTTTTTTTCTTTTTGGAGATTTAGATCGGTCTATTTAATGTTACGAGCGTTAGAACTTGATTCAAGACTTTTGACTTCTGTGTCAATAATATGGCCGAGCATAGCTACCCATCCTGTCAGAAAGGTTTAGTCTATAGTAGGTCATTCATCAGGGCTGCATAGTACCGTGGAGCAGGTTATTGTACGGAGCGTCTCAGCGTCGCTCCGGAAGCTTTTCGACTACCGGAGTCATCTGACCATCACCAAAATCATTCTAACGTCAAAGTGGCAATGGCTATCCCTGTTCGAAGTTCTCGAATCAAGCTCAGACATAGCGTTTATGGTTCACTGCGGGGTCTCCAAATAGCCAGGTTCGGTACATCATACTTAAGCTTCCTGAAGCCTTGGGTATGACATCAAGAGACAGACTTATGAATTAATCAAGAACCTGCTGCATTTACTTGGAAAACAAAGCCACCTAAATTATAAGGATGCCCGCAATCTTGTTTAATCAAATTTCGTTGATACTTTAAAGTGACATTCACAATCCTGGAAGGCCCAAGCTACAGGTTACGGCTTTTCGGTATCGGGATCTTCACCCTCTAATCCTTCAGATACAATCAACTTATCTTTGTCTCGCCATGTCCGAACCACAAAGCTCAGCTGCTGCTCCTCAGGGTGCTCCAGAGACAGCGACCTGGGATCCAGCTGTTGAAAAAGGAGAAAACGGCACCACCCCTGTTGCCGCCCGGCGGCATCAACAGACAGTCTCTCAAGTTGCAGCTCCTGTCTTTACCAAATTGGGTAACCCTGGTCCCTTGGGGTTGCTTGCTTTCGCAATTACGACGTTCGTAGTTGGTCTCCTCGAGTGTGGTGCTGGGTAGGCAGGATCCATAATACAACCAGCCAACCTTGCTTCTAACCTCTTATATCCAGACTTCCTGATTCAAACCCAGAAGGCAATGTTGGCCCCAACCAAGCCTCCTTCGGAATCGTGGTTTTCATGGGTGGAACTGCCCAGATCCTTGCAGGTATCATGCAATTCCGTGTCGGTAACACTTTTGGTACGACCGTTCACTGTGCCTATGGTGCATTCTGGTTGAGTTTCGGCATGTTCATGCTGCCGTACCTCGGTATTGAGGCTGCTTACAAGGGTGATAAGAGAGCTTACTCTTTCGCCCTCGGGATTTATCTGATCATGTGGTGTTTCTTGACAGTGTTATTCTTTATCGCTGCCCTTCGGACTAACATTGCAATTCTTTGTGTCTTCTTCTTCCTAATCATGGCGTTCCTCTTCCTCAGCCTTGCCAACTTTACTTCTACGGAGCATGCCACTGCTAGCAGGAATCTGAATAAGGCAGGCGGGGCATTTGCATGTGTTTGTGCTTTCTGTGCTTTCTATGCTGGTGCGTCGGGCCTCATGGTGCCTGAAACTACTTGGGTGCGGTTCCCGCTGGGTGAGATCGATAACTTTTAGTTATGATAATATTTCCATATTTAATTTGATTTATCTGAAATAACGTTCCTTGCATGAATGGTGAATCTGCGAAAATGGCATCGGTTTCTTGGAACGCGACAACCAATATCTTATACGTGATTACTACTTCCCAAAATAGTAAAAGTATCGTTGGGTTGTGATTGGGCACCTGCTCCTCCTAGTTTGGGTCAAGGTAGTTCCTTCGCACTGGAATGATCAAATCCTTTCATTTGGTTGAAGATACTCGTACGTCGCTAGATTGCCTTGTGAAACAATTCATGGCTGATCGCTTGACAACCGGCGTGTAGCCAAATCTTGAGTAAAGCGATTACAGTATCATGACTATGGTCGCTAGGCCCATGACTTTACTCATTCACTCTACGGTAATCCCAAATAGTAATAAAAATAGTTTGTTCTACTGAAAAAAATCTCTTCTACGTAATCTTTGTCATGAAAATAAAAATATTATTATTCGCGTATTTCAAAGCTTTCGTTTTCAACCCCCGAGCTTCTAACATTGTGGTATCGATGAAAAGGATAAAAAGAGGTAGGTGCAGTTCATGGCTATCGTGACGCTTCGCGGATGATGGGAATAATTCTAAAATCTAGTCAAAGTCAGCAAGTTTCAGCCTTATCGTACTCAAAGTGTGAAGTGCACTCACCAGTTTCTCATCCTCTTCGGGATACCTTGACCAGCATATGGGCCTTCTGGGAGGTTGTACTCGTCGTCGAGGTCTTCCTTCGCAGCCATAAGCGGACCCCATTTCTTCTGGACGCGGTCCATATGCTTCTTCAGTCGTGAAATAACAGTTTCATTATGCGACTTGTTGGTGACGCTCATCTCCGTGATAATAGAGGAGGAGGATTTGCTCATTGTGGAAGTTTGGAGAAGGTTGCACGAAAAGGTAAATTGAAAAGTGGCTGGACAACGTAGAGAGAAGAGAGTATTAGGGAGCTATTTATATAGATACGAGACGCAAGCCAGCAATTCCTGGTTCATAAATAAGAAAAATTTACTCTTACTTGTCAGGTACCTGAGTCAATCTTCTGCGGCGAACTCTCGGAGGGTGCCGAGTCTTAGCCGAGCTGACCCGATGTATCGCCGGCTCTAATTCTTCCATGCCGATGTTGCCGCTCGTGCGATATGACGGGAGGCTAAGATTTTTACCGACATTGGTAAATTCTAACCCTGCTAGACCCCAAATAGATGTGATTGTTCCTGAAAATTCCGTAGTCGATAGCTAATCATTCAGAATTGTTCTCAAGCGAGTCGTTGGGTTTGGCTTTTGATGTGGTGACCTGGTGGAGGCTGTTCATCATTTACAAAGTGGAGAACTGAGGACTGGTTCACGATGGATCTGATCCACAATCTACGGCTTGTAATCTGCCGTCCCTTTTACGTCTATACGGCAGCGTGCCCTCCTCTTTATCACATAATCAAAATCTAATCATTTCATTCTCCCTTTATTTCTCGTTTCAAGACAGTCATTCGTCATTAAAGCAAATACAAGATCGACTCAGTCAATGAATCGCCGAACCAACACATTAAATCGGGTGTTGTGGGAAACCACTTTCTTCAAGCTGAGATCCTTCAAATAAGTAGATGCAACTTGGCTCCACGCGTGATATGCAAGCTGATCGGGATACATTCCACCTCCATTCGCAACAACTGTATCTTGGAACTCTTGTGCCTCGCTCTGCGTAATCGGTTTATGCATATATCGAATGTGCTTCTTTGTCCAGGTTGGCCAATAAAAGACTGAAGGCGAAACTGTGCAAATCTCTTCGTGGTACAAAGAAGACATCTCCTTGGGTAGAATGACAGAATGGTAGTTCCACTCGTTCGTGGCGAAGTTGTCATAGCTCTCGCGCCAATGTTTTATGAAGGACGAGCCTCGGCGGCCAACGATGACCGCATTGCATAAGCCATGCCGGTCTCCGCCTTCGTTTCCGAGCATGAGGTCTTTCTCACAGCCTAACAGACTATCGAACGATTGAAGGGCGATAACGTCCATGTCAAGGTAGATTCCACCTTCCTTTGCAATGACATCTAAGCGGAGTAAATCCGCGATATGAGGAATCTGCCATTTGTCTCGGATTTGCTGCCCGTATTCTGTTTCTAAGTCGTGGGGCACAAGAGTCAAATTGTCCCGTACTCTCATAAACCACTCGTTCTGTTCATTGATATCGGTGTAATGGAGGTTGACCCGATCGGGCTGTATAGCGATCAGGGCTGATCGTATGGTCAAGTAGCTCATAAAATTTAGATCGGTATTATTGAGCCATATGACGTGAACGACTCTCGGTATTGGGTCTATCGAATGGACATTGCTGCGGAGGCATGCTTCCTCAACTGTGGTCGCCTTGAAATCGAAGCTTTCGACTTGCCTCTCTCCCGAGAAGTCGAAGCTGCTGAGGAATGGCAACAACAAGTAAAAAGTTGTGACCAGGAGAAAGAGCAAAATCGCCGCGTTAGCGAATGCACACTTTCGAGGCATTAGAAGAATAAAAGTGAACCCTGATGCTCAGAACCGTAAAGGAATTGTGCCCTCCACCGGTCTATATGAGTGCCATGGATCGCGCCGATCTCCCGCAGATCCTGTAGTATTGGAGCAACGAGAGTTGCGCAGACCACCACGTGCGAACTATTTGAGAGTTTAATAGAGTAGCCTACAGCCTTGTAAATGGGCTGGTCGTCAAAAGTTGGCATAATGACACTAAATACAGGTTTGGAGACAAGGGTGAGCTGAAAATGGTTGTCCCTGCGGCGGTGCTTTCTAAGGGGGCAGGTAACGTGCTTTTTGGTTTCTTGATCTGGGCGACCGATGGAAAGATTCTATTGGATTTAGAAGGACCGCCTTATTCTCGCTTCTTCGTAATCCATTCACAGGTACCTTGGCGTGGGACTGTCAAGGGCCCAACCCCTGCATTTACCAGTTGTCGGTGACGACCGGGGCGTTTTTCGCTGCCTAAATACCATTCGTGGCGGTGGCATAGGACTCAAGCCGCTGTAAATTTGATGTTTTTATCTTGCTTTCTGACATTTTTAAATTTGCTTACTAGCATTGAGCAGATAGCGTCATTTTGAAATGTCAAAGGCTGCCGTGAACCTTCAGTCGTCTCTCGTGGTGCACCTCAGGTAGGTCTACGTGACTCAAAGCTCAACAATTTAAATCTCTTCCCAATTCGCACCTTATACTCTCTTTCAGGTTCAGTCCTATGAACAACTTCCCCTCATTACTCACATATTATGTTCTGTCTCAACTTATTGTTAGAGCACTTCCTATTCGCTTTCCCTTTTTATCTTATCCATTCATTACAATTCAAAGGGGAAATTGACAATTTCAGCAAACAAACATTAGTTCCTCCTAGAAATATTATATTCGTGTTCACCGTGAGTACTGTGATTGTTTCTAAACACCTTTTCATCTAAGATTCCCGTAAATACCCCTTGTTGATCACTCACACGCTGAAGAATTCTAGAAGCGCACAAATATATCCCCCGCGCATTCTAATAAACCGCAACTTAAGAAATCCATTATTTAACCAGACCCTATCTAAATAACGACCACCGTCCATGTAGATCACGTGCGGCTAGTCATGCACGCACGGCAGTGTTAACGAATCACAATGCGAGGTGTTTGCTACCTTGTATGCCACCACGTAGACTCTGACGACTCACCTTTCTATCACCCTCTACTTTCCTTCTATTTTCACTCATTTTCATCGTTTCAGCATTGATGCGCGCTGCGCGCGTCTTTTGGTACGGCAAAGCAGCAGTTTTTCTAATGTAACCTAATACGGATTAGCGCATACTCGGGTACGGGCCGAGAAATAAAGCCACTGTCCAAAGTAGCAGAAATTTTAAGACAAAGTTGGTTTACTTTTTACTTTCTGAATAAGAAGCGGTAGACCTAAGGTGGGGAGGGGAAGTGCTGTATCGTCGGAATATCAATTTCGTATCGTCGACTTAGCAATTCTCCAAATCGAAAGCGTTTGATGAGTGTTATCTGAGTATCATGCCACGTGATCAAGTTCACCAGTCGTGCCCAGGCTCGTTCTTGACCTTCTTCAACAACCACTGACACCACATTCTCCTGTCGGCTTACGACAAGAGACTGTGTCATGAGCAGTTTCAAGCCATTCATTCCTCGTTTTTCTGCCTTGATTCGCAAGAAACCGTTTCCTATGCCCCCTCCCGAGTCGCCTCTACCACCCGGAGTACTCATTGGTGAAGAGATCTCGCCAGTATACAACTCCAAGTACTTCTACATGTACTTCTATCCCGCCAGGCCTGGAGAGACACTCGCCAATCATTACCAAATTCTGGTCAAGGTTGGTTGGGGTGTGTCTTCAACCGTATGGCTCGCGCGTGATTTGCAAGGGTAGGCTTCAATAATGATTGCCCTGTTCGAAGCTCTCCCTATTTCTAACAAGTATACAGACATATCGAAGATCCAGAGCGCGTTCTGGCCCTGAAAATTCTCAATAGCAATGCAAGTTCCGCTAGTCATGAGCGTGAAGTTGAAGAGCATATTTCTACGGCAGACCCATCACATCGCGGTCGCTCGTTTATTCGAACATTACTAGACTCTTTCGAAATCAAGGGCTCGGAAGGGTTTCATCCATGTCTGGTGTATCCACCTATGAGGGAGCCATTATCAATGTACCAGCGGCGTGTTAACGACAGAAAGATGCCACTTCCCCTCATTAAAACATACATTCGTGCTCTCTTCCTATGGGGCTTGATTATCTGCATAAAGTATGCAAGACAGTTCATCCTCGTCTTTTAATCTCGTCAGCAATACTGAGCGTAGGCTGCCTAGATCTCAAGCTTGAGAAAATCATGGTCTCCTTTGGGGATCCAACAGTGCTTTCTGATTTCATAGATTCTCAGCTTGAAACCCCAATGGCTTTCAAGATTGATTCAGCGGTACTACTAGTGTATCAATCCCGTAATGACTTCGGGCCACTGAAAAGCTTGAAAAGTATACCACAGCTTGTCGACTTTGGCCTGGCAACCAGGCTCGAAGAAGACGACGACTGGGGCGTTTGGCCTATGCAGCCAGACCACTATCGCGCACCAGAGGTGATATTGGGTAACGGATGGCAAATGCCTGCGGATCTTTGGAATCTTGGTGTTCTGGTGCGTTCCCTTATTATCCAGGGCTGTTGCATCTACTAAAACCAGACCAGTTGTAGGATATGATCGAAGGAAAAGAGCTATTCCGGCATATTCATAATCAAGAAGGTAGCTACAATGCTAAATTACATATCGCTGAAATGATAGCTCTACTTGGTCCACCTCCTCTAAAGATTATACAAAGATATCAATACATGCGAGAGTACTGCTGGCCGGAATCTGTCAGACGAGAAGGCGGCAGAGCATGCCAGACCGCGGAGGAGTATTTCGGCGGGCCATTCTTTGACGAGAAAGGTATTACTTCCCTATCCCCGACGAAGGTTTCTCGGACTTACGAAGCATATTAGGTCGCTTCCTGTACGAAGACCTCATCCCGAACCGCAAACTATGCGACCCAGCTTCGTTCCTTGAAGGGGGGAGAAGGATTCGTTTTTGAACCTCGTCAGGGAATGCTTGTCTGGCACCCTGATGCGAGAAAAACGGCAGGCGAACTGGTTGAGCACCCTTTTCTTTAATCAAAGCAAATGAGCGCCTGATCCTGCCAGCTTTTGACGTTCCTTGTGGTACGACGCATACAAGATGGAGGGAAATCTGGCGCCTGCCCTTACCTATCTATGCGCTTTTGCTTCCTGCCTCTTTGCATAATAGGACTAGAAGCATCTTGTTTAGATTAGACCGATTTTGGGGATCGAGGCTCCTAAATCATCTTCCAATTCAACCCACTCAGACCCTAGATTGTGCATTAACCTAATTGCCGTTGACATTACAACATTCAATTTCCAACAATCATATCAAGGAGATGTTAATTAAGAAAATCTCTTGTCCTCGATGACGTTTATCGGCCTCCCTACCGATGTATCCAAATCGGCCCCCAAATAACACCTCTTCTTGGCGCTGACAACCGACTCATAATGAGTAGTAAGTGACACTTTTCCCTAAACAGCACCATCCAGCGCCCCGAGCCCCGCAAGGCGCCCAGAACTCGACTCAACCTCCCTCTTCGCTCCCAAGGGGAATCTTGAAATAAAGAGTCACACTATCCCAACCCCAAAAGATTACCCTTCCCACTATCTAATATCTCCTATATACACACACTACCAACAACATTCCATCCATCCTTCCATCCCACTCCAACCTCGAAACAACCAAAACCTACAACCCAACCACAAACAACCTCACGACAACCAGCCCAGCCCCCTCTATGTCTATGACACAATCACACCTCCCCACGCTATAAAATGTTCACCTGGCTCAAAAACTTCCTCAACGGGAGCACATCCACAAACTGGCGCCGCAAACGCGCAAACAGAGCGTACCACAAAAAAGTCCGCGCGCGCGAGCGCCAACTCCGCCGGAAATGGCACCATGAAGATGTTGCGAATCGGTTCTTTTATTGGGCGCCGTATAGTAGTCAACGGCCGTCGAAGGAGGCTGTTAAGGAGTATAAGAATAAGAAGGAGAAGCAGAAGGGGAGAGAGAATCGGATTGGAAATGAGAAGTAGGGAGTTTGGAAGAGATATAGGTATAGACGTTTGGCTCTGAGCTCTGGGCTCTTGGAGGTGGAGACGGGAGAGGATTCCATCGAGAGGTGCACACGATTCTGGTCTATGTTGATACCAGATCGGAGGTGTCGTGTTCATGCTCGAGAAACATCAGAATAAGGTCAGTGTTAAATGGTCTCGGTCACTTTTCTCTCGATTTGATTCTTGTCAAGAGGACTTATCTAACTATGGATAGAGGTCCATTTCTACCGACGTACGCGAACAACACGAACCTCAAATTAGATAGCACGGCATACGACCCTCTACTACATGGGATATTGATAGATCTTCCCAAACATGTACGCTACACCACACTACAAGCCTAGGTAGCAAAGAGAAAGAGAAAACAAGAGTTTAAAGACCCAATTAATGTATTCATGGGAAAGAAAAACATAAAAGTAATTATAAAACAAAGTCATGCCACAAAAGAAACTCAAACACCATGCACAAAAACCAAAACAAACAAAGAAGACACATCAAGTCATGATTTATCTATAATTTCCACACCGAACTCTTTCTCGGACGCAATCTTCACTCCCATCTAAGCAGAAGCAAGATACTTCAAAACAGTCTCACGCTCCTCAACAGGCAACATAGAAAGAACCTGCTGGACACCACGCAGACCACCCTCCTTGTTCCCAATCAACAGGGAAGCAACCTCAGAGGCAACGCCATCAGTATGCATGGACTCAACCTTAGCCTGAACAGCCTTCTTATTCTCCTCATACCACATGGCGACCTTGCGGTCGTCGTGCTCAAGCTCGTCATCCAGCATACCAGTCCAAGCATGCAGAGTGCGCAGGTGCTCGGCGCGGGGGGACTCAGCGGGGGGAGGGTAGTCTCAGCAGCGGTGGCGGTGGACGAGGGGATGGCGCCGGTGCGGGAAGACGGAGAAGCGGAGGCGGCGACCATGCGCTTGACGATGAGTTCCTCGCTCAGACGGCGGCGCAGACGCCAGTAGAAGAAGCGACGGGCGTTCTGCCAGCGCAGGGGTTTGCGAATGGTGTTCTTGGCCTGCATGCGGCCGGCGCGGTCGTGGAGATCGGCGAACTGCAGAGCGATCTGGAGGTACACGGGGAGGAGTTGCTCCTCGCGCTCGGCCATCTTGGCCTTGATGGCGGACAGCTGCTCCTTGGACAGGGAGGTGTCCTCAAGGGAGCGGCGGAGCTCGCCGTAGGTGGCGTCCAGACGGGCCATGGTGTCCAGCTGCTTGTCGCGGCGGTACTTGATGTTGACGATACCCTCGGGCTCGAGGACACCACCACGGGCGTCTTCGTCGGCGTACATCTCCATCTGGTCGGGGTTGATGGTGGGGTCGATGACGACCCAGGATCCACCACGAAGCTCGCCGAAGGGAGGAATGTACACGAAGATGGGCTGCTCGTACTTGACGAGGGCGTCGACAATGTACGAACCGTACTTGAGGACCTCGTTGTACATGTCGCGCTGACCACCGGAGAAACCACGCCAGTTGGCCAGGATCATGACGGGCAGCTGCTCACCATGGTTGAAGTCACGCAGAGCCTGGGCGGTCTTGTACGCCGAGTTGGGGTACCAGACACCACCGGCCTCCTGAGTGATCATCTCCATGGAGTCGGGGTTGGCAGGGTCAGCGGGGGTGACGTTCTCAACGGCGCGAGTCTCAACAGCGATGACACCCATGGGGATACCACCGAGACGAGCTCGACCAACAACGACAGTGCGGGCCCAGCCACCAAGGGCCTCCTCGAAGGAGTCCTTGTCGAACAGACCGGGGAGGAAGCCCTCCTCGTCCTGCTTACCGGCAATCAACCAGCGAGGGTCGTAGGCCTGCTTGGCGGGAGGGAAGTAGCCGATGTCACGGTCCCAGTCGTCGGACCAGGGGCGGATGGGGATGGGGGCACCCTTCTTGTCGGGAACGAAGCTCATCCACTCGACAATCTTCTCAACACCCTCGAAGTCGTCGTTGGCAGTCATGTGCGAGACACCGTTCTTGTACATGATCTGGGTACCACCAAGCTGCAAGTTAGAGGTGTACACCTCGCGACCAAGCAGCTTGTTGATGGCAGGAGCACCAGTCAGGATGATGGGCTGACCCTCAACCTGAATGGCACGCTGACCAAGACGGACCAGGTAGGCACCGATACCAACGGAACGGCAGGTAACCAGGGTAATGGTGAAGATGTCCTCGTAAGCCTTGGAAGTGGCACCGGCAATGAGACCAGAGCCCTTCAGACACTCAACACCAAGACCATCCTTGGCACCAATGACGGTGGTGATCTTGTGACGCTCCTCACCCTCATCGTGGATCAGCTCGGTGATGACCTCCTTCTTCTTGCTGGCATCGAAGCGCTTCTTGACCTCAGGGGTGAGGTACAGGTACTTGAAGCCAGCCTCGGGCTTCTCGACATCGTTCCAAGCAACAGAGAAGTAGGGGATCAGCTCATCGGCCATACCAATGCGAGCACCGGAGTTGGCAGAGAGGTAGATGCGGGGAATACCGAGCTTGCGAGCGAGCTCAGTGCACTTGTGGAAGAACTTGTCTTCCTGAGGACCGAACGAACCAATCTGGAAGGTGATGTCGTTGGCAACGATGATGAAGCGACGGCCGCGGGGGTACTCGGGAGTACGGGCAGTGACGATCCAACCGACCATACCGTGGGTGTTGGTACCAGGCTCACGGGAAACCTCGACTAGGTTGTCGGTGTCATCCAGGACCAGCTCGCTGTAGTCGATGCACTCGCCAGTGGGCGGGCGCTGCGAAGCGAGCGAGGGAATGGTCTGGACAGCCTTGGTCCAGCTGTTCTGGAAGGCCTGGCGGAACAGCTCGGGGAAATCGTACACGTACTGAGTTCCCATAAGGTGAGCCTTGTAACGCTTGGGCTGGAGCCACTCCTTGGTAGGGTAAGGAGTGGAGACAGGACGCATGTGCATGGAGCCGAGCTTGGTGGTGCCACCAATGCTCTGGAAGATCCACTCGCCCTTCTCGGACTTGCGCTCAATGTACAGCTCGACCTGGATGATGAAACCGTAGGTGTTGCTGATAATGACACGCAGAGGGTAGGGCATGCCGGTAGTGGGATCAGTGCACAGAATGCGGATCTCAGCACCAGTGACACGCAGGCGCCACAGACGGCGGCCAAAGCGGTCCAGGAAGCCGGCGAGAGCCTGCTCAACATCAATGGGCTGCAGGTTGAAGACGGGAGAGAAGTTGATGAAGATGTGGTTGAGATCAGAGTTGTTGTGGCCAATGATCTCCAGGGCATCCAGAATGTCGTTCATCAAGCGATCAGCCTCGGAGATGAGGTACTCCGCAGTGGGAATATCATCACGGAGACGGCCGGGACGCACGACAGCACGGACGAAGTAACGCTTGTCAACAGCCTTATCGTTTTCAGGACCCTTGCCGATAGCCTCGTACACGTGGATGTTACGGTTCTCGGTGAAGACGGGCTTGATCTTGAACTTGGACAGACGACCCAGCTCCAGCTGGAAGGCCAGAGCAGGCTCGCTGTGACGGATACTCTCGTCTTCCTCGTAGCTGGGGCCACGGAAAGTGAAGTAGCCGGGGTAGACACCTTTCTTGCCACAGATGAAGGTGACACGACGAACACGGCGGGCCAGGAGCTCGTCCTTGGCATCCGCAAGCAGCTTCTGCATCTGGCCCACAATCTGAGAGTCATCCTCATCCTCGATATCACGGATAGCAATATTGAGAACACCGGTGAGCTCGTCGCTCTCGGTCGTCTTGACGACAGGGCGGCGCTTGCCCTCCAGGTTGGCGATCAGGCCATTGTCACCAGGACGCTTAGTCTTGGAGCCGGCACGGGGGAAGGCCTCCAGAGCCTTGGACAGGTACTCCTCAGCATCTTCGAGGTACTGGATGGGAATGATAACACCCTTGCGAATGGGGTCGCTGGCCGGGTCGTTGACCAGGTAGGACATGTCGCTGATGGAGTTGATGCGCTTGAATGGGTTGCTGGCCTCAGCGGTCGGGGTGCTGGGAGTGGAGGGCTGAGTAGAGCCAACAGAGCCGAACTCAGGCTGGCCAAGCTTGCCGAGGGTGAAGTCCCAGGACAGGATGGGAGACTCGGCGCCGGCAGTGTAGTCAATGCCCTTCAGGGTGTAGGCACGGTAGGCACGGCGCACGTAGACCTCGAGAGCAGCGAGAGTAACCCAGGGGTCGGCGTGGATGAAGAAGCGAGGCAAGACATCGAAGACGGTGTACTTGGAGTCAACAACCTCCTTGAGGACACCAAAGTCGGGCTCACGGTGCTCCCAGCCAGTCTCGCCGTAGCGGGACTCGACAACAGAGGACCGCAGGATGTGCTCCATCTGGGACAGGCGCTCCTCCAGGGAAGGCAGAGCACACTGGATGAGAACCTCACGGGCTTTGAGAGTGACCTTGGCGGCAGCGCGAGCCTCCAGCTCAGTCAGCTTCTTGAGGATAGTCTTGAAGTGCTTGCCGACATTCTCAACGTTGGGCTGGTTGGGGCGGTACATGTCCAGGATGGCAAGGACCAGGTTGTTCTTGGAACCAATGCGGCTGTGAGAGAGGACGGTGTGGATGACGGGGACAATATCCTCCTTGTTCTCCTCACGGAGCTTCAGGATCACATCCTCGTCACGCTTAGTTCCAGTGCTGAACAGCTTCTCAACCTCGTAGTACTGCTCGAGCAGGCCAATGAACACATTGTACTCGTTGGTCTTCAGGCCATCCAGGTACTTGTTGATAACATGGACCAGGGGCAGGAGAGTGGTCTTGAGAATCTCAGCATCGCCAGGGTTGACGTTCTCCTCAATGAAGCGGACAATAGTCTTCTGGAGCTGCCTGGCAGGGAACTCAGCCTTGCGGGCCTTGGCCTTGTCAACAATGGTCTGGAGCTGAGTATCGAGCTTCTGGGGCATGCGGGAGTGCAGAGCCGAGGACTGGGCGTTCCACTCGCCGTAGGGCAGCTCGGGGTTGCGCAGGACCTCAACCA